TTTTTTTTTGAACGTTTTTGCATGGGCGAATTTCGGAGTCTTTCCCATTTTTGAGTTTCGCCTCTTTATCGACGCTTTTGTGGGGGTGTGTGTGTATAGTTTGTATGTGTAGATACACCCACACACACACACACACACATATGCACACACAATAGGCTTTGATCGTTGTCGTTTGAATTTGTCGTGCGTTGAATTCAAGCGCCAAGTGAAAGTTGTTCAAATGTTTATTATGATTATTGTTGTTGTGCTGTACTTGTACTTGCTATTATTGTTGTTTTTGTTTTTGTTGTTGTTTTATATACATTTTAGTTTATTTACCGCTCTGGCTTTGCCATTGGGTGTCATGTCGCTGGCCATAATGACGTATTCAGCGATGAACTCGATGATGAGCGACCACATTATTGGCCATATAATTTGAGAGGCGGAAAGGAATCAAATCCCTACTTAACTGCCAAAGACCAAGCCAAGCTTTTTACCCATTGCCATGGTCACTTTGTCTATATAACTTTATTTTTATTCCCTGCCTTTGCCCCTTCCCCCTCCCCCTATCACCCGCTCTGCCCTGGGCCTTGGCCGGCTGTCTCGCATTTTAAAAATGTAATTGTTAAAATGCAAACAGCAAAAATAATAAAACCCACCGAGCAGTACACCATTTTTTGCACTTTTTTTTTTTTCTTTTTAACACTTTCTCCTTTTGTGCACGCTTTTGACATTTTAATTGCTTTTTTGCCCATTATCCGGAAAAGGGAGATGGCTGTGGAGAGACTTGGGACTTCGGGGAAGGGGGTTAACACCAGCACAAAGAGATCCCCCGAAGACAAAGGCACCACAGCCCAACCTCCAAAACAGCACAACACTCCTGCGAAACTCCCCCTCAAAAATACAAAAACTAGACAAAAAATCGAATCACAGTTTCTGACTCGTTTCACCTCCAGCCAAGTTAAAGTTCATTGACTGGCAGGAAGAGCAAAATAATTCGAGGGGCTGATGAGTTGTCACATGGGCCCGGCTCTCGCTTTTTCCCCAATTGTCTGTTTTTTTTTTTTTGGTTTTTTGTTTAAACCAAAGCGAAGATTATGTAACATTTACCCACTAACGCTGAAAGCAGCAGGAAACCTAGAAAAACGAAGCCAGCGAAACGAAAACGAAATGAAAATGGGAAAACATCACGAAGTTTATGCTGCATCGATGAGAGGGAAAGGGGGTGCCAAATAACTGCACTTAGAAAAATGAAATCATAGGCTAAGGTAGGAAAGTAAATAAAATGTGGATCGTCTCTTGGAAAGCCTTACAAAAAAATGTATATTTCCCATCAACTTTAATCAGTTTTAAGTTAGTTACTGTTTAGTTTTTCCTATCTTTTATTAATTTTCCTCATGTGTCAGTTGCCAGACTCTAAGACTTCAAGTTCCAAGTACCAAACTCCAGCTGCTACAGCGATTTCCCAATGTCCAACGTTAAGGCAACCCCCCCCCCGGGCATGCTCCTTGCCTTCGTTTGTTGGCCATCATTCGCTTCCTTGTATGACATAACAATCGCCTAACCCAAGCCAACTGGTGGGCAGAAAAGCAACAACAGCAACAGCTACAGCGACAGCGGTGGGGCGGGCTGAGAAGCGGAGGCGATCTTTACCTCTACGAACAGAGCGCGGTGTAACCCACCGCCAGGCCACCCCACAATGCCCTCCCCAACGTCCTCTCCCCTTCGACTGGGCCAGTGTTTGTGCCACATTCCAGTTTTATTTTTTTTTTCATTTTCTGCTGGCTTTAGGCTGGAAAATCCCGTTTTTCCCATTCACTGATTCGATCAGGAGGCGTAATGAAAATGGAAAACCAAAAGGAAAGACAAAGAAACTCTTACGGATGAAAAAAGGTGGGTATACTAGGATCACCGAAGGGTTATATACTCTGATAGTCAGCCCAAGATCTTTATAAACTAAAAAATGTTTATGTTTTCCTATCAACAGGATTAGATTTTCTAAAAAAGGATCATATCTCTAAGGATCATAGCTCCTTATCTATGAAATTTACCACAAAGATCACATAAATCCAAATTCCAAATCCAGTTCCGAGCCATGACCAAGTCAACAATCGATCGAGCCAACCGGCAAAGAGTATAATGTGAAAATGAAAACTAACAATGCCAACTGCAATTGCAAAAGCAAAAAGCAAAAAGCAAAAAGCAAAAGCACATTGCAACGTTGCACCAAAGTCATCGTCATCGTTCGCGGCAACGGCTATGGCAACGGCAACGGCAAATTGCGAGTTTTACTTTCGTTTTTCCTCACGTAACAACAGCAAAAGGAAAATGGTGTTAGCAGGCAATGTTACCGTTACAAGCCAACAGAAAAGCAATGGGAAAAGCGGGCGAAAAGCGGGCGGCGGAAAAGCTGGAGTTGCAACTGTTGCATGGCGATCGAATTCGAATGGTTGCAACTCAGCGAAGCAGGAAGCGCCACGATCAACTTGCCCGCCCCCCCTTGGAAAACTTGGAAAAACGTGGGGCATAAGGGGCACTAACAGACATATACAACCAAAGAAATCTACGTAAATTGATGCCGTGAATCGAAGATCGCTAGCTGCAATCGGATTTTCGCATTTCCTCAATCGTGCCAGGCCAATTAAAATGATATTACCATCAATGAAGATCTTATAAAGATGTCTGTTTAATATTCAAATATTAATATATTATTGTTTTGATAATCTAAGAAAAAGAAATAGCTTAAAGATACCCAAAAGTAAGAAAAGTAAGCGAGAAAAATGACTTTTAATAATGTAATTTTAATAGAAATTTGAGGAAAGAGGAAATCTTTTTATTAGTCCCCGAAAATTGATCTTAGTAGAAGAAACTTTAAAGATAAATTAATAAACTACATGCATAAAATATTAATTAAAATCATTTCTTTGACCTCTTCCAATTTAACATTTTCCTTTTCCAAAAATGAGAATCTTAGGAAGGCTAATTTTAAAGACTCAAAACACAGCTACTTAGCATCAATATTTGTAGATCAAAGAGCGTATTTTTAAAGGACAAAACTTCAATTTAATATTTCTTATTTAATAATTTGCTATTAAACAAAGTTTTAACATTAACTAAGTAGTACTTATTTGACTTCTGAGTTTCGTATCAAGTAATAACTTGGTTTAAGTTTAACTATGTTAAGGAAACTACCAAGCAGCATTAATATACTCTGATTAAAAAACCCCCCAAGTTAGTGTTAACCCAAGACCTCAAACCCCCTTTAAGCCATCCCCAATTCAACCCTTTTCCATACCTTATATCCCAACCATTGCCTAGCAACCCCTCAGAGGTCTAGGGCTTTCAAAGTCCCCGCTAATCATGACCATTTAGCCCGAATCGTAACCAGGCAGCTGCCTGGCGACGTAATCACCTTGTAAGCCAAGTTTGGCCAGAAGTCCCAGCCGATCTTTGGCTGAAAAAAAAAACTAAAAAGAAAACAAGAAAAACTAAAAAAATAAAAAAACTGCACCAGACAACGAGCATCATTAACATTTGGCATGGCAGGGAAGAAAATGTGAAACCCGTTTTCCATGGAAAACAAGGCAAAACGAAAATTAAGTCACCGGCAAAAAGCGGCGAACAAAAAACAGGCAAAGCCAAAAGCAAAGTGCAACTGGAATCGCAAGGAGGGAGCGGTACTGGTGCTGGGGCAGTCGATTACTTCATCGCCGTGAATAGAGAGAAAGTGGCAGGAAAAACGTTGCATTAAAAAAAAAAACCAAAAAAAAATAAAAAACTGCAAGCGACGATCGGCAAGATGGCGTGTTAGTCGCAAGCTTCATCGCCCAGCTCCCCAACCCGCAACCCGCTGGTAATCCCCCGCTCCTTGGCAACAATTTCCCCATTTCCCATTGCGGCCAGCGTTTGTTGCAACTTCAGCCATGATTATGTGGCATTAACTTTTGGGTTACGCAACCAGCCCATGCAGCAATGCAGCAATGGAAATTGCAAATCATATGATGCATCCCCCTGTGCCAGCCCCCTCTTTCGACCGCCCCTTGCCACACCGCAAAATGTGTTGCGCAAATGGAGTCAGGCTAGAAAACGAGCTGTGGAAAAACGACAGCGATGGTAGCGGCGGTGGCGACGGCGGCGGAAAAACAAGGAAAACAACATCGACGACAAGATAGCAGGGGTGTGGTAGGAGGGCAGGAGGGGGAAGGGGACTGCAGGGGCATTGGGTGACGGCGATCGTCGTCGTTGAACGTGAAAAGCGGAAAACTTTTGCAGCAGCTCTTGTGGCACATAAAACATTCGACGGGAAAGGAAAGGAAAACGATATGCCGCCGACAGAAAAAAAAAAAAAAAATAGAGGAAAGAGAAAGAAAACCCACGCCAGACACCCAGAGCAGTTGAGCGGAGGAGGATGAGGCGGAGGAGGTTACTGAAAGGAAAACGATATGTGGACAGGCAGAATCTGCATAATTTCCTGGATTTTCAATGAAAAGGTAAACCGATATATAAGCAATCTTAGTTTCTAATAAAACTATAATTTTTGGTTCAGGAAGAGGCCATAACTCCTTTTCATTTTTACTAAATAAAATTTTTCAAGAGCATATCAATCATACGCAATGTGGTCTTTGTTCGTAAACAAAATTTGAATGAAGAAGAAATAGTTATCATATAAAAATTATGTCTCTTTCAGTTAGAAAAACGTAGTTTGTCTTGCAAACGAACGACGAGAAGTTTCTTTGAAAGTGGTTAGCTTTTGGGGCCAACATGTCGTATGAGTAATTTCTGTTTAATAACTGCAAGACCGAAAGTTGCGTAAGAAATGTAATGAATCAGTGAGTTGTTAATGACTAGCGGTAATTATATTCAAAATGTTATCATTTTCTTAGATTTTCTGACTAAACTTAAAACCTAAACTTAATTTAAAATCTTAAATCTTAAACTTTTAACATGAAAATAGTAAATATTAGCATGTTAAATATTAAAATAGTTGATAGTTATGGGAAAAAGGTCCTTCATCGACTCACCTGTACTGTGTGATCCTGCTGAACTTTGTCCTTCCTCCGCCTGGCATGTCTGCAACGAGAGCAAAAGAGACGGATAGCTGTATTGAAATGCATGTTTATGTGCCATATGCAGTTGTATCACCCCCCCCCCTTCCCCTCCTTCTTTCCACCACCCCCCACTCCACCCTCTCCACATTCACACCCTTCTCAGTTTTTGTTTTTCTAGAATTGCATTTCACTCTTGATTTCGTTTTTGCTTCGGCTGAACTTCGTGCGGTGCTCGTATTTCATGCTGGAAGAAGAAGCAGCAGCAGCAGCAACGGCGACAGCTGGCTTGCATTAGGAGAGCGAGAGAGAGAGAGCGCGAGAGAGTGGCAAACTGTAAAAGCTCTGCAAATGCAGCGCTGCTGACGTCGCTGGGTTATTCAATAGAGAGGTGACAGTGTGTGTGTGTGTTTGTGTGTGCTATCTGCCGCCATCACAACAAATGCAACAACAAGAACAGCAAGCACATGGGGCTTTTGCCATGGTATTGTACGTTGCCTATTGCCACTGCAACGGCTGAAACGACCTCCTACAGGTCTTTGACCCACTGCTGAGCGCTCGCTAGCTCTCGCTGTCTCTCTATCTCCGCTCTCGCAGGGGCCCCCCCCCTCCCCCTACTAGCCTCCATCCCTTTCTGGCGTTCAGCTTTTTATTTGCACTCTGTTATTATTTCCCTCAGCTGTTGTTGCTTTTTATTGGCTTGCCTATTGGCTCTCTTCTGCTTTTCATTTCTTAACCATTTACCTCTCCACTTGCATTTTCTATTGATGTGTCTTTTTCGGGGATTTCTTCGCCTTTCAGTCCCGGATTCCTTGGCTTTTCCATGTGTGGAAAATGACTTTTCAGTGCTCGGGTGGTCCACTGGCCATATGTGTGATCCTCCTCTGTATTTCTACTGGCGATTGTGGGTGGTCGTTGCTTCCGGTTTTCTGTATTTTCTTAGCTTTTCTTACAAGATATTTCTTTCTTTCATAACATATTATTTATCATCTTCTATCTCTTGCCTACTTTATCAGAATTTCTTTTCGACTACTTAAATTTTCTTTTTATTGCCTTTTCAGGATCTGGGTTAGTTCGCCCACCCAGCAAGTTCCTTCTTCCGTCTTCTGGCGGCTTCTGCTTTGTCTCGGCCCGCCTTTCTTCCCATTTCTTTGGCCTGTTTGCGTTTCTGAATTAACCCTCCTTCCCATCATGGCACAGCAGTGCCGCCTTCTTCCTGTTTGCCTACTAGCTTGTTGGCTTAACAGCCCCTCCCTCCCATGCCCGTTCAATGGAAGGAAAGGGTTAAATGGCCAGGTGGGTCAGACTTAACCCATACTCCATTCAGCTACCTGCTCTCTGCGACGCGGGTTAAGCTCCGGTCGTGGGTGTCAGGTGGAGCACGTTGACTTGTCTCGGCCATTAGAAACTGGCGCAGCCTTCGACCATGTAATGTAACCACTTCAACTGATAGGACACACACACACACACACGTACGCATACAGAAGGAAGAGAAAGAGACGGGCATATAGAGTTAGAGATAGAGATAGCGACAAATCACCGCATTGCTCTATAAACTTTTAACCCAATTCTTGTGCCTTATTTACACAGACGGCGATGACTTTATTTTCATGCCCTCCTCTTTCTTGTGGCTCTCTCCCCCCTCCGTCTGAAAATAGTTTTGGCGCTTGTTATTTATGGGGCTCGATGCAGTTCGAAGTGCTTTTCATTCTCCATTAATTTTGTATTTTTAACTGCAGGCCAAACGAGCAGCGAAGACCCAGGGAATAGGAAACAGAGCCAGAAGAACTGACATTTTGCGGATGAAAAATTGTGAAGTACAAAAAAAAGTGCTTAAAGATCTCATGAAAAGGGAAAATAAAATGTAAGCTTCTTAGCAAAATTCTCTAATGGGAATTCTAAGATAGAAAACTCAATAAATAATTTCTAATATGAGCCTTGATTTGGAGGGCTCCTTGGAGTGCTTAACAAAGAAGTAACCCCCTTTAGGGGATGTTGAAGATTCTAAAAATATAAAAATTCAGATTGAGAAGCTTACAGGGTATATACACACACACACACACATACATATACTGATAAAATTAACGCCATTGCACTTCAACTTTATCTCGAACTGGCTTTTCCCTTGCACTCATTCGTTCTCATTCCCCTTCTTCCTCCTGCTTTATCGCTTTTCATATCGCTCTTTCAATGTTAGAGGAAAATAGTGAAGCTTGAGCAAACATAACTAAGCCCACTGTGCTACCCTGTATGCTCCTAACTATTCTCTGCCTTTTAGATCAAGATCTTTTCACTATCTAATATATATTTCCATGAGATTTGTGCTGATCAGCCTGAGGCTGACTGCACTGTAAGTTAAGTGTTATCATTACGACGGGATCGTCGCTCTTCCATGAGCTACTCCTCGCTCCCTCCTTGAGATCTCTGAGCAAATGTATAACGATTGGCTATCATGCATTCTAATTGAGGGTTCTGCTAACTGCTGGGTATCATTAAGTGCGGCATATCATGCATTTTTCATGCCGCCAGGGGCTGGGGGTGCGTGTTGACGAGTATTTGTTTTGTGCATGTGTGTCTGGGGCCTGCATTGCATTGCCCTCCGTCTGCAATTGCAACTGCAACAGCAACAGCAGCTGGCAACTGGCAACAAATGCAGCAACTGCAACTGTCGAGTGCCGACTACTGCCCTACATTCAAGGCAACGACTCTGAGATAAGCACACACACACATATACACACATACACATGCCAGGGGGTGGGGCTGTGGGAGTGGGAGTGAGAGTGGGAGTGGGTGGGTGGGTAATATGGTGGTGGTGCAACGCAACTGCCACTGCCATTCAACTGGCAGACACTTCTGTGGGGCATCCAAATGTTGGGGGGCAAAGGCACACACACACACACACACACATGAGGAGTAAATGAAAAGAGAGAAAAAAAATGGTGCTTTCAAGTTCCAGACTCTGGTTCCTGCACAAACACACATGCATGCAGTGTACATATGTGCCCACATGTCTGTGTTTGTGCGGACGTGGGTGTATTTGTGTAGACATTCTAAGCGGTCATAGTCCCAGTAAACTTTCGCTGGCTATATGTATGGTATATTCAGGGGGCATGAAAGTAGAGGGGCGGGTGGGTGGTAAGGAGGAGGTGCACCGGGAAGTGAAGTGAAGCAGTGCCGCAATGAGCAAACAGAAACCGAATAAATTGCTACAAATGCGAAATATGCAGACACCATGTGGTGGCAACTCTATAAAGCATATGTATATGGATAGGGGGTATGGGCTATGGATGATGGGTGATGGCAACCCACTGGGCCTAATGTTTACCACATGTGGGTGGTAACTCTATAGTAAGGGCTGGCCACCACCACCACATGTAGTGACAACGCTGCGAAGTTGCCTCATAACTTCACTGGGTCAAAGCAAAACCAATTCCACCTTGTTTGCCTACTGCCAAATATTGCTTTCGTACATTTGGATAGGAAAATTAATAGACAGCCAGGCAGAGGCATAACTTCACTTTCATCATCTAAGGGAAACATAGAACATATTGCCAAATGAGTTAGATGGCGACTTCATGTGGTGGCAACTCTATAAAGCACTTACAAGGGTGAGGGCAACCCCCTTAACTGTTAGCTCTATGCGGTAATATGTAATTAGACTATCAGTTGGCTGTCTTAGGCCAAGAAAATGTGGTAAATATGGGCTGAAATTAAGCCCTTAAGCTTAATGCCTACCATATGGCAACTCCTCGGATGGAGAACTCTAATAAAATATCTTTTGATAGTTCTAAAAACCAAACAGATGTCACTTGAAATCGCAAAAAACAAAAATCGAATCGAAAACTTTCCTCGCTTTGATCTTGGCTTCAATCTTTCTTTCCCTGTCTGCCGATCTTGTGGTGACGCATTAAATTTCACCTAAACTTGAATTAACAATTTTCATGATCAACGCCCGTGATGAGGCCCCCGAAAAAAAATCACCAAAAACAACAACAAAGGAGGAGACTCTTCCGTTTAGTAATCAAGCTCCAAGCATCTGCAAGCTCATGGACGGCGTTGCTCAAGGAAGGGAGGGTTAGGGGGTAGAGGCTGTCTTTTAACTGTGATGGGAAACAATAACACACACGCACGCACACACACACACACACACAGTGCCCAACTTCTTTCTTTTTTTGGAGTAAAAGTGAACGGGCAAGTTCAAGTTTATTTTCTGGAGAAGCAACAACGCACGAAAATTAAGCTAACCGAAAAAATAAGAAATAAATAAAGGGCGTCAGAATGACGAGAAAAGGGGGGCCAGAAAGAGAAAGGGAGAAAGCGCGAGAGGGTGACAGCAACAGAGATAACCACGGGCGTTCGCGGGGAACAAAGAAAGGGGGCGGAGGGGGGTAGGTCTCAAGGTGTGGCAAGACATGTTCGTGTGTGTTTGTGTAAGTTTGGGCTTGACCCCCGAAAAAAAGAGACGATGCCAAAGATGTTTGAACTGTAACTGTAACCGGTTTTTTTTTTCTTTGGTTGCTTGCTGGTTGCTGGGTGGTGCCAAAGGTGGTTTATGACTGTAAGAGGGGGGTGGAGGTAGGTGATGCCTTTGAGGAAAGCTATCAGACAACGGGCGATACAACTCTCGAATACTCTATTAAAAATATGGAACTAAAAGGGGGGATTTTTTTTAAGTATTTGAGAATGTTTCCAACAGCAGAGTAACATTTCTTGAACTCCTTCTTCATAGGTTTGTCCTACACTGATTTGGCTCCACTTTTTTGCCATAGCACAGTCAAAAATGGTCCAAATGGGGAATGTAATACCTCGTAGAGCTCGTAACTTGATTGCCATGATTCCCAATTGGTTTGCATTCAAATCTGGGAAACTTCATTTTTGGCCCATTTTAGAAAATTTTGATGATGGTACCCCTTATCAAAATTGCGAAATTTGGGCCAAAATTGATTTTCCCAAAATCGAAAACCAATGATAGGGGTGGTTAGTATTGGTCGTTAGCAGCACAAAACAGTCGTTCTTTTGGCTGTGCGTCTTGTTTTGACCGATATAGAGATAATAACCCGCAAGAAATGTTGCAAATTTCTGTTAGAAATCGGTTTCCTAATTTTTCAGCCCTTAAAACCGAGCTCGCACCGAAAGAATCAGAACCATAATGTTAAGAGTAGGTATAGGGGTTTAAAGTTTCCAATGTTAGCTACATAAAACAGTCACTGTTTTAGCCATACGTCTGGTTTTGACAAAAGAATATGGAAATTTGTTGGTCTAAAAACAGTATTTTGCTAAAAAAAAAATAAAAGAAGGCCAAAAATGATCGTAATACATCACAGTTTACCAATTATAAGTAATGCTATCAAAATGAGATTAAAAACTGAAAATCATTCTAAAGTTAATGGGAAAGAGCATGCAGATGATGCTTGACCCCCACCTTTCACCAACTCCCCCTCTTTCTCTTGGTCGTTATTTCACTCTGTCTCTTTCCCTTGACATTTTGGTTGTCTACCAGTTTTTGGGTAAACTCGATTGTTGTTGCTGTTGTTGTTGCAAAAAGGGCGACCAGTTTTTGTTGTTGGGGCCATTAAACGTTCGTTGACATCGTGAAACGTAGCCGGTCAAAAAGCGTTTCCAAATGGAAGTGGAAGATCTTTCCACCAATTTCTTGGTAGCAATTGCAGGGCCCTAAAAGATCGATAAATCGTCGGTAATTTAACGGTACTTTAAGATGAAATAGGATTATCCATTCCATAATGGTTTGTGTACTTACTATATATTTCGAATTTCGAAACTAACTAAATAGCTGTCACCTGAAACCTGTCGTTATTTAATACAACTTTACTGTACATATAGATGGTATTCTAATTTTGAAATTAATATTAATTTCTTTTTGGTAAGTACAGTGCAACAAATACCTTTCAGTCGTCTGAGTTTCAACGTAATTGATGTGAAAGTGAAATTTTGTTTGGTTTGTTTTTGGTTTATTTTCTTCAACGCTTTACTTTTCACTCTTTTCTTTTTCGGGTCTTCGAACAGGGGTCAAAATCTGACGGTCATTACGAGTTGACCATAACCTTAAGTTTTTTGTTTTTTGTCGGGGGAAGAGAGAGAGCGGGATAGAGAGATCGCAGCTGTTTTTTTTTTCTTTTTTTTTTTGGGAGGCTGATCAGCGCAATGTTACAAGAAGAGTGATAAAGAAGAGGGAGAACACGTGAGGAAGCAGAAGCAAAAGCAAAAGCAGAAGCTAAAGCAGAGAAAAAGTGGCGGCAGAATGACAGCGCAGTCGGCGTCAACGCAACGGGTTCAATGGCTGACCCAATTTTTCAGGCACAAGAGCGTGAAAGAGAGAGAGGGGGGGCCGGCGTGGAGGGAGCGAGAGAAGTGGAGTCATCAAAACGAACGGGAATCGTGTTGTGAAAGCCAACAGAGGGAGATGGCTATAGAGAAGCTAAGCAGATCGCAGCATAATGCAAGTTCACCGAGCGATCGCCCTGTCTCATTCACTCCTTGCCGCTTTCGTTGCTTCTAACAGTATGTTGTTGCCTTTTTTGATTGGCATTCCATGTTGTCGTTGTTGCTGTGGGATTTGTTCATGCGCAAACAGTTCGTTGTTACTTTTATGTAATTTCTTTTCATTTCATTTTATTTCATTTCCCTCTTTCTTTCCTTTTCTATGGTACTTGTAATTGCCCTTTTCTACCATTCACTTTCTTTGCCCGCAATAGAGGCAAAAATAATCAGAGTTATACCATAGATATTTGTTTTCAGATCGGCTGAGATCATAATAGCTTCTAAATATGTACATAAATATCGCAGAGATTACATGAAAGTTTATTGAACTTTCGATTTCGTTCATAGAATGCATTGCTGCTAGTATTTGAGTCGCTGAGTCGCTCGGTCAACGAGTCAATGGCGCCCGAGCAGCCTCCGAAACGACAAAAAAGAAAAACTACCGATCCGATCCGCTCAGATCCCAAAAACCGATTCAACTTGCATTGCACACCGAATGCAGTTCGTGAGAAAATCCGATGTGCAGCCAAAATACCTGGCAGCTGAAACGGGAAAGTTTACATTTCGGTGCGGTGAGGGTTGGCAATACTATTCGAAAACTATTGCCAATCGGTTAGAGAACGGATAGGTATTTTTCCATAACAATCGATAACTATTAACTAATCGAATTACCAAACACCACTAGCCCTTTAGTCATTATTAAAGAAAACCAGCTGCCTGATAACTTATAGACAATTCCAGGAAATTGCCTTTACTAACTAGTTTTTGCAAGTCTGCCATTACTTCTTGCCCCAAACTCTTTAGAACTCGGGTGCAAGAGGTACCTAGAACTAGCTCGTGTCGACACCTTTTCCATATGTCCGAGGTTACTGCCAATGACTCTCGTGAAACCCAGTTCGTTTATTACTTTGACGTTGGTAAGACTTCACATTGATTTTGGCTTCAGCCACTTTCCATTGCATAAGTCAAGTAAGTTGCCAAGGAGGCATGGCCTACAAGGAAGGAGTACCACAAGGGGAGTACCTACACACACACACACACACATACACACAGATTGAAGGAGTGTTGAACATGTCGGTCTGTCAAACACTTGAAATCCACTTCCCAACGGACACTCGAGTGTGTCCCACACTTCAAAGCCACCTCCGTTAACCCTTCCTCTTCTCCTTTTTCTCCATCCTCACCTCATTTTTGGTCTTGTGTTTTTCTTTGCAAAGCGTGAAATTTTTGCACTTCCTTGTTTGCATGCAACATACTAGACTCAAATTGCAAAGGCAACTACAAAGATCCCCTGCTACCCTGCCACCCTGCCACCCTCTGCCCGACCTCGACATGGCCCGGCCTTCCTGGTATGCTCCACAACACTCGAGAACGGAGACGGAGGCGGAGGTGGAGGCGAAGGAGGAGGTAACCACCGACTTGGCTGCTCCGCCTCCGTTCGACGCTGCTCGCCTAGTCGCTGATTACATGCAAGCACACACAAATGTACGCACACCACCGGTCATCAAAATGTTGCCAACAGCGACCCAAAAGAGTATGTAATAAGAAACCTAATAATTATGTAAGATACAGAAGACATAATTATTTCGAAACTAATTTAGTTTTACTTTCGATTTAAAAAAAAAGTCTAATAAATTTTAAAAAAATGAAATAAAATAAACATAAATAGTTGGATTGCTATTGGTGCAACCGCAGCTGTGTCGGTGTTTGTGTCATTCGCGTCATTGCATGTTCACCAACGCATCGCCAACTATTCCGCACCACCCCCTGCGAGCCATCGAGCCGCCAAGCCACCAGTAGTCGCTCCTACTGTGCCACTGGCTCTTTGGCTCTTTCATCATGGCAATTGGCGTCACTGCCTCACTGACTGCGAAGTCGGCGCTGACAGTGGCTGCGACTGCGGCTGTGGCTGCGACTGCAGCCGGCTGCAGTTTGCATCATCACCTTGTGCCGTTGTCAGGGCATTGGCACAGTTTCTATACTTACACACTCACACACACACACAACGACGACGACGACGACAGCCATGCACATTTGTTGTTTTCCTTTTTTTCGCTTTTTCGTTTTTTTTTTTGCTTTTTTTTCTCAGCTTGCTTTGCTTCTATTTCGCCTTTGGTTTTTTCTCGTTTTTGCTGCTCTTGCACTTTATCGATAACCAGCTGGGTAATCGGTAACGGGATTTTGCCTGATAACAGGACTTGCAAGCAGGTGAAGATGGCACTTGATGAAGCGACATATTCTAATTATTTAGTAATTTATTTATCTCAATATTTAAAGTATTATAAGATAAGATAAGACTTTAGAAATCAACAAAGGATCTTTTAAAATATCAAAAATATCATAAACTTAATATACGTATACTTAATAAATTCAAAAGAAATTACGTATACGTATTAGGGTACAAAAAATTATCTTTATAAAATGTATCAAAAATCATCAAATCTTCCAATTAATATTTAGTAGCTTTAAAGGCCGAAGCATAAATTATCTTTTGAGCTCTCAATTATTTTGCAATTTGTCTAACAACAAGAACATGTCCTTCGCTTTGATTACTGTCTTGGCTATGATTTAGTTCATCGATTTACTGTTACCGAACGCTTCATTCATTCATAAACCGACATAACAACAGGGTAATTGAGTCCATCTGGCAGCGAAATTGATCTAATGATTGGCTCATATCTCTAACCTTAAACCGATTATATAGTAAGATTAATCCTGTTCGATTCGAGATTCGATGACATGTACCCCAATAAGCTTTATTATCATTTCTGAATAATGAATATTTGAGGCTTGCCAAGTTCCTAGCCATAACGTAATTAAAAATTGCGCTGGTAGGTAAGTCAAGGAGGGTTTCTGCTGATTGCGGCTTAAAAAAAGCTTGACACTTACCACATTCACCAAGGCGGCGGAGGATGCAACAAATGCTGACGACAACAGCGAAGAGGAGGCGAGCAAGTCTGGCGTTTCACTCAAATGAAAATGGCTGCAACAAAGAGATAAATATTAATTACACAATGTAGTTGGGCGGATTTAAGGGGAGTTAGGAAAACATAATTACCCTTAACAGTTGTTAAAAAGTTGTTGGTTTTGGCTATTTAAAAATGCCATTAAATAAAAACTTGTATCTTATTAAATTAGTTATTGCTCAGAGTCCATAGTTTAATACATATTTTTAACTGTCAAAAGAAAGGGGAAAGCCTAGGCAGTCATTTACCTGGTTTATGGCCTAGAGATGTCCCAGGTCCTTTGACCGAAAATCTCGCAGCCTTGGCAGCAGCTTTCCCGCTCCTCAATGCGATCCAGGAAAAGCTGGCCTAACCCACCAATAACACCCCCTGCTACCCGCCCCCTTGAAATCAATGTCTCTGTCTGCCTGTCTGTGCGCCAAAAGAAGAAGCTTTTGAGGGTCGCGGTGAGGGACAAAGTTTAGCACTAGCACCGCACCAGTTTCGCCATTAGCCAAAAGAGAACTCGCTCTCTCGGAAAAGCTCGCTCGGTCGTTGCAAAAAGGCGAACAAGCGAATAAAATACATCTGTGCAATTTCCAACCTCAAGTGAACCAAAACGAATGGACGGCAGGGAAGGGAACGAAGAGAAGGGAATGGAACTGAATGAGCTGAACTCGGCTGAACCGTACTGAACCTGCCCCACGGAGCTGGGCCATTGGGATAGGTCCAAGTCCTCTATGCCTCTGTGCTTGTGTATTAGTGAGCGAGTGAGTGTGTGTGTGTGTGTGTGTGTGCGAGTGCTCGACGGGGACGGCTAAAAATAGTTAAATGCAGTGGCTCGGTCTGTCGGTCACTTGCCAAACACCCCTTGTCCTTCCCTTACGAAGAAAAAAACTAACTAAGACTAACACACGTGGAAAACTGCCCTCAGCGTTTTGTCTTTTGCTATCTTTAGGATCGAAAAATATATTTTAATCATTGATGCACAGTCTTTGGTAAGTTTTTAATCATTTAATATAAAATATTCTAATAAAAACCCTTCCTTTCTTAACAACTTAAAAAGACATCAACAGAATGGTAAGTATAAAAAACAGTTTGATAAAAAAGGAATATTACTTTGTAAGGTTTTTTAATTTAAGCTTAAGTTCTTGATAAGAGTTAAGTTATAGAACAGAAACTAAAGACGATCAAATCAAACACTTTTCTTCATATATTTTCGTTAGGCATACCGATTTTCTGCCAGTGCACCGCTTGTCTTTAGCCTTACCCCGCCCGCTCTTACACATTTGTTTTACATTTTATTGCCTTGCTGGCAGTTTTCTTTGTGCCCAGGTCGTTTTTGTTGTATTTCAGATAGAACTGTAACGCCCACCGCCCACTGTTCAACACAGCCGCCTCTCCCCGCCATTCAGCATTTTTGTTTTCATGCAAAAAGGTTGAAGACCTTTCACCTACTTTTTGTGTGTGCTTCTGCTTCTTCTTCTTTGGCTCTGCGCTTGTTGTTGCTATTTTTTGTTTCGTTTTTGATTTGGTTTTTTTTTTTTCCCCCGTGTGTGTGCGTTTTTTCATTTTTTTTTTTTTGTTCTTTTGGGCAAGAGAAAAGTTTGCATTTTAAATATTTCAACGAGCGAGATGGAGCGATGCAACGGCAACGGCAGAAGAACTGTAAATTTCTAGCGGAAGAAGAAGCAGGGCGACAGAGGGAGATAGAGCTCTCATGTTACGTATACGTACGAGTGTGTGTGTGTGTGAATAATTTGAGTCATTCGGCGAGTGTACTTCTCATATATTTAGAACACTTTTTTGCAGTCTATTCGATTTCTGATTTTGTTCTTGTTTTCGTTTTGTGTTTTGTGTTTTGCTTTTTTGCAGCTTGCACTTGTCAAAAAGAAGAAGAACACGAAGATGAAGAAAGAGTGAAACAAGAGAGAATGCTGATCACTCGTTATTAACCCTTAACAGGCAATATCAAATAACTCTTGTTTCACATTGATTTAACAATATTTTTTAATACTTTTAAGACATCTAAAAATTCTGAAAATTGAGAAAATTATTAACCTTATCACTTCAATCGAAGTAAGACTGTACAATATTCCCGACTGTAAACTTAGTCACCCATTATTCGCAGTGTCTCAGAATTTTTGGGTTAACTGGCTTTTAAGCAAAGGATACTATTGGAGGTCCTTGGCAGTCTAGACTCGGGACAGCCCTCCACCGGAACCATTTCACCCCATGTAGCTCTCTCTTTCTCCCTTCGGCTTCCTTTCTCTTTTACACCACGCTTAGCATGCTCCGCAGCTTTCTTCTTTTGTTTTTCTTTTTTTTTTCTTCTTTTTTGGCAATGCCAATCGCAAAAATGTATTTGGGTCAATTATAAATATTAAACGCAATTAGCAATGAAATTTTTAATTTCATTATCACCGAAGCTAGCGTCGCTGCCGACGCTGGCATGAAAGAAGGCAATACGAAAAACTTGAATAAAACTCGATGACAACGTCGGCTGATAAGAACGGTCTACTGTATACTATATAGCATAGTTTTTCGTAAAGGGCTTGGGTTTCCGACCCGATGTCTTCGTCATCAGAGCACTCTGCAATGTCAAGACTTTTGTTACCTTATTTTTTTACCTAAGAAGGTATACATTTTTTGTTATGAGAATTCTGCTTACTTTGTGGCAAATATCAGGATAATGACTTTTGACAGAAAATGGTTATATTTTTAATTGGTTTTATACCTATAACTTGGTCAAAACAAGACGTGCAGCTAGAAGAAACACTGTTTTGTGCAGCTAACGACCAAAACTAACTTTCCTTATCATTAGTTTGTTGATTTTTGGAAATTTAATTTTTGACAAAATTTTGATATTTTTGTAAGGGGTAACATGATTAAAAATTGCGAAAAATGTCCAAAATTTGACATTTCAAACTGTGAATGCAGTTCTTCTGGAATTTTGATTACGAGTTCAGCGATATATGACTTTTTATATTGCGACCATTATTGGCTTCGTTCTAAGAAGAATTCTGAATAATTCAGGACAAAAATCAGGATAAAGACTTTTGACGGAAAATGTCAACAATTTTTATAGGATTCATACCTCTAACTTACCCAAAACAAGACGTACAGCTAGAAGAATTAATGTTTTGTGAAGCTAACGACCAAAACTAACTTTCCTCATCATTGGTTTGTTGATTTTTTGGATTTTAATTTTTCGTAAATTTTTGAATTTTTTGTAAGGGGTAACATCATTAAAAATTGCGAAAAAAGGGAAAATTTTTACATTTTAAGGTGTGGATACAGTTTGACTGGATTTTTAATTACGAATCCAGCGATGTATGACATTCCTTAGTCCGACTATTATTGGCTTTGCTATGAGAAGAATTCTGATTATTTTCGGGGGAAAATCAGGACTACGACTTTGGACAGAAAATTCCATTATTTTGTATCGGTTTCATACCTATAACTCAGCCAAAACAAGGCTCAGAGCTAAAACAACGACTGTTTTGTGATGCTAAATACCTATACTAACTTTCCTCATCATTTGTTTGACGATTTTGTGAATTTGAATTTTTGGCAAAATTTCCCATTTTTTGTAAGGGGTAACATCATTAAAATTTGCGAAAAAGTTGATAATTTTTACATTTTAAGGTGGGTATACAGTTTTATTGGAAATTGAATTACGAGCTAATCGAGGTATGACACTCCATATTCGGGCCATTATTGGCTTAGCTATGAGCAAAATACTTTCAGAATAAAGCAAATTTCGAGTCATCTTGGTCCAAACTGTAGGATTGGTCTTGAACCTCGCCAATTCGTAGAGCGATGTTTGAAAAAATTTAACCAGCTAACTTGATTTAGGAAGGACATATGTAGATTTATATAAAGATGTTATAAAAATGGTCATCTTTATTATAAACAAAAATAAATTGCTTTTGGGAAGTTGATATTAGATCTATAAAGGCCAAATAGCAACGGAAATTGTAATTTCCTGAGCAAGGCAAGAAAGAAAAATATCTTTTGGTTTTCTTATTCGATTTCGGTTCGGTGCAAATGCAATTGTGTTATTCGAAAAGTCCTTGACAAATGCCAAACGATGACCAGGGATTGCCAACACACACACATGCATACACAAATACCCCCCTTGCCGCCCACAATAGCCCCCAACAACAATAGCAACTACTCACCTCGTATTCTCGCTCTTTCAGCACGTTCGCCGATGTTTGTCTTTGACTCGAAATGACCTTAAACTGGGTTAAAGCTCGCCAAAGTTACCTCAAAAGGAGGATGGCAGCGGTGCGATGCGGGGCAGATTGTAAATTGAACTTTCTGTGCAACGGAGCATGGCCAGCGAAGAAGAGAGAGAGAGGGCAGCACACATATCATAGGAAGAGAGCGGAAGAGAAAAGCAGTTTGTTTGCCTAAATGCAGCTCATGAATCATTCACATGCAACTATGAATATGCAAAAGCGAACCGCTTTGAATGCACAATGAATATGTGCACACATGCACACACAACAGACAACAACAACTACACCTGAACAAAAGTGCAATCAAAATTTGTTTACCAAAACAAACCTAAAAACCGACACCTAAAATCTAATTCTATATAACATTATCTCTTTAATCAATATTATGTTATACGAGGTGTGTTCAAAAAGTAAGGTGACTCTTCAAATTTCGCGAATTTCAAATTTTTCGATTATCGATTTTTTTGTTTTGTTATATTGGTACACTCTTCCCTAACATCTGTACCAAGTTTCAATGGAACATCCTCTTTTGTTTGGTTGTGAGAGGCGTAAAGTTACAAGTTATTTTGCGAGCTCGGCGATTTTTTGCTATCGAAAAATATGGATCAAAGGATTTGGATTTTTTGGCCAAAAACAACACCACAATAATGCCTCAGCCACCATATTCACCGGATTTGGCCCCATGTGACTTTTTCTTGTTCCCAAAACTGAAGATAATCGAAAAATTTGAAAAATTTGAAATTTGAAAAGTCACCTTACTTTTTGAACACACCTCGTATAACTTCTAAAAGGTTTCGATAATCGAAAAATTTGAAATTCGCGAAATTTGAAGAGTCACCTTACTTTTTGAACACACCTCGTATTAACATAACTTGTAAAAAGTTAATCTAAAAATCTCTCTCTTAAAAAACAAACAGTACATTAAACCAAAAGTTTGGGAAATAACAGTACTTACTCTCTCATATAAATACAGTTACCAGCTGACAGCTCTTCTAATTGCCTTGCATGTAATTCATTTTCTATTTGCCAAGAGAAAGTAAAAACAAAAAACATACATACATCCATACATACACCTATGCTCATCACTTAACCACATACACCAATACACACGCGAGCAAGTCAATACATTTTATTGCCCATCAAAAAATCAAAAAAAAAAAAATTTAACGCTTCGTTTTCTATAGTTGTTTTTAACCTCTCTTTCATTTTTTTTATTAATTTCTTTTTGTGTAGGCGTTAAGTCGTCGGCGCAGTGGAAAAGAGAGAAGCGAGAGAGACGACTTTTAAACTAAGCTTGAGTGTTAAATAAACAAATAAAAAAAAGAGCCGCAGAGCAGAACATTTGAGAGAGCGAACTAAAGGTGAATGACTTTAGGTAAAAAAAAAAGTTGCGCCGTCAGCTCGTTTTCTATCTCTTTTTATCCCCCTTTTTAGTTCCCCTTCTAGCTCCCCTTTTTCCCGATCATTTCGATAACGAAAATGCAAGGCATTCGTTAGCGTTTTCGTTTCTTTTCTTTGTACATATTCATGTACAGTGCAGACTTCTTACAGTGAACAATGAATACCAACTTCGAACTAAAATAAACTGTAGAATAGCAATAATAAAGGATAGAAAATTAAATAATTTATGATAAAAAACAATAGATCTATGATATTTCAAGGGTTCCCATATTTATAGAGTGACCACTGTATTTTTGGCTACCCAAAACACAGAGAAACTTTCAGTATGCAGAACCAGGAGAGCGAGCTTTTTGGCGCTCACGAGCTTTCTGTGCTCGCAGTCGGCTACGACTACTCGACTTCGGCAAACGGCAATGACAGTGTAGCCGTGCCTCGTACTTTAGATTCTGCCTTTGCCTTAGTAGGTCAACAAAATTCCGGACAATGGCCTTTCGCTTTCGTCGGCGACTGCGGCTGCGGCTGCGGCGTCAGCTCTGGCAGCGCTGCAACTGTGGCAGAGCTTCGAAATGTAAATAGAAGCTAAGGCAAACGCAGGCCGATGGCGCCCATCGCCACCCAGTCCCTCTTTCTCACCCCCCCGCCCCTTAAATATGGCGATGGCGACGCGACGATGAACATGAAGATATTTCAGTCGCCGCCGCTGCTGCAGTTGTTATTGTTGTTTTTGGTTGTTTGTTTTTGTTGCTTTCGATGGCGTAATAGGCGCATGCAGATGCCCATACATGTGCTTTTGTATGTATGTATGTATTAATGGGCATATAGATAGTCGAAATTTTTGATTTGGAATTTCCCCAAGTGTAAGTAACCTGAGATACTAATAAGTAATATATGTATATATCTAGGTAAAAGGTAAAATTGCTGGATCCTAAAGGTTATCCTAAAAGCTTCAATGCAAAGAAATAATGCTGAGGTATTCCAAGAAGAAAATCGGACTTTTGCACTCTCAAGATATTGTTGCATACTTTTCAGCATATCTTTAGGGAGCTCCTGTGAAAAGGTCCCATATCAGTTGTCCCATTTTTTTGTGTTATTACAAAATACACACAGTACTTAATCAACTATTCTTTGCTTTTGGCCAAATTCCTAACGCCAATCAGAAGGCCATTATTTTTGACCCACGTGTCATTTCCTGTTAACCGAATAACTTCGATACTAACTTCTCGTCAGTGAACACGTTTAGTGAAAAGTGCAAAACAAAAAAACGGAAAATTTTCCAAACCGAAACTAAAAAAAAAAACAGTGCAGCGGAAACCCCTCAGGTATGTTAGCTATGTAGGTTAAAGGGCAGCGTTCGTTGCACTCGCAGACTGAAGGACAGCAGCCCCTGATGGGTGGTGGTGCAGAGGCTGGTGTACTGGGTGTGGGGTGGCCTTACATAAAAGTTCAGTGGGGACGCGGGGCTATGGGAAATGGCATCGCCAGCCAGCCATTAAGCCACCAAGCCACCCCGGCCACCCAGCGAAGTCACGGACTTTAGAGTGTGCTTCAAGAGGCGGCGACAGGGAGCAGAGCCCCACCCAGTGCCCCAACTACTGCACCATCCCCCTTGGCGTCTCGCCTCCTGGCATTGCATATTCATGACGCTACACGGAAAAACGAAAATTTGTTCGCAACTTTGACATTAGTGAAAAAGAAAGGGTTGCCACCGACATGGTGGCAATACTTAAGCTGTCATCTACCAATAATTTTCGGATATTACAGAAGTTGTAAAGGTTTTAGTAAACTATAACTCTGTTAATATCTTTATAGATAGCGGGGATTAAGGAATTAATATTTACACCTTGACATTAGCGAAAAAAAGGGTTGCCAACGATGTAAATGCTTAAACTGTCATCGATTCTCTAACGAAAGCATTTTCGGTTTATAGTTCAAAGTAAACTACAACTCTGTGTTTCTAATATCTTTTTAGATCAGTGTGATTTTGGAATAGCTATAGAAAAGTCTATATCTGATATCTGCACATTTGAACTTACTTCGCCTACCTACGACAAATCTAGTTCCGTATTCGCAAAGCAGCTCCATACTTAATTCCCGAACAGCCAACCACTAGCACAGGAAACATGTCTATTGCTCAGGGCGACAAGGAAATTCCAATGAATCAAGCAGAAGATGCTAGAGACAATGCCATGCTTAACTGGATCGACATGGTGCAGCAGTCGCCGGACCAGCTGCCCCGCCGTTTGCCCTCCAGCCGCATGAGGCATCGGAATTTTCGAAGTTTGCCCAAATTTACACACCCGATATTCCGTGACCAACTCCGCCGTGCCAGACGCTTGAGCAACATGGATCTGCCGCCTATGATGGAATTCTTTCGTAAAGTGTCAGATGTAGCCACCGGCGAGATTTCCCAAAAACATCTACAAATTATGATTTTCTTGTCCCTTGTTCTGATTCCATCCATCATGGAGCTGGGACCGCGCATCGACTTTCCGGACCACTGGCGACAGACTGGATTACTCCGCTTCGTCAAGCGCCGTCCTCTGTCCATGTCCTTTCCAGGCAACGTATGCCAGGTTCTTATTCGCTGCACTCTGGATGCCATTATTCCGATGATTTGTATACACAGTACGGCAAATCCCAATCGGTTCAAGCTACCTCCGCCATTCAAGGGCCTTAATCTTGAAGTGCCGGTCAACATAAATGCTTACGCCATTTGCCTACTTCCATATATATTGCGCCTAAAGGCCAATTTCTGCCTCTTCGTGGCCGACACTTGGCTCGTTTACAATGACCACGTTGAGAATATTGCCGACAGTTACTACACCTGGCGCCTAATCATCTGTTTAAACCATGCTTTGCAGCTCACCTTCGCCATGGAGCTGTTGCTCCTCATGATACAGGGACTGATGGGCTTGTGGCAGGCGTACCGCATCTACATGATGCTAACCAAATCTAATAAAAACAAAGTGGCTGTTTTCGAACAGGTAGATGGTGTGCTCTTTCCTGTATTCTGTAAATATCCTGTAAATCCCACAGAACGCGGCAAATAAGAGGAAATTCTGGTACAAGCCCAGCGAAGATGCCTTGGCCGTGTACGTAGCCGTCAGGGAGCGCGTTGTGGTCTACACTATGTAAAGGGGAGACTAAGCAACCCAAACTCAAGTTTTGACACAACGAAATACGTAAGTTAATTATTTGAATGTTATAAACTCACCGCTCGTTACTTCGGCTATTTAAATGAATATTATTCCTGCTGCTGGTGCTGCTGCTGCTTGTCCTGAATCGGTTTTTAGTTCGAACCTTAGAGTTCGTAATTGGGCTTGTAGTTTTGTAAATATAGTTTATATCAAAGTTGCCAATTTTTTGCCTTTGCAAAAAGTGTTGCACAAAATGTTGGTGGCTGCAAGTAGAGAAAGAATTAAAATATATTTTAAATATTTGCTAGTTTTAGGGTACTTTTTAATGGTTGCTGTCATGACTTTGCTTTTAGCCAATGCCCTAACCCGAAGCGGCCCATGCTTGCGCCGTGGTCTGAACAGATGGCGCCAGCTAATAGTTTATTTTTTGCGCCAGATGGCGTATTGCTTTTGTTTTGATTGCTTTTTAAGAGATCCAAAGCACTCTTAAATTTTTGTAGTTTTCTCTCTGAGCTTCGGTCTCTTAGTCCCTAGACTCTCTTCTCTTAAAAGAAGTTGTTGTTGCATTGCGCGTGCCTATATATATGTGTCAATCGGTTCCATTAACCCCAACGGTGTATGTATGTATGAACGTAGATAGATATATATACATATGTATGTGCCGAGACAGCGCTGCGGCAGCGAAAGGTCAACAAAGTACGTTTCATGGACACATGCATTCGCGAACTCTTCTTTTTAAATGGCCTTTTTGTCGTTGTTGGGGCTTACTATGATTTTGGTTTTTAGTTTAGATTCAATTTTAATGGTTAAATAATGATTATATAAAATAATATATCAATAAGGCATAGGAGAATCATAAGATCCTTGTTTAATTTTATAAGTATTTTTGGAAATCTCTTTAGTTTTTAGTTTTTTTTTTCTGCTAATTTAATTGGTTTTTACGTTTTTTGTGGTTTTGTTTGTTTTTCCCTAGACGGGGGGACATTGTTGTTAATACAACGCCCACTTTTACACTACCACAATCCCAGCACCTGCTTTCTCCTCCTCGCCACACACTCGGGTCATTGCTTGCAATTCTACTCCTCAGAGTCTTCTTCTTAGTACAGTACACTCTCTAAATGGCAAAATGTGCTCATAATAACTTTCACAGCGTAAAAGCAATGTCTGCTAGCACCCGTTATTCAATTGAAATTAATCATTTGGTAGATTTTACTAAACCTAATTCTGAAATCACAATCATGAGCAATTTATTTCAATCGGTAAAGCAAACACCCCTGGTTTTCATGGGTTCACCGTATCGAGCGGGCACTCCATCTCTGTTGCAACTGCAAAAATGCGGAAGAATATGTAACGCAATGCAGAGGGGCCAGGCATCACCAGCAGGCATCACCAGGAAAACGAAGAGGAGAATAAATAAATAGGAAAAGAAGAGTCGAGTCGGTTGCAAAATGAAAACAAAATTAACTGCAGCGTCTAGCGATCGCAGACAGCTAGAAAAATGAAATAAATGGAAAATGGAAAATGGAAAATAGAAAATAGAAAAAGGGGGGCCAGGCTAAAAACTTGCAAGATTTTCCAATACAAGAACTCTAAGAACTTCGAACAAAAAATTATTGAACCTCTTTAGTTAGTGGTCACAATAATCGTTGTTCTTCCAAGAAGTTAAACATCTACCATAATTCATGTTTACCAACTTATAAGCCTTATTACGCTGGGGGTTATTTGAACTTATTAGACAAGGAGAAATATAGAATAAACAGTTAATTGAATAACAAAGATTGGTAACCGTAACACTGATCATCCTAAGTCACCCAAGTAGAGTGTTACATAAATTTAATTCCAGGTCGACCGATCGAATCGAACCCAATGTCCCGTGGCCCCAAGGCAAGTGCAACAACAGTTGGCCGAGGGCATGTTCATCCTGTGGGATATATCCGCCAACATTCCCTCCCAAACTTATCCCCCTACCAAACACACAGCAACGGCAATGGCAACCGGGCGCATGCAAATAAAAATAGATTTTTCTCGGTATATAGGATAACGACCACCAACGACCCCAAAGTTGGAACGCCGACGCCAACAGCGGACGGTGACGTCGGACGGGACGCGCCAACGTTCTCGGGCAACGACCGGCAAAAACAAACGCAAACGCATCCAAAGTTTGCCTACCCCCAAGCAAGCAGAAGCTGCCTGCCTGCTCCCTCCAATCCCTATCTCTCTTTCGGTCCCTGCCTTGTTCTGTTTCCCTATAGCCCTCTTATTCTGTTTTCCACTAGGGTGGACCAATACTCAAGACTTTAGTAATGTCCTTTGGAACTTGAATCTTAATTAATTCTGCTTAATACCTAATCAATTAAAGATCTTATTTATTAATAAGATTAATCATTTCTTGAGAGTAAGAGAACCTAGTTTAGGTGCTGTTAAAGAAGTACCACCCTAATGCTCACCTTCCCTCCTTCCGTGTGTTTGTCAAAGAGCGAGAGAGTTCTCTCTTTAGGTCCTACACTCACACAGGCACAAACATACACACACTGGCACGTAATACTTCGTAGGGGTTGCTGACCTCTTCTCAGGGTCGCCGAAGGTTGTTGAACTCGGCAGCGCGCTATCTATCTCGCTTGCTCCCGTTTGGAACCGGCCCTTGTCTGTTGACGAGGGTCGCCTGTGCTCCCTATTTACCCCTCCCCCTTGCGCTCCTTTTTGCGGCCTGAAATGTGTGCTGGTCGTTGGCCTTTCCTTTGCCCCTTCTCTGTCGCTCCTTCGTGACGTAATGTGGCAACAGGGCATTCCCGATTGCCGCTTCTTCCTCTTCCTTTTGGCACCTTCTATACCACACCACCGTCCTCGTCCTCGTCCTCGCTTTCGTCCTCGCCCTCCTACTCCATTGTTGCCGCTGCTTTTTGTATTCCCATTTATTCAGTTTTTTCTTGTATTTTTTTTTTTTTTTGTATTTAGGGGAAGCGAAATGTAGGGCTGCTGCTGCCGATGCACCCTGCGTTTGTGTGTGTGTGTGTGCGCGCGGTTGTTGGTGCATAGTTCAACATTGTCTGAGGTTAGGGTTGAATGCTCGACGGGTCCGCTCTGCTCCGCTCTTTTCTACTTTTCTACTTTTCCGCTGTTCTGCTTTTCTGCAGTTCTGGTCCCGAGCCAATGCGAACTAACTATTAGGGAACCCAACCCCAGCGCTTATTACAATCTGCAAAATGCGACACCTTTTAAAGGCCTTTTATCGAGTTATCAAGTTATTTGCCTTTGGTGGTTTTCAAGGGGAAAACTCGCGCTCAGAACTTAGTTAATCCTATCATGCTGCATAGAAGATCAAAACAGTTTCCTGAATGAGAATATGGTATTCGTAGGAATCAATCTTTCCTCTATTCCACTGCTCAAGGAAGTGTTCTAAACTTTTGTTTTGTATTTCCTCATCTCAAGTAATAGTAAATCTGTATGTACATAGATATATCCCAGTCACTATGATTTTGCATAAGTTTTTTTTTTTTGATTTCTTGTAGGAGAATTGAGAATCGATAATGCCTAGGCTAATTCTGTCAGCGTTAGTTAGTAATCTTTCGATTTCAACACTAGGCAACAGTAACTTTTGGTATCTGATTCTTCTAGGCCTTTTAAACACCCTCCCCTTCCCCTTTCATTCCGCTTCCCCTTACCCTGCCCCTTTCCCTGATCCAGCTATTTTCTTTGCTTTTTGCTGTCGCCTGGTTTATCAGTCGGATGACTGGCGCGTGGTTAGCTTTTATCGGTCATTCGCCTCCTACAACGATTGTGGAAAAGGGATAGGGATAGGGAATACGAGAATGAGAGAAAAGGAGAAAGATAGCCGAGTGCGGGAGTGGGCGATGTTGGCGGAGAATCTAGGAGAGTGCGTAGTGGTCAGCAATGCGTCACAATCAATCACACGCAAAGCGAGAGAAAGAGAAAGAGAAAGAAGGCGGGGGAGCAGAAAGGGGGGAGCTGGGAGAATAAGAAGGAAAAAGCCATGACCGTGAAGTTTAACGCCCTCCGGGCAATGTTAACGTCGACGCCGCAGCCGACAGTGCTTCCCACAGTCCACAATCTACAAGATACATTCCACACCATTCCACGCTATTGCGTGTTCCACTCTTGGTTAATGTGGAATCAAAGTTATAAGAAGGTTTTCTCAATTTTAAAGAACTTTTGGTATTTATATAAATATAAATTTTCTTATTTTGGGCTTTAGGTTAAAAATAAAATGGTTTTAACGTTCCACTTTCTTTAGCTTTTTTAGAGTTTTGAGTTGGTATTTTAGAATGCAAAATTTTCAAATTTCCTAATGCCTGGTGGCTTTGTGGTAAGCATTAACCAACAATGGCAAAATCTAGTACTATCTTTGACTTTTCACTCCTGCGCTTTTCCCACCTTTCTCCCCTTTGCCATAGCCTTTGTCTTTGACGTCGGCCGAGGCAGAAGCAGCGGCAGAGCCAGCGACAGCGACGTTGTCGTTTTGTGGTTTGACATTGAACTCGAAATTGATGCGCACCGCTGAACAAACGCGTTGGACACCCCACATCGCCTCTTCCTTAGCCAGCAATAACCACCCACCAGCTTGCCCTCTCGCTCTAGCCAGCTTCATCTTATAAGCCATTTCGCTTTGCCACCTTTTTTCATTTTATTTGGCTTTTGGTTGGTTTTGGTATGGAGGGCAAGTTCAGTGAACTTTCGCATAGAAAGCGCGCAGCAGAAATCTCATTTTTTTTCGGCTTTGACTTTCAAGCTTGCCGAAATCTAGGTATTTGTGTGCGTGTGTGTATATGTGTATGTTAGATAGTGTGGGAATGTAGGCGTGTGAGTGTGCTAACAATTAGCAAGTGAAAAGAAGCTAGAAAACTATTGTTGACCACTTGGCAAGAAATATTAAGATTAGTTTGTTGTTACGCTTGAAATATTCTTAAAAAATCGTATTTTTGTTTTTTATTTTCAGAAAGGCACTAATGCAACCCTTATATTAGGATTTAACAACTAACAGTGACTGATAAAAACAACGTAAGGTTCCTATGGAAGAAAAGAAAGCCTTTCCAAATAAAAATCAAAATGATCTCAAAAAAGCCACCTTGAAATCATTTTGGTAGGAGATATTAAGATTGTTTTATTTTTACCAATGAAAAATTACTCAAAAATCAAATTATATCCTTTTTCAGAAAAACACGAACCCTTTATATAGAGATTAAACTATAGACATCGGCTGATGCAAACTACATAAGGTTACCTTGGAATAAAAAGAAGCTGTTCCAAATCAAAATAATCTCCTCAAAAAAGCCGCCTGGAAAACATTTTGATGATCTTCAACTTATACGTTTACAACTTATACTTATTATTATTCCATAAATCAAATAAAAACTGATACTCATGCAAATAGATAAGTCAGAAACTTTTAATTATACATATGTTTCTACGATCATGGGTTTTCTTTTTTGGGCAGGAAGTATAACCATACTTAGCGCGAATGATGGAGAGGAATTTGGCTGAAAATGGCCAAAAGATAAGGCTATAAACAGCCGACTAACGGAATCGGTGCGTGTACGCTTTATTATGTATTCGTTTTTTTTTTTTTGTATTTCTTCTATATGCTCCATATACATATTCAAGAACCGAATTAAGTTCATAAGCGAGTAAAGAAAAGAACAACGGCAACAGCAACAGCAACAACAACAATGGCAAAGCTCAAGAGCAGCAACAACAAAAACAGCGACGACCAATTTTATGAAAGTCACAGTCAAGGTCAACATGCGTGCAAAGAGCGAGCGAGGCGGCACGACTGCTGAAAGAAAGAACCGCGGATCTTTGTTGTTAATGTGTATGATACATTGGGGTGGACCTGTTTTATATTGGCTATTTGAAGGCACCCACTGAAAAGGTGTATTTATGAAAAATTTCAAATGAACACATAAAAGTATGTTAGAAAAAATGTAAGCCTACCGCCCACGAGGCGTATGCGTAATATTTTAAAATAAAGTTTTTGTGTAGGAATATTTTAAAGATATAGTAAAACGTATTATTTTTTTACAAAAGCAACAGGTGCTCATGATTTTTATCATAGTCTTGCAATTTCAAACTAACACCCTTATTTATTTTGATAAAAAAAAAATCTCAACTGGTCCACCTCATGGAACATATTTTCGCTTGGATTTCTATCTATGATAAGCGCACAAAGAATTTCATATTCGCACTCGTGTACGAAAGTGTGGGTGCGGCGATCAACAAGGAAGTGCATGAAAATCGAAGTAGTCAACGAAAGGCAAAAACAAAAAAGAGCAACAACAATCGCAGGTTAAAAGCGGAGCCAAAAGCAGGCAACAAACGAAATCAAATCAAAAGTATTAAAAAAAAAAAATGACTCACTTGATCCCCACGGCACCAACACAGGCGCATAAGCGTGTACACACATGGATACAAAATGGCTAGGTCGGTCGTTCAACCTGAAATCGCGAGAGCGAGAGAGAAAGAGAGAGTAAGAGAGAATTCAACCGGCCGGTTTCGCTCTCTCGCTCTTCATTTCATAACGCTTCTGGTTTCAGTTTTCGTTGTTGTTGTTTAGGGTTTAATGACATTGCCGGTTCTTCTTCTTCCTCGTCGTTGTTTTTTTCTCTCTCCTCCTCTTTCTTTATATTTTTATTTTTATTCGTATTCGTATTCGTATTCGTATTCGTTGTTGTAGTTGTTCTCTGCGGCTTGTTTATTTATTCTTGCAAGGCAAATACAACTACTACAACTAAAACTACAACAACTTTGCCGACTGTACAGTGAATACAAATGTAGAAATAACAGGCAGCTCCAATGAGCTCCACATAGCCCATAGCCCGTCCAGGCGACAAAGTAACTGAACGAAAGCTGCAAGACACGCCGCACTTTCCCCGAAAACGGTCAACCCCACAAGAGTTTTTAAACCCTTTACGTTTTCTTAAAACTCAAAAGTATTTCAAAATGAGTTTTTCTTCTTTACATATGCCATCAAACTTGAAAAAGCATAGATCAAATAATATTAAGTTTTTACGTATACTTAATATTTTACATATCGATATCTTTATCTATCTTATTACGTGGTTAATTGAAAACGTAATGGACGCATTTGTTGGGTGTGCAATAAAAACGGCAACAACTGCCGCAACTTTCTGCTGTGCTGTATTTTTACTTTTTAGTTGTTGTTGCCTGCCCCCGACGACGCTGCTTTGCTTCCTCTGCCAACGTCGACAGAGCAGATCTGAGGTTTTGTTTCTTTTGCTTTTGGTTTTGCTTTTTGCTTTTTGCCTTTTGCCTTTGCTTCTGTTTCTGCTTTTGTTTTAGCGCGCTCACAAATGTGTGTTAGTTGGCGGTCATTCACACTGAACGTGCCCTTTTTGTTGTTGTTTTTCTTTTGGTTCGTTGTGCGCGCTTTCCGTGTGTGTGTGCGTGAGAGATCTCTGTGCCTGTGTGAGTGTGCAGCAACTTAAACTTGACGTTTAACATTTTTGAGCCTTTTTTCATATCTTTTTTCAAATCTCTGTCGTATATCGCTTTTACCTTATTACAAACGTGTAAGAGGGAGATGCAAGATTTGTATATATATATACATATATGTATTTCGTTATTACTGCATGCAGTGCAATTTGCATTTAAGCTGGAATTGACGTCATTATTGAACGGATTACGCAATTCCGCAAAACCAAACTAATTTAACCATATCTGCTCAAAAATCGTCGGCTGAAAGAGACAGCAAGCAAAAGGGGGGAAAGCATGGGCGAAAACACTCACACACAAGCACAAGAGGGCGGAATGGTAATGGGAGTAGTGTAAAAGTAAAAGGTCATTGAACGAACATTGTACCTATTTCTGCTATTTACACACATTTCCATTCCCACATAGATGTGCCATTGCCAGTGCCTGTGTGTGTGTGTGTGGGTGTTGGTATGTGGGCGAATTGTTATTACTATTCGCCAGTTACAAAAAAAAATATATACAAAGTGACGGAAAATTAAAAGAGAAACCCGTACTTCCGATAACAGGCATAAACAACGATGCGAATACCCTATAAATCTAGATATTACATGATTACATATTATATTTTGAAATTATACAATATGTGTCCAAAAGCCATTTGACCATTTAACCTTTATGCTACCAATATCTTAGGCATATACAATACAATATTACCTTTTAAGAGAAGAGCTTTTACTGCACTCACAGCCAATAAACCGCTTTGCTGGGAAAGGGAAAACTGAATGATGGCTTTTCGTATTCCGTACTCGAACAAGTCAACAACCGAGTGGAGAAATTTGAGAAATGAAGTGGAAGTGAAATGGTGAAATGGCCCAAAAGCTACAAAGTCAGTTGAGGAAGATCGCAACCCACTAGATCAGATCAAATGGGCTTGGAATGAATCGGATCTCCTGCATAACTTATAGAAATAGACATAAGTTTCGAACTCATCTGAGATCTTCAGGTGACGAGTCCAAAGACCGCAACGTGATCATTCCCTTTCTCCTGTTGGCCAAAGAAAGCGACCAAAATTGCCAAAGTAGCTTAACAAGACTAAACAAGGAAAAGTGCTAGCCTAGCCAGAAGTAACATGCTAATCCAACACATATCGGTTACAACGAAAGGTATCAAATTGTAAATCCCGAACTAGATGATTCATCCAACTATTGAAAAGTGCAGTCCAAGCGGAAGTCGGTTTTTAATCCCAAAGAACGCTCAGGGCGTTCCATAACTACCCAAAAGATCGGTTTTGGAATGCAATCGAAAGTTGTAATACCCATAGAATTTCGAAATGTTTTATTTGATTTTCGTTGATGAAAGATTCTGATGAATAAGTCGTTCAGTCCAACAGCGCATAATTAGCAATTATGACTAAGGGATAGAAAAGCGAGTGACAAAGAGGGAGTGACAAATGAGGAGAAAGTATAAGAGAGAGAGGGGAGGCGATAGGGAGGCAATAAGAACTTTATCGAGGCACTGACCCCTGGGCGATTTATACGTTACGTATGTACACACATATGTACATATGCCTGGGTACCATTGACTTCACATACCCTCCTCCTTTTTATCCGCCCGCCCGTCAGTCACTGTGCATAATATTGTTAAAGCTATCAAATGGCAAGAGGAAAAAAGAAATAGTACAACGACAAACTAGAGATAAGAGAAATTACAACTCATTTCTTTCGACTTAAACCAAGATTCGATTGGGATCAAGCGACAGTGGCAATTGGCGCTTGGGTAACGAGGAATTAAGAAATGAAACAGGTTAGGGCGCAACGTATTGAAATGGAACAGCAGTGATAAGCGTGTTTACGTAAGAAGTTCTCAGGTCTACGTACCGAGTTCTCAGGTGCATTGCCTTACCTTATCCCAAGGGAGATATTGTATGAGTATACGCGCTAAATAAACTTCAAGTTCATTGGCATTGATTAAAATGCAAGGCGAAACGAAATGAAACCAAACGAATCGAAACGAAATGAAATGAAACAAAAGCGATAACCACAATAACTTGCCACGCACATATGCATGTGTGTATGTGAGTACAGCAACAAAAGTTTTACAAAAGGAAAAGTTTGAATTTCCTTGTATAATATTCTATGGCATAGTAGCCTTATAGAGGCATGTAATTATTTAAAGACTATTGTTTGTCATAGAAAGATGGCATAGAATTCAGGAAAATTCACGCTCTTATGAGCCCTAGCATACAATTATATAGAATATATAGCAATATAGATATAGAAAATAGTAAACAACAGTGTCTTAAAAACTACAGTCTAATAGCTGCTCAAATACAACTCCATAGTACCTAAAAAACTAGTTAAGAGCTTCTGAAAATCCCCCATAAGATGTTGTTTTCGGTATTTAACAGCTGGCTGAATTCGGGGCTGGGAAGTCATTTGATTTTGGATTTCTGGCTGCATGGGCATTTTCCCTATATTTTCCCTTAATTGGCGAACCAACAAAATGCGTGTGTGTGTGTTTGCTTAAACCTTTGCCTCCCAATCGTGCCACCCTCTCTGTCCATCCCGTTCTAGCACATGTGAGCCATGTAAAACGGGGGTTACATGACATTGAAACCGATTTTGAAGGTTTCAACGGTTTGTGTCTCTGGACAGGGTAAGTTCTACTGCCTCCTCGCCAGAAATACCTACGAAAAGAAAAACAGACAGAAAACCAGAATAAAGCGTTGCCCCTTTTTTTTACGAGCTCTTCCTTGTTTCTTTGCTGTAATGGCGAAATATACACAAATTTTGGAATCTCTCTGACGCCCTTGTCACTACATTTTTGGTCATTGGCCTCGCACGAACCAACGGATACAACGCACACTTCCACAAAAAGGCCAGTGGCGTACCCGATTTATTTTTTTGGAGTTTTGTGGGCCAAAAAGCCCGAATATTTAGAACTTCTTGTAAAGCGAATCGTTGCAATAACTAATATGTGTACTTGGCAATTAATACAATTTATTCTTATACTCTCATATTCTGTTTTCGAACACCACTTAGGATCTAAAAACCCCTTGAGATACTCCCGTCTGCACCCCTGTGTGCCCAACACATACATACATATATGTACGTGTATATGCCAATGTAGAGCCATTTGGGACTTGGTAACAAGCGGCAGTCGTAATGCGAAGAAGCAGGGAGCAAAAACAAAACAATGCCAATGCCCAGACCCTACAGACCCCAACCCCCTACCACCTCCTTTACTTTCTGGATCTAACCCCCCTTAGCCCTGCTCCCCGTGTAGATTCCCCAAGTTCCAGGCGTTGTTATCGTGCGTTCGCCAACCCACCCGCTACTCACAAGCACAAGCACACAGACACACGTACATCGGCAATCAGGAAGAAGAAACCAGCCAATAAAGTTGCGATGGGGATTACGTCGCACCTTGGACTCCCTTCCCTTCTCTGTATCCATAAGATTGGCTTGCCTATTCGATGTCTATTTCTAAATTTGCAAACATTAAGCTTAAAAACAACAAATTTTGATTGAAAAATACAAAAGTTTAGTGAGAAAACATTTTAAATAAAAAGTATCTAAAGAAGTTTCTTAGCAATGAAACCGAAGATTCAGCCGTTTAAGTAAGGTTAGGGAAATCCTTATTTAAAGCTATTCTGATGCTTAATATAGTAAAATATTTTCACAATCTAATGTTTAATTTATTAAAATAACAAATTAATACCAAAATTATTAAGAAATATAGCCAAGACACCATCGTCGGACATCGAACTTTATGTAAGAAGTAAACAAAATAAGGGTGTTAAAAGTAGCAAGACGAGTGGGAAATGTGGCATGGAGAAGGGCATCTGGAAAGTCGATGATATAATTACATTTTTGGTGGCATCAAAATCGTAGTCATCGACATTCAGCATCAACGATTGTTTATCAATGTGTAAATAAGCAGCGTTTCGTATTTGCGTTCGTATGCCGTATGTGTGTGTGTGTGTTCGTGTTTCGTATATGTGTATGTGTGTGTGTGTGTGCGTTCCCAAAAATTTCAATAGCAAAGGTCGATGAACTCGCGCGCCAGCGCCAGAGAGAGAGCATTTTTTTCTGTTCCGCATTTCTCTGACAAAATTTCTCTCGGCTCTCTTCGGGCCGCTCTTCGTTGTTGAATTTGCGCGCGCTTCCTCGTTGCGTTTCATTCATAAACAGAGAGCGGCGAACTCGAACTCGAAATGTTTTTTTTTTTTTTTTTTGAGTTATCTCGGCCAGGCCAACGAACCGGGCTCTGACATGTGCTTCTGCCCCTCCCCCCTGGCCCAGCACCTACGTGAACTTTAAGGCGCGGTGACTAAGCGCGCCCCTTAAACCGCTAAACTTAAGCCAAGTCTATAAGGCTACCTACGTATGTGTGTGCATGACCCCTCCCCCTAACGGCAATTATAATGCCATCATTCGGATTATTGGACAGTAATTAAAGTGTTGCGCGATTTGGCGAAATGCCCACCTCGGTTATGGCCTTAAGTATTTTGTGGGCAATGCCATTGTATCGAGATTAAAGAAGTTCTCTCTTAATATTCCCTTAAAAAGTGTCAAATGATAACTTTCAAATATGGAATAAGAGTGGTAAGGGGACCTTTAGAGTTCCCGAAAGCTAAACAGCTCTGTTAGTATTAAAGACTCCTAGATCCATATGATTACCAAAAATCTCAAATCAAGAATGCATAACATAATGTAAGTTAATTTATAAAAAAAAAAAAGGTTATCCCTTTTAATATCATTACAAGATATGTGGCCAAACTTAAGGTATGATTATATTGGATTTATGGTGATGATATAGGGGTTCCTTAGTATATAGGATATGTAAGATCTAAAGGACATATAGCACTCGTACTCACTTGAATTGGTCCCGTTGCAGCGGTGGCATCATTGTGGCATTCAGCTGGCGCCTTTTTAATGGCCAGCGTTTGCGAATACCGTTGATCCTGGGGCCGAAAGCGATACGGATATCGATGGTGGAGATAGAACTGGGGCGTTATCCATGCTCTGCCAGCGAGAGCGATGCTCCGTTTTTACCGTTAGAAGTTGATTTGCTTTGCGATTGCTTTTAATCACTTGACTTTTTTTAACACACTCACAAGATGCAGGCAATGCTTCTGCTTTGTATTTTTGGGGATTTGGGCTTGAGATACTTTTGATTGCCACTGTATTTGGAGGTTCACATTAGTGTATTTGTATTGATGTTGCTTCGAGGTGTCGAGGAAGTAAGGATTCCAAGATTTAGCAGCTGTTTAACTCTTTTATGCACTTTTGTTATGTTGGCATGATTTTCATTTCATTATTTTTGGGTGGGGGAAACGTCAGCTGCAACAACAGAACACACACATAAAAAATAGAATTAAAAAAAACGTTAGTGGCAAAGTTGCATTATGCATTTTACATGCATTTTGCGCCGCACACACACACACACACACAAACAAAAAGAAAGCCAATCTGTAGGATCCTTTAGGATTTGTTGTTGTTGGTGTTTTTTTTTTAGAATTTCTTTGAATGCTTCTTATTTATTTTGTATTTTGGCTTCTTGTTGCACTTCTCAAATTGTCACACGCACACAACACACACACACACACAATGCACTTTGCTGCCAGAGCGAGATGGAGAGAGTGGGGGCGATGGATGCCCTTAAATTTATTTCATATATCCAATCTTTGGTGGTGAAAAAAAAAAATAATCAGTTGAGGCAAACACAAAAAACGTAAAAAAAAAGTTCATATTTTTGTTATTATTATTTTGGTGGAACCCACAACGGGAATATCGTTTGATTTTCGAAGCGTTTGATTTCCGCGCGCGACTTGTGTTTCTCAAAATAAATTCAATAAATCCAATAGCTCAGCTGCCTACGGTAGCCTTTTAGCTTATTTCGCGGCCGGGTTGAAAAATGTAATGTTAACTCATTAAATTATTCAATTATTAAGTTATTGTCATGGATATATGCGTATGTGCTTAAATATATTCCAGCCTTCTAAGTTTGCCCGACTTTTCCCGGCCGAGTTTGAAACCCAACTGAACTGTTGTTTGGAAAGGGTATTTTTTGAAACCGACGAGCGAGAAATCCCCAGTATTGGGGACTTTTTTTTACAGATACAAAAGATACAGGTACTCTCTCGCTCTCTTTTTGCTCTTTGCTCTCTAGTTAACCGCTTGCAATCTCTTTATCAGCGTCGTGGTTGCGTCGGGCGTCGGCAGAGAGAGCCGAGCCGAAGCCCAATTGGCTTATAGTTTTCTCACTCTTAGTGTATTTCATTAACGGAGGGAAAAATGTTGCTGCAATATTGTTGCTAACTACTTGCCGTTTAGCTGCATCTCGTTCTGTTACACAGCGAGTGCGGAAGTGAGATGGACTGTGCCACTCTCTCGCTCTAACTCAGATACTTGATGGCGCAGCTGCTTTGCAGAACGGGTTCCGTGGTCAAAATTAGTGTATCTCACCGGCAGATGGAAAAATGTTGCTGCATCATTGTTGCAAGGAAATGTTTCTAGCGTGCGTCTAAATTAAATAATAAGGAATGTAAAAAATATTAATAAAAAATACATACAAAAAAGGAATTTGTTAAATAAAAACAGAATGATAGGAATGATAATTAATTGGAAATTGTAGTAAAACAATTTTTGAAATATTGTTGAATTCGACTGAGCTTCTCTTAGAGAAGAAACCACAGAAAGAACATGGGATTAAAATTTTCCTTTCCTTTCTTTGAGATGAAAATATTTATTTTATTTAAATTAAATAAACTTTAAAAAAATCTGAAAAAACCTTGACTGTTAAATGATTTAGATATTTTTCCAGGCTTAAGGCTTTGAATTTGAAAAATTCGCACGGCTTGTAAAATGTAAATAATTTTTACTTACAAAAAAAAATAATAATAATTTAAATTGATCGATTGCTTTGAATTGTTTAGAAACCACCTACACTTTAGACACACTGACTGGCACCGCCACTCTCCACTTGCCCCAATCCGAAAGAGAGTCACTGAAGAGAGCTGCCAAGTCAGAGTTCCTTCTGTAGTGGCAAAGACCTATTTTGCAAGAGAAAAGTTCGTTCACTTTTCCGACTCTCTTCAATTTATTGTTTTGGTTTGCTCTCTGTTGTTTTGCCAAACCGAACGTTAAGTTTAAAGTCAAATAATTAAATATAAGATTTTCAGGAAAAAATTTTAAAATTTAAATAACCCGAGATCAAGATAATAATTCTTTTGTCCAAATAATTGTATCGTCTTTTAGGGTAATTTCTTAAATGTTTCTTGTCGCTGATAAATATGATATAACATTTTAGAATTCTTGATCTTTTCAAAATATATTTGTATAATACTTAAAGTTTAAGAAGTCAAAATCACCTTCCAAGAAAACAGGTGAAATTATAAATTATTAGTATTCAAGCTATATATTTTAAAAGATTTTTTACGTTTTTCAAATATTTAGATTTTGGCAACACACTACGTAATGTTAGTACTATATATTCCGGCATTATTCATACCGCAATCACAGTGCTAGCAGCCGATCGTGTTGGCATTGATGAACTGAACGAATAGCTGCGGAACCTGCTCCAGCGGAGTGGGCGCCGTCTGACTGGCGCGGCACGTGCTCGTAATGAACTTTTGGCGCAGGCGATTAAGCTGGAGGGCGTTCATCGAAGTGGTCACTTTCACGGGACTACTACTACCCGGGATGCGCAGTTGTCCGAAGGCCTTGATCTTAACGGCGCCAAGAATTTCCTTGATGATTGACTGCATTATGTTGTCCAGTTCGAATAGGTAGTTGGTAGCTCCTAGCGGCGGCTGTAAGAAGGAAAATGAATATTACTGCTACCCAGTTGTAGACGGGCTCTTTCGCTTACATTCTGGGTGCTCTGATTTGGCGGCAAGGGTTGTGTCTCGTACAGAGCCTTATAGATGGCCTCCACATCGAGTGTGTCCTCGGGCAGCGCCACCACCAGCGGACTGTCCCAGCGGTTGTTGCTCTGCGGCTCCTCGTAACGTCGACACAGGGCATCAAATGTCTCGCGGGTGTAGGGAACATCCGAATTGTCCACCGGCTGCTCCGTTTCGCTTTCGCTGGGCAGCTCATCCGGCGCCGTACGCTTGGTATTAAAGGTCCATGCCTGCTCCTGGGGTATGCAACAGAACAGGGTGCACTGGTTGGTCCTGGACGCCTTGGTCATGCAGTACAGTTCATAGCGATAGCCTGGAAGGGAATCAATGCGTCGCACACATTAAAAGATTTCTTTTTCTGACACTTGACCATGTTGGGAGCTTACCCTTTATATAGTTGCCGGCGTCCAAAATGACTAGATCCTCCTTGTTTAGGTGCCGCGATGCCTCCGACTTAAGGTCGCTGCGCACGACCTTCTCCTTTTGTGAATCGCCGGCATGCGAATTCTTGTCAAAGAGCGCCTTCGGAACAGCCTCATTTTCACTGATCAGGTGCACCTTTCTGCCACGTTCCACGAAATAATCCCGCACCTGGCGAGCACGGGTGGTCTTTCCGCTGGCCGGCAGACCTGTGACCACCACAATCGGCATGTTGTCCTGTTCTTAATTAATAACACTTTTTATCAATGAGAATAATAACAAACGACGAGCGATAGGCACAGCGGATTCCCTCGTTAAACCGATAAATGAAATGTGGTACAGGTGGCAGTGTTGGGAAACGACCGCATGGTACGGGATATGGCAGCTTAGATTGTTTCCAGCTACATAATTGATGTTGATGTTATGTTTTTATATTTAAAACCCTTTTTCTTTACAATCTTTATACGGTTTTTGAATCTCATTTCAAAAATTAATTGGCCGATATACCAAGAGTATTTTTGTTAACAATAATTTTTGAGTCATAATTTGTTAGCTATTTATGCTCATTTAGCTATATCTCCATGGCAACAGCACAGATGTTTACAACTTGACGTTGACCCCCACAAACGTGTTCAAATATAAGTAAATCGGGACCCTAAATAACCGGCCACCGAATGGCCGAGCCTCGTCGCCGTTTCCGCAACAAGAAGCGGGATGACCCATCTGCCGGCCTCCTGGCCCCCGTGACCATTGCTCGGCGCGAGGATGCCCGGATGGTACAGCCGAAGATTTTGCTGAAGAAGGATCGCGACCGAGACAAGGAATGGGACAGGGATCGAGAGTTTGAGAAGGACAAGGAGTCGGATCCGATTTCCATCAGCGGTGGTTGTTATCCCGATGCACCGGCGGCCATTAAAACTATCATCATTAATCGCACGAGCGATGGTCGACCGGCTGACAGATGTCAGATTCCCATGGTCGGCGGCGGGATGGTCGGGGCAGGAGCTCCTCTTCAAGGTGGTAGTAATCTATCCACGGTGCCATCGTCATCCGTTTGTGCTGCACTGGTTAGCTCGACACCAAATGGGCGCGATAAGGGGAGCTGTAGTAGCGGCGGCGGAACTGCTGGCAGCTCTGTCGGAGCACCAAGTGCTATTCAGGAGCAGCAACCGCCGCGCATGAACCGCCCCACACCACTCATAGTGGCCAATGGCGTCTTCAATGCCAATGCGCGAAAGCTCTTTCATAAAACCAACACCGATTTCACCGTCATCGGAGTCGTCGGTGGCCAGTGTTCTGGGAAGAGCACACTTCTCAATCTACTAGCCGCTGAGCGATCTATGGAATATGACTTCTACGAACATCTATTCTCTCCAGAGGCGGATGAGTGCATCTTTGCCACCCGGCACAAGGTCAAGCAAAATAACGGTCAGAAGAGTATTTTGCGCCCACGCACGGAGACTCTGCAATTCTTCATCACCCGAGAGCGTCACATCTTGCTGGACACGCCACCGTTGCTGCCAGTGGGCAAGGAGCCAGATCAGCAGGATCTGCATTCCCTAGCGGCCATGGCGCAACTGCTAAGCGTGTGTCACGTCCTGATTTTGGCTATTGACGGCTTGTCCGTAGAACAGCTTCGTTTAATAAACGTTGCCCTTCGACTACGGCCCACGTTTCCCTGCAAAGGCTATGTTCGGGATCACGTGCCACAGGTACTCTTCGTTCGCACACGAGCCCAGCGCCTTGATTTCGAGCCGCAGCAGCGTCAACGACTGGAGAAGAAACTGGCATACCTATATGGACCCACAGGACTACCCATTTACCGGGGGAAGGGCGAGGCGCGGTGTTTAAATACCTTTCTGATGCCGGAAGTGAGCAGCAATGCAGCCACTGCTTTTCACCCCTGCCTGGGCGAATTAGTGCGTCAGTTCCGAGAACGTGTCCTCGGATCAACGCGGATATCCATGTGCCACACCAGCACTGAACTGAGCGAAGCCATCTGGTTCGAGATCCTTGCAGAGAGTGCTCGCAAGGGTGCTCCTCACTTCGAGAAGATCTATGCGGAGATCAAGCTGCGCCACCTAGACGCACGCAGCCAGTGGTGGACGGACAATTGGCGCACCTTCTCCGGTAGCACAGAAAGCTGATCCAAAGGTTGCGGGTACGCAGATGGTCGAGAACTTTGTGATTATTGGGTGGGGCGATTTGGTGTACCCGGATTCGCAAGGGGAGGATTGATAACTTGGACCATTCTAGTGATTAAAAAGTTCCAATATCAATGCTGACAGCTCTTTTACTCAAAAATGGACGGTAAAATACTGGACAGTCAAGTCCATTTTCAAAAGAATTGCTTACAGTTAACATATGAATCAGAAATTTGAAACATGACTGATTATACACTGTTTTTTACACATACATATCTCTCATTAAATTAAATAAAAGACTTTCAAAACTGAATAATTCAGGGATTGCAAAGTATTTCAAAATGTTCAGTTTAAACTCAACGTTAATTTATTCATTTCGCCAACAACATTAGCGTTTGATTGTTCTTTTTTTTATCTATACATCTATTGAGTTAGTAAATTAAAGTCACTAATTGAACAAATAAAATTATTTATTCTCAATTGTTTGTTTTGGTATATTTGGTTGTCATATTTCGATACTCTTTTTAAATTTGCATGATACTAGAGCTCTCGAAACTTTGTAAAATTGTTTCGCTAAATTTTGGTTGGTGAATTATTGACACTTTTTAATTTGCATGACCTTAGGACAAGGAAATTTCCCAAATTTGCATGCTTCAAAAAAATTGAAATCTAACAACTCATAAAATGTGTTTATGATATAGAGGTATGACATTAGATCGACTCGAGTTCCCTGTTCTGCCGTAGTGACGTAGTGATTAAGGTTTTGGTGATGGCATCTGTAGGTGGGCTGGGATTTGGTTGTAAGTTGGGGTGTTGTTTGGTGTTGGCTTTTAATCCAAAGGCTATCACGTTGGCTGGGCCTCCATCTCAGTCTCATCGTTGGCTGTGGGTTGCTGTTTCAGCTCCCTTTCTGTTCGTTCCTGTTCTTGATCCTCCTCCCCCTCGCTGTCCTCGCGCACAATGAGGCCGTGTGGCTCCCGGGATGCCTTTCGCTTACCCCGCTGCTGCTCGAACGGATCTGGCTTGCGACAAACCCAGAAAAGGCTCTGATACTCACTCTGCTTCATCGACGATGGATTCTGGGCGTACTTCGTTCTGATGCCCGTGCGCGACTTCTCAATAACGAAGCCAACGCTCTCCATGATGATGCATAAGTCCTCGAACGTTGGTTCAATGCTGTTCTGCCCGCTAACGTCGCTATAATGGTATAACAGTGGTCCGAGATTCACCCAAATGCCACCAGGCACGAGAATTCTGAATGGGAAATGTTAAAATATCACATATGTATGTATAGTCTAATATATATAAACCTCACTTATAAATGGTGCGAATAAAGTCAATAACGTTATTGGCGCAATCAATGAAGAAACATGTGGCCACGCAGTTGTAGGTGTCCGCCGTTTTGTAGACCTCCAGGAAGTCCCCTGCTGCTATTTCAAAGTGACCCTTGGGCGGATTCTTCAGCGGGCAGACGTCGGGAAAGCGAACAGCGGCCACCTGATCCTCGCGTCTCAGGTTGTTAACATACTGGTGTACCCACGGATACAGCACATACTTGTTCTCGTAGTCGCAGCTGCCAAAACAAATTTCGAACTTTAAAAAAGAGATTCTGCAGCGAAAGTGATTTAGACTCACAGATTGAGGACAAAGTTGGAGGCGATAAGCATGAAATAAGAGAACTCGTTGCCCTCGCACGAGTATCCCAAGCAGGCTAGCTCGTAGGTAAGCCGTCCTAATCCCGCTCCCGGGACCAGTATCTTAATCTCCTTTAGCTCGCTATATCACAAAAGAGTTCGAGAAATTATTGTTAAGAACAATATCAATAAAAGTGGGATGTATGAATTACTCACTAATCGCTGGGCTTGTAGTACTCCACGATGCAATCGATGATCGGCTTGTAGGACTGCTCCCGCTCCAGGGCGCCATCGGTGCTCCAGTCCCGCGCAATCAACTTCAATGTCGACTGGGCCTTTAAAATTTTTAGAGGTTCAACGTCAGCTTCATCGAATGGAATATCATTCTGCGATTTGAATAAGAGCGTACCGAGGTACGAGGTGCGGGTACGAGGTGTCGTGTACAGATATGGAAAATAAACGTGGGGGAAAAGAATATGATTGCCAATTGATAATAAAGGAGAAATTAAGAAATTTTGATTTTCGACTATATAATGGTGGATATTTCAAAATAAGAGTTACAGAACGTTGGGAAAATAGCGTAGAAATATTGTATGGACAGAACTAAATTATGAAAGATGTGTGTTTTGTTTTAGGTAAGGGTTGAGGGTGTGCTTCTAGGGTTCTACAAGGATGAATTGCTTGAATCTTTTGTTTACCTGGTCCATATCACCATGCCTCACGTCGGGAGGTGGCTCGTCAAACTCCCACCGGTCCGCTGAAGGACCTACGCTCGATTCCTCTGATGGATACAGGACGCGTTCCCGCAAAATCTCACGGATAACCGCCTGGTTGCGATCGATGCATGTGCGCACACACTCCAAATGCATACGGTACTTGGCCAAAAGGAGTTGATCCTCGGGAGACAGACTGTTCAGGTAATCCACGGAGCGCTTTAGCCGCTGACACGCATATGGCCTGTATGAGAGAAATTAATTAATTTCCATTATCAGCTAATGCCACTTAAAGCCCGCCACAAGCACGCTTATCACCAGGAATAGCGGCCTTCAGGCCACAAACGACTGTTCAAAAAATGTATTGCTGATTTTTAACCATACGTTTAAAAAAAAATTTCATATACATTTTTATAGCTGTCGAAACCCAATCCTTTTCTTTTTTTCATATTTAAAAAACAAACTTTCTTGCATCCCAATCCCATACAAAAGTCCTTTCAAAAATTTCCTCGAAACTTTGTTTAGAATAGTTTTGTAGCAGCCAGTATTATGCCTGCCAGCACAAATTCATCTAAGACAAGAAACTCGATCAGTTGAAAAAGCTAACAAGATTTATCGCGAATACGCCTGTGTCGCCAGCACTGGCACTAAACGCAACGGGAGTTTGTCGTCAATTTGTCTGCACATGTCGCTGCTCCCGCGCCGCGCCAAACCTCGCCCACACTCCCATTCACAGTTAGCCGGTAGGCGGTCTTTCAGCATGTGCCCTACAAAGTCCATAACAATAATAACTCACCCGTAGTAAAGGAACGCGTTTTGCACCTTTTGAATGTGCTTTTCCTCCTCCTCCTCGTTGGCGGCAAACGCCCGGGCCAACTGCTCATCCATTTTGGGATGCATGGGGAATGGCACCGCCTCCATATTAATTGCAATAAAAACAATGAAAGCACCTCATCCTCGTGAAATGGCTTTCCCTTCAAATGTTCTCGACCAAGCATGAATTCCCTAAAAAATCCTAAAAAAAAAAAAGTTCAAGCTCGCGCCTATGATTTTTTTTCAAAAAATTTAAATTTGAGTCTAGTTTAAAAAAAAGAATCATTGAGAAATACAGTAAACAGAAATTGATTATCTCATTTTAATTTTCTTAGTTTTACACTGTGCTTAATGATTTTTTGAAACCTTTGCAAATACTTGGCCACACTGGTTTTGGGCTTACATTACAGTCAGCTGTTAACTTGACTTTTCAAATATTTCGAGAATGTTTTAAATGTGGACATTATTAAGGTCAAGATAGGTTACCAAATTAGTTTATATTTCATATGTATATGAAAGCTATTTAAAACATTTTTTTCCAAACAATACCGTAGTCTCTGAAAAAGAATTCTTGGAAAAAATATTTTTGAAGTCAATATTTTGATACTGAATGTAACGGTGTTATTTATTTTCAGTTGCAACTGAAACCGGGAGTTAAGGGCGTCACGCGATTCCCTACGGAATTCTTCATTAATCTAAACTAATAAGCAATCGTGCTCAACTAAACATTGATTTAACGGGTGTGCAGCACATTTCGTATAACTTATTTACACAATCAATTTATTTTAACGTTGGGCTCCTGCTCTACGAGCCTCTGCACCATCGTCCATATGCAGAATCCTAAGACATATAGATGTTATATAGTTTTATCTCCGTGTTTTGTGATGAATGCAATATAACAAGAACCAGGTGTTTCCGGGATGTAAGGCGGGCAGCCGAGTTGGAATGAACAGAAGGCGGGCACAAACAATTAACAGGTAAAACAGAGAAAATATAAATGCTAAGTGCCAACAAAGAACCAACAAGTAAAATAAATAGCCTAACACTATGCGTACAGTTAAATATCAACAGAGTACAACAACCATCACTTGGTTCCGGGGCTGCGAGCCGTTGATTATGTCTGCAGTCCGGTCCTGGCCCCGGATCCGGAGCCAGTTCCTGCGCTTTCATTGCCGTTGCCTATTGTCTCTACGTCGGAGTCAATGAAAAGCCGCATGAACTGAATGCAGCGGCTGTGGTAGTCCATCCAGGCGGCGCGCTCAGTGCTTCGCAAAAGTATGCGACCGAAGGTGGATGCTATTGGGATGTGAAATGACATTAAATAGATAATACAAAGCCTGCAGATTGTTTCTACTCACCGACTTTATGTAGATCGTAGTACTGACTCTCGATGCCCGCGCGCAGGAACATACACAGGTGCATGAAAACATTACGTTTCGGGGGACTCAATAGCGAGATGTAGTCCATGGCCTGCGACTTGTTGTTGCACTCCAGCAGATTTTCGACCACCGGCTCGAGCAGCGCCTGCTCCGGCAAATCCAGCAACAGCAGTAGCGCCTGTGCAGCAGTCTCCGCATTAGCAGCTACAGGTCATACGAAAATAATAAGAGCTTGCATGGGAGACAATCTCATAGAGCCCACTTACGGAACGGTTCATCCGACCAGGTGTCCAACCAGTCACGTACCGAGTTGAACTGTGCACCGAGGGAAAGACGCGAGTCGTAGGACGGGAAAGCGCCCACTTGCTTGGAACCCTGTCTATAAAGGTAGTCGATAAGCAGGAAGAATTCCCGTGGCATGGTCACGCGATATTCTGGTGATTCGTCGTTCATCTGCAAAAGAAATCGAGTCAATATCATCACAATACCCAAAATGTATTTATTTTATTACTTACTAGTTGCTTGATCTGGTCCTGGGAGTACTCGCTCAAGGGCCGGTCAGTACGACACATCGTCTCCATGGAGAGACCAAAACAACTGGGCTGGTAGTCGCCTGTTACAGTGATGAAAATGTCCCTACCGTTTTCCACATGCAGGATGAGGATATCAAAGTTGTCGCTAACGCGTATCTTTCGTAGCAAACCGGCAATGGTGCGCACATTGGCGTGCATCCTAAGCCGTATGCTGCGTGCAGAGTCGATTAGCAACGAGTCTTGTCGAGGATCGACATGCAGCCAAGGCTCGCAGATGGCGTGAATGTCCTTCTCTTTGAAACTAAAGTCTACGGGTAGCGGACAGTTGTTGTAGACATTGAAGTCACGAGTGCTCGGCTCGTTGAACCGTACCGTGCCGAAATCAATGACTGTCTTCTCCACATTAATCTGTGGCTGGTTATCGTTCTCCCGCTTGTCTACCGCCTTCAGCACCTCTTCTTGGACCCGCTTGTATTTCACTTCGTCGCGTGTCTTGATCTTTACCCGAAACACGGCGTACACTGGCTTGTGATCGCTCTGGCGTATCTCCATAATGCTGTTGTAGGCCAGCTGCTCGATGCGCGTTCCCTTCCAGAGCACTCGGTCACAGTAGGCCGGCGCCCGTTGCTTCTCGCTGCTGTCGTAGTTGTCCGTACCCGGATCGTACTTGTAAGTCGGCCGGAACTTGATTTCACCCTCGGTGTAGCCCTCGAAGCATTTGCCGCGTCGCATCTCCTGTCGTAACTGATCGTACTGCAGGAGCAGCTCGTAGGTCTGGGCATCGCTAATCGGTCCGGGTCTCTGTTGGCCGGGCGGCTCCTGAATGCGATAATTCAAATCTCCCAGCCAGAAAATGTGACTGGAAAGAGAAAGAGACAGCGTATCAAGTTAGTTTAGCCATTTAACGATTTAAAGCTTGGTAATATAAAACTTGTACATGCTTGACATTTATTTGATATTTAAATGATAACTCACTCATGATCGCTGATGGTTCGTCCGTCATCGAAGCGTATGCCCTCCACGATGGCGTTGTAGTCCTGATTCCGCTCCTCCACGTAACCCATATGAGCGGCCAGATGAGAATTGACGAAGCAGAGATTACCCTCGTTAAGTTGCAGGCTTATGGCTACGCCACCCTTGTTGCCCAGCGTATTGAAAATTCCGCGGGCCACCGACTTGGGACGGCAGCGGATGATGTGCTGGCGCAACTCCTTGCGAACGATAACCGTCAGCATGGTGGCTACCAGTCGGTGGGACATCAGGATCTCGTACTCCACGTCCGGGTGGACGCTGTCCATCATTTTATCGCTGTTAAGGGAAAGGCCACTTTCAATTAAGAAAATCAATAGTATAACCTTTGTCAATCACTCACTTCCAATGCTTCTCGATGGCCTGCACCTGGGTCGAGTTCAACATAGCCTTTGTGGGAGTATCCAGCTCCTGCAACCCAATAGCATAGATATCCGGCGGTTGTTCACTGCATGCAAGCCAGGATCGTAACGGATTACTGCTGTCGCTGCAGGTCTTATTGTTTACATTCCAAGTGGCGCAGTAGATGCTAAAAAAAATCTTAATTAGTGGATATTATGGCATGCATGATGATCTTACAACTCACATAATGTCCTTGTAGATTATGTACTCGCTCTCCCGCTTTTTCAGCTCCTGCTTCACTTCCCCGATTTGCCGATAGTCGTTTAGCCACCTGAAGTTGAGCACCGTTTCTGGATCGTACTGAGCCATGGTGCTCTTAAACGAAATCACCTTGGCCACAAACTCTTCATAGTGGTCGCCCTCCGTAGCGTAGTAGTAGTACTTGATAGGGCCATCTTCAGCTGTGGACAAGTCGAACTGCTGTGTGGTGATTGAACTCTTGCTATCTGCAATATAACCAAGCAAACATATAAATATTACGTCTAGTCTAAGCGTTGCTTACTTCCTGTAACTACTGTCTTGTTTTGGAAATTCCTTCTAGCTTTTCATTATTATCAGTTATATTAGCTAACAACAAATATATATTTAATGTAAATTCAACGCTATTCCCTTATTTACCTATAATTAGGAACGAACTATTATCGATTACGTTCCTGCTCTACAAATAGTTACTTTTTAATTCTACGTTATCAAGTAAATATTTGTCAGCTACTTAAAATTGCTAGCAACAGCAGTTTGAAATGAAGATCAAATTTAATTAGCTGATGGAGCTATCAGTGTATATTGAAACAAGATCCTAGTTCGTCTCACCCTGCCGCAACTGGAAATTATGGTCGATGGCAAACACCTTGTTGATGATCAGCTCGTTCGCGGAGGTCAGCGGAGTCCGCAGGTAGGAGAAGGCGATGATGGCGAATGTTCCGCCCGATTGCGAGGAAACTAGTGCCAGAAGGCGATTTGTGTACTCTGGACCTTTGATTTGATAAGCCTCGAATATCTGCAAAGAAGGGATTGGTTAATACCAGCATTAAGTTGACCACTCATGATGGGCAAGTACAAGCGTGTACTTATGTATATCTTGTTATCAGCAACAAACATATAATCGTAGGCTTGGCTTGTTTGTTATCAACGAAACAAGAAACAATATTTTAGAAGTGCTCTCGTCATTAGTCATAGTCTAAATATCGGAAGGACGGAAAATCAAGGAATTATAAATACATGAATGTTAAGAATAACCAGCTCTGGTTCAAAAATTATAATAATATCTCAAGAATGTTTCATTTAGAAAGGCGAGATTATTGCTTTGGCAAAAATGAACTAGAAAAGAATTCATATCGATGGAATTACCAGTAACAAAGTTTTTTTTATAATAATTTATTATATTAATCATCTCATTATTTTTCTTGTTTTAATTCGTCACTATGTATATATAGTATCGGCTTGTATCCATATTTCAGTTTTTAATTGCTCTTGGATCATATTTAAAGCTTAGCTTCTGTTTGCTATAGCCATGTTTTTAATACTCTTATTTTCAATGGCTACTATCTATCCATTTCGATTGAACTATTGATTACTTACGTATTCTATGGTTTCGTCCTCCTTGAATCGCTCCTTGACAATATCCTTGGTTGTCTTTGTGGCCACGGGAGCGGTTCCATTGGACACATCATTATCACCCACCGTGTTCATTTTCCCGGTGCTTGTCTCCTGATGCTCCACTGAATCGTCTCTTCCCCTGCTCGCTAGATAATTCTAGCCCCTAATCTCGTCTCGGAATGAAGAATAATACTTGATGGTTTCGTCTTCTGCGTCGATAAATGTACATAAGTATGTAGATATGGATATGGACAGTTGTTTGCTGCGCTGTTTTCTATTTATAGTTGGCGCGAACGCCCAGCGAGTGGTATACGTATGGGGTCGGATTGGAATTGCAATTGGAATTGGGTGTTTTCTTGCGCTTCTCCTTGGGGTCTTTGCAAGTTTCTTGTTTCTGGTGGCAAGGGCAAGCCACTGGAGCGACTGGGCGGGTAACCCCGCTCTTGGGCTGCGTAATCGTGGCCGGAATCGTGGGTAATCGCAGCTTGTTTGTTTTTTCGCTTGATTTATTGTTGTTGCTGAGCTCCCTGTAGGTGGGTGTATTGCACACACATACACGCGCACTCATACACACACTCGCAAGGGCAATTATTCATCGGTAATGCGATGACAATGATTGTCAAAGGTATTTTGCTGCTGTGGTGCTGCGGTGACGGCGGGGTGGACGGAACACACGGATCTCACAGACAAACTGGCGTGCGAGTTAATTTCACGGTCTGGCTCATTATTTATTTGGATTTATTCTCCGGGCAAACTGCTTGCGGGCCGCTGTTGTTTTTCGAAATGTGACCAGATTCCAAACGCTTAGAAAATATTAAATTGTGGTTTGGAACTTGGCTGGGGGATTTCCAATCGAATGTGGTTGAAAACTCGGCTAGCACGCTGAAGGGATATGGTATGGTTGAAAACCTAACTAATCTAAGAGATTTCTTACCATTTGCGATACGGTCACCTTGATTGCTGAAAATCAACAACCGTGTGGGGAAACTGCTCCCCAAAGTTAAAAATGGCCCAATTTGAAAAGGAAATTGTGCAGGCAGTGCTGATAGCCGACAACAATGTATGGAACTTCAAACCCCTCTCCGATGAGGGCTCCACGGTGGGTATTCCTGTCGAGAATCGTTCTTCAGTTAACTTCACCGGCACTCATACTTCTGCAGGCTCTGCTGCCGCTGGTCAACGTGAAGATGCTGGACTACGCACTCATCGCCCTTAACCGCAGCGGTGTGGAGGAGGTTTTCGTGTACGCCAGCCTATACCTGCAAGACATCCGTGATCACATCAAGTAAGCCGTCGTCGCTAAAATGATGCAATTTTGGTGCTAACTTACGTTTTTCGCGTTCTTGCAGGGCCGGCATTGCCACGTACGCGTCCTGGTCCTTTAAGATGACCGTACATGTGATCGGCGGCGAGGGATGTCGGTGCTTCGGCGATGCCATGAGGGATCTGGATGCTAAGGCGCTGATACGCGGAAACTTTATTCTCTTGGGTGCCGATACGGTGACGAATGCCGACTTGCGCCCGATGCTGGAGCAGCACAAGCGACAGGCCAAGTTTGACAAAGGCACTGCCGCCACGCTGGTGTTCAAGGAGTGCTCTAACAATGTGCGCACCGGCAATGAGGTCCTAATCGCTGTGGACCGCCGAAACGATAGACTGCACTACCATCAGCGGCTGAGGATGAACCAAAAGGAGCCACGCTACCAGATACCTCTGGATGTGTTCCTAGGCAACTCCTGTGTGGCATTGCATCATAGCCTCCTTGATCCTCAGATTGCTATTGGCTCACCTTCGATGTTGTCTCTGTTTAGCGACAACTTTGATTTCCAAACGCGGGATGACTTTGTGAGAGGCCTGTTGATCAACGAGGAGCTGTTGGACAGCAGGATCTATGTGGCTTTGTTGCCGGCCGCCCAGTACGCGCACAAAGTGAACAACTGGCCGGCCTACCAGCTGGTCAGCCGGGACATAATCAACCGGTGGGCCTATCCCCTTGTACCGGACATGGGCGTTTATAAGCTGCAGCAGCAATATGTCTTCCACAAGGACAATATCTACAAAAGTCACGAGGCGCAGGTCTCGAAGGTGGCGCTGCACCAGAACGTGGTCATCCAGGCAGGAAGTCACGTAGACACTGGATCAGTGATATGCGACAGTGTGATTGGCGCCAACTGTCAAATTGGAAAAAACTGTCGGCTGACCAATGTGTTTCTGTTGGACAACGTAACCGTTAAGGACAACTGTCGGCTGGAGCACTGTGTGGTGGGTGCGGGAGCTACTATCAACGAGAACTGCGACGTAAGCGCCGGGTGCGTTTTGGGAGCTAAGAGTGTACTGCCTGCCAAGACAACACTGGCCAAGACTTTAATCACCAGCACGCCCACAACACAGCGTAGCGAGGAAGAGGTTACAGTGGAACTGGAGTCAATTGGTCCGCATGCATTCATTGTCAGCGATCTTACGACAGGCGATCCTGAGGACTCGGAAGGCGAGGATTTTTTGCCACAGCAACCACTCAGCATACCAAAAATGGGAGACTTGTTGGCGCCGTTGGACGATATCAGCGACTGCAGTGACCTCAGTGAGGATGACGAGGATGCTTCACGAGCTGTGACGCCGCTGCCTGATGACACGAACAGTAAGTGCAATAGAAAATCCATCCCAATCACTATTTAATATTTATACATCATAGTTTTCCTTGGCGAGGTCATTGATTCGCTGTCTCGCGGCTTCCGGGAGAAGTCCAATCCCGATTTCCTTATCCTCGAAATTAACTCCTCGCGCTATGCGTACAACATGTCCCTAAAGGAGGTTAACTTTAACGTTGTGAAGGCTGTTTTTGGCATGCAAAGCATCGTAGAACCGGCAAACAACAACGTATTGGTGGCCATTAATGCCGCATTCAAACAACTGGGACCTGTGGTATCCAATTACATAAAAAGCGAGGATGCCATGATGGATTGCCTAAAGGCGCTGGAGGTTGTATTCCTATTTCAATTACTCAAAAAAGCATTTAACTATCCTTATTACCCGTAGGATGTGTACGAGGAGAATCTTCTAGTGCGGGAGAAGATCTCGCAGGTTGTGCACTACCTGTACGACAAGGACTTTGTGTCTGAGGATGCTATCCAGGCCTGGTACGGGCAATTGGACGAGGAAGAACATGCACACTTACGCCAAAGTTTGGCGAAGCTTGTGGCTTGGCTGGATCAGTCCAGTGAAGAGGAGGATGACGATGACGATGAAGAGGATTAAGCATAGGTTTTGTCGCCATTTTATAGTTTTCTTCTAAGCCTATTTTTTGATCCAAAAAAGGTTAAATAAAAATAGAAATTCAAGAAAATGAAACACACAAAAGATGCCCAAGATATATTGTGATTTTGCTAAATCCGACTTTGTCAACTAAAACGACACTATTTTTCTGATAACAAAGCCAATAATGGTCCAAATATCAAATGTCATAGCTCGTTGAGTTTGTTTTTTAATTCTTAGTAGATCCGCAAATTTGAAAATGTACATTTTTTGTTTACTCTTCTTTTTATTGAAGGCTTTCCTTGAAATCGTAAATACACTTTCTTACAAAGTGGGTGCTATACATAAAAAAAAACGTTACAGAATCCCAAAGCTTTGAGGGTTGTGTTGTTACGTTATCGTATTGCAACCTGTTTTTAAAAACTTTTCACTTATACGTGCGTATAATCTGCAAAACGAAACTAAATAAAAAATTAGGCATTTGACGCGAAGCTCAGCTAATCCTTAGTGGCTACTTCTCGTACATGAACTCCTCGTCCTCCTCCCCCTCCATTTTCAGCGGCTCCAAACCTACCATATCGTCCTCCTCTTCTGTTTCAGCAGCCGATTGGAACTCCTCGTCGGACTCCTTCATCGACTCAATAGTGATCTGCGTGTCCTCTGTTGCAGCCGGATTAGGCGATGGTTCTTCCGGGTCTAGGTGCTGCTCCTCTGTGTCGTGCTCCTCGTCCTGGTGCTGCAGATTCAGATGATCGGCGTTGTCCGACTCGTCGGAGTCCAGCTTCTCCTCCTCATCCAACTCTGTGTCCATGTGCTGGTCGTTTTGGTCTTTCTTATCAACTTCCTTTTGGTCCTTCTCAGCTTGATTTGGGCTTTTTGTTGTTTTCGCCTTGGAGGTTTCTTCCATGGACTCCCCTTGTTTGTGGTCATGCACCTGATTCTCATTCAACTCCTCCTCATCAATATGCTCTTCGGACTTGATCGATTTCACATCATCGTTGCCATCTGCAATGCGACTCAAACTGTGCTCCTCCAAGCTTCTGCTGATGTCCATGGCAATGTATTCCAGTCGCACCTGGACGCTCTTCTGGAACACCGAGCTATTGTCGCCGCTGAAGAGATTGCTGCGCACTTCCTCAAGGCAGCCCTCTAGCACCTTATTAACCTCGCTCACGTCAAAATCGCCACCGAGATTCTGGGTCACGATCAGCAGCGTGGTAAGGTTTTTCAGCAACTTTATCATCCGCGGATTCTTGACCAGTCCCTTATTGATTTCGTCCACCGTTTTCGAGGCCTTGGCGCGGCACTCCTCACGCAGATATGTCGGCGACATCATGGCCTGGACATTGCGATTGTGCGTCAAGCTGTTGGCCATCTCCTGCACCTTGGTCAACTCGAACATGAGCTCGGTATTGATGCGCTCGATGCACACGATATTGAAGGCATACTGTCGCTGAAAGTTATCAGCAAGCTTACGACGATGGCGCTCGCCATTCTCGTCGTGGCTTACCATCTCGCCCATGGCCAGTTCAGCGGTGGCGTTCATTTTGTTTAGCCGCTGGATACGATCAGTCTTTATCGCAATATGCTTCTCTAGGTGGACCAGATGCTCTAGCAACGTACTGGAGTAGGCATGATGTCGGGCCAACTGCTGCCGTATGGGACTTTCACCCACGGAATCCTGCCCCAGCAAGGGATCGCTTTTATTCAGCTTCATGCTCAGCGCATTCCGTGCAGCTGCATTGTTGGTGGCCAAATGCTTCTGCGGTTTGAAATAGTTCGATACGGCTCCTCCTCCTCCATTGGCTCCCTTCTCCTTCTTCTGTAGATAGTTGTTGGTGAGATTGGCAGTGAAGCCCAGATTGGTGGTGAAGCCTAGGTTATTCGTTTGATAGATGCTCATCAAATTCGGACGGAAATCCTTGGTGAAGCTGTGCAGCGGAAGCATCTCATGAAAGTTCTCCGAGACAATCTCGTAGTCTGGAATAGCATGTGTGCCCAAGCCGGGTCGCTCGAATGTCACCCTGTACATGGCGTTCAGGGAATCATATGCAGCTACTGTGCCGGCAAAGATCCCATCCTGGGGAGTTCTCAATCTAGCGGTGACCTTGGTACCCAGCGGCAGTGGCATTGGTATCTTTTCCGGCATGTCCGACAGAAGCATAGAGTCTTTAAACTCGCCTGGTTTACGCGATTGCAGGGTCCGCATCAGTTGGCGTTTCCTTTCCAATTCCTTGCGCTCCTCACTGAAGAAGTTTGCGGAGCATCGACGAGGTCTTCCCATCCTCCGCCTTATATTAACCCACTCGTGGCGATTTAGGCTCCGGGTGCCCAGCTTGGGTGCCAGCTCTTTCACATGGTTCATGAATTCATCTCGGCAGTCGAACAGTGGCTTATCGATGTAAGAGTAGAACCATTCGGCTATTGCCCACTTGTGCGCTTTGGGTAACTTGAGGAGATTCCGCAGTCTCAGACCGATGGACTGGCCCAGACGCTTGTTGGCTAGTGCTGCAGCCTCTGCTTGGCTGGCTTCCTCCTCAGCGGCTGCTGCAGCTGCTGCCGCTGCAACGGCACCTTTACCAACCAAATGGGCTCCTCTACCTGGTTTAAGTCCTCCAGAGGCAAGCTTGCTGGCTGAAGGCAGCTTACCCACCGCTTGCTGAGCCTTCGATGGCGTCTTCTTATGCCTGCCCACCTGCTGAGGCTGACTGCTGCTGGAGTTGGAGGTGGATCCCTGTTCACTAGAACGCATATAGCGAGAAACCACACCCTTGCGCTTCTTTAGCACCTTGGATGGCGTGAGAGGGATCTTCTGGGCAGAGCCTCCTCCGGCGGAGAGCGGCGGTCTGCCGGGCATTTTTTTAGGTGCCAAACTCATGCGCAGCGGCTTGTCATCGTTGATGATGTTCTCGTCATAGAAGAGGCGGTTCTTTTTCCGTATGCGAGCGGGCATTCCGCGGGCGTTCAGGGTCAATATTGGGGCTTTCTGGACTTTGGGCTTGGGAGGCGGGGCGCTGCCCACGCGTTGAAGTCCCAGGGTGGCCAGGCTAAAGGCCGGAGGCTCTACCTGTTCCTCCGGATCGCTCGTCTCGTTACTGTCCGGCTCCTCATCCTCGTCCTCTTCGTCAATGTGCTCCTCCTCCTCTTCGCCGTCGTCGAGTTCGAAATCATCGCGATTGCTTTCATCGTCCTGTTCCATTGGCTGAACATTACTGGTCTCGTCCTCCTCCTCGCTGAGTGCGGATTGCCTCCGGGCTGTGGAGGCGGAAACGGAAGCTGCTGCTGGCTTTCTGCCCCGGGGTCTGCTGACTTCTGCGACGGGCATTCTCACTGGGCGGGCAATAAGCTGAAATTCAAGGAGCAGAGCACATAGTTTGTCAGATGAGAATGTGTGGCTGTAAGATTGGAGAAGTGGAATCACTTAGACACTTAGTCACATTAAAAAAAAATAAAATATAATCAATGAAATTCAAGGATTTGCTCATGTTTGGTTGACTTTATTTGTTGTATACTCCGTACATAATTGTTGTAGTTGCTTCATTTCGTTTTGTTTGTGTAATACTTTGATTGAAGGATCTCGTATATAAGTATGCATGTATCTTCACATATATATATGCTTGTAAATATATATATATATAGTATATATAATTCGTATTTGAAATTAAGCACAAATTCATTTAACTATCTCACATAGTACACGTGTGTTTGCTTCTGTTGTATTCCCATACGTAAACGAACACATATTGCAAATTCAGTTGGGTATATAAATATATATATTGTTAGGATAGTTTTCCCGTACTGCTGTAGGCATTCCACAGGGTACCCGGATACCCGGGGTACCTTTATCCACTCGATGCATATACATATATTAACGCCGCAAAATAATGTGTCTGTGTGTGTGTGTGTACTGTGGTTTATATTTCATAAACAGATTTTCCTATACAATTTTCACAAAACAACAAAGACTTTTTACACACTCTTTGCCAGAAACATTACATCGAACGAAGAAGATACATAGGAATTACACTAATTTTAACGTTTTAAAAAAAAAAAAACTCCTCGCTTTCTAGTTAGTTAATATTTGTTTGTTTTTCTCCTTGATTGGTTTTCGTTTCGTAACTTTCATCAATACATTTTTTAGGTTTATTTTAGGTATATATATATATAACAATACATTAGGCATAACAAATATCAATAATAATAATAGTAGCATACAATAGTAATAATAATAGTTGTGTAATAATAATAACAGCTTTTCATTCTTTGTTTTTTTCCTTTTTTTCATATCATTTTCATTTTCATTTCCTTTGTTATTTCTCGTGTTGTTGTTATTGTTGTTGTTGTTTGCTTGCATCTGGTTAATTGTTGTTTGCTTTGTTAATATTTGGATTTAGTTTTTGTTTTTTCCGCATTGGAAATTAACAATAAACATAAACAACACGTGTTTAAAGTGTAAGGGTAAAAGCTTAGCCCTAAAAATAAAATGGACGTCGCAAAGGGGGGAATAAAGGGCATATTAAAATCGTGTAATACATTAAAATACATACAGATACAGATACAGATACAGATACAGATAAGATACAGATATATAGGGTAAGTATATAAATAAATAACAAAATGTGAAATTGTGAATTTTTGTTTGCATTAATTTTGCTTAGTTTTTCGTTTGACTTAATTTTGCTTAGCTTTTCTTTGTTTTTCTTTGCCTTAATTATTTTTAACGAAACGCCAGACGTTTCCGCTTCTATTTTTGAATAATTATTGTTTTGTCGTTTCTGCTCCTCCTGCTACTGATCCTACTCCTGCTCCTGATCCTGCTCTCGCTCCTCTAACTCATCCTCCAACTCGCTGCTTTTGAAGCTCGCGTTGATTGCCTAATAACATAACAGTAGTATTGTTACCGCCTCCTCCTCCTTCTCACTTAGACATTAAATCGCGTCTCGGAGCCGTCGGCTAGCATTAGAGTCACCGTGCGATTGTTGATCCACACCAGTTTGGCCAGTCGCATCGGATTCAGGCGCGACACATCCGGAATGGGAGCCGTCGAGTAGCCCTTCGTGCAGCGGGTCTGCGACTGACCCAATCCGAACATACCCGTTGAGGTCTGCCAGAATGAGAGCCGGTTCTCCGCGCAGGAATAAGAGACCAGGTACTTGCCGTCCGGTGAGAAGGCTAGCGAGGTGATCGGGTGCGTGTGGGCTGGAATCATCTGACACTTGTTTTGCCGTAACTCGTAAATGGCCAGGTTGCCACTGTTCGCACCTACAGCGATGCGGCGCGTTTGGGCGCAGTGCGAGATCTGGTTAAACTTGCAGATGGCAGGACACAGCTCCGCCAGGCCACGACTCTTAAGCTCATTGCTGTCCACACAATGAAGGGCTATGTCCATCACCTCCACCAGAAGGCCGGCGATCTCCGACTGCATCTTGTCGATCAACATTTCCACGCACTGCAGTATCTCGCCTTTAGCCTTGTGCAGCACGGATTGGGTGAGCGGCGTGTTTATGGACTGGGCATTCTGCTGCATCGTATTGTACCTGGCAACCTCGCGGGCCATCGTAGTTATGAAAGCCGCCGGCCTAGCGGTGGCTATAAGACGCAGAGCGTGCCGAGCTGTCCGGCAGGCATCCGCTTGCGGGGTCAATGGGAGTTTGTAGTTAAGATTTGGCACTGCCTTGCCTTCACACGAGATCTCCAGCAGACCGAGGAGTACCTTAGACACATCCAAGTATGGCTCCCAGACGGTGAATCCTCGACCTAACAGATCAATAGCTGCCCGGCGGAGTGGTGTGTATTGTGGTAACTTTGGAGATGGTGGAGCGTACAGCAGATGGGCCAAAGCCATCGAGGTGAGACGCGCTAGATTGTTGGCTATGCCAAAACCCTCAACAACACTGGATTTCCTCCGTTCTCCGCCGGCCACTCCACTAGTTAGATTGGCTCCCGTGGCCATGCTAATACTTCCCCGGTGATTCGGTGACTCCTGGGATATATCCTGACCAAACTCAGCTCCTATGACACCTAAAAGTATAACTGCTGTGGTTTGCTTGCGTTTTAGCTCCGACAAGCTGGATGGTTTTCGTATAATCTCCTCCTCCTCTTCCTCATAGTCTTCATCTTGGTGGGCATCTCCTCCTGAAACGTTGCCGCCTGATCCGCCTCCACCTCCAACTCCCCCACTTCCGGAATTTCCGACGCCACCTCCTCCATTACCTCCTGATCCGGAACCAGATCCTCCGCCTGCCGGCTGACTTATCAGAGCCAACTGCTGTTGGGCACCCACAATGGGCTCCGTGTGCGTATAGAGTGGAAGATACTGCGCCCAGCTCTCGACTAGTTGCTTTCGGCCCTTCTTGCCCATCCGGGTTAGTTCACCCAAAAGAATCTGCTGAGCTGCCTCCCTGATCTCTATGCAGTGATGTTGCCAGCGCTTAACCATCATCTCCACCTGTGGGCGCTTGAATTTCTTTGGCTCCAGTGCCTCAATTTTATCAGGCAGCAGAAAACAATGGTGGGTGGCCAGCAGACTCCAGGCGTGCTTGATCTGGGAAACGTGGTGGGCCATCAGCTCCTCGCGCTCCTCCTCGTTGCTCAATGTGGAGTCCGTGCGCTGGGCCAATCGCTGCAGCTTCTTGTGCTTCTCGCTGTCTGGCAAAAAGGAGGCCGCGCTCATCGAGAGCAGGGTGTTGGACATGGCCACCAGAGCGAGAATATGATTAGTGGTCAATGTGGTGCTCAGCTCCCAGTGCAGACGTGATGTAAAAACGGCAGTGAGGTGCTCCAAGCGCTGCAGCTCCTCAGGCAGCGGACGCTTTTTGGAGCTGGAGGGAAGCTGGATTCCTGGCGGTATGGCATAGTTGTTTTGCCAAGTAGGCAGCAGCAGAGACATGTAACCAGCCTTGGAAAGCACACCATAGGAGATGGGCACAATGGGTCTGAGCAGACCCAATCGCGTCTCGCACATCTTGTCTAGATGCGGATCCAGGCCCCAAGAATGGAGCAGCGAAAGCAGAAGCTGGGCTACCTCCATCACGTGTGTAACTTCCATTTTGGAGGCGATTTTGCTTTTAAGGTCCTGCTGCTCCTCGTGCGTCTCTACTGCCTTTTGCAGACTTTCCACCTTAGCCTGCACTTTCTTCTCTACAATCTCAGTTTTCTCCTTGAACTTCTGTACTAGTCCGTGCTTGTCCTTGTCCTTTAAGATCTTCTCCACATCCACCGCCTTGTTCTTGACTTTGCTGAAAAAGTCACCGATCTTCTTGCTGGCATCCAGGTGCATAGATTTACCATCTTTGGGATTCTGCAGGTGGACACCAAGTGATTCCAAAGTAGCTGGTGTCATCTGCGCGTATTCCTCGCTGTGCAACTCGAATATTAGACCTTCGATGTCAAAGAAGAGGATGTGACTCTCTGCATCTTTGGGATTAGTGCGGAGTCCCTGAATAACCAGCGGATTACTGCGGTGCTTCATCAGGAAATCGAAGTTTCCTTGGTTATGACCCTGAAGCTGCTGTAGTTGGTTTATCCCTCGCTGGGTAGCATGACGGATTGCGTTCATATTGCGCGATTTCAATCCGCGGAAGAAGTGAACAGCTGGATTGGCCATGCCCATCTCGCTGGCAGAAGCCCCATTGGATCCACCACCACCGCCTCCCGAACCGCTATCATCGGCCTGTTCGTCACAAGCCGAGAGTACTTCCTCCGCCAGCATTCCGTGGAGTACTCGATCAAGGTGACCCGTTTCCATTTGCCAAACGTACACACTGCCATCAGAACAGCCCACGATAAGGAAATCGTCCAGTGGACGCCACTTTATGGTGACCACAGGGAACAGATGCCTGCTGGCCAAGGTCACACACTTGCGCTCCTGAAGGGAAACCAGTGTAACAGAATGATCCGAGGCCACCGAACATATGCACTTTAGGATTCTTGGACTACAGCTCTCCGGTGGAACCAACAGCTGAGTGATCTCACCGGCATGGACACAAAACCGGTGCAACAAGCTGCCGCTGTACAGATCCCATAAACACACGGCGAAATCAATTCCGCCAGAGAGTAGATGAGATTTTTCGTATCTCGAGTGAATCATGGAAGGGCATAGCAAGCAGTTGACCCTGCCACGATGACCGTACAGGATCTGATGCGAAGGCCAATCGCTAAAGTTTTGCTTGATACCCACCAGCAGCTGCATCATTACTGTCTGTGTGGCTGGCACAATGACTATGCTGCCGTCCTCGCGTCCGATCACCAAGCGACTCTGCTGCGGCAGATAGATACTCGAGGTGAGCTTCACTGGCGACTCCGTAATGCGGGATAGCTGATCCAGTATTCCCACGGGTGGTGGATCCATTATGGACCACGCCTCAACCAGGGAAGTGCACACGTGTGGTTTTAGGACTCGTGGCGGCATCTGCTTGGCTTGCAGTATACTAATATTGTCTAGCGGCACCTCCGGAACATTCCATACGGAGATGTATCCCTCTGAGTCGCCGCGCAAAAGATTGTGCTGACCACCGGCACTCTGAAGCAGCTTCATGGCTGGTGGACACGACAAAACCTTGTCTCCCGCATGCTGCAAGACATAGTACAGATATGGAGCATCTCTAACCACACTCTTCGAGTGGAACTCCTTGTTATCCGGAATGCAGTTGGCTGGCAGCTTGTATAAGTAGCCCTTGCCTTCATCCGTCCAGAGCATTACACGGTCCGAGGTGATGAAATCACCGCCCTGCCAACGTTCTCTCGCTGGAGCAATTACGGAACATAGCACGGTGAAGTCTCCAGCATCGTAAATCTGCCAATATTTGGTACAAACTAGGAGCACTGTGCGCTGGTTCTGGGCGCAACAATTCATTGTGATGGCATTTAGACAGCGGATCTCCTTGGACTCGTTCTCGTAGATCGGTTCCGCGTGCTTGTTCTCATTACCGGTCAGAGTCCAGACTTTTACTGTTCCAGTGGTGGTGATGGCCAGCACTACATCATCCTTACGGCGCATGGGACGCAGTACGTGAATGGCGGAAATCCAATCCGGCTTGACTTTGGAGCTAAGCACGTAGATTACCTCTAGGCTGAAGGGATCCATGACCATAATTTCGGCATAGTATCCAATGCAGAAGAGGCGCACATCTTCGCTGTTGGCCGTATGATAGCTCTGAATTTGGGTGTGCACCTGTGGCAGCTTTACAGCCTCCATGCACTTGCCGTCCGTAAGGTCCCAGGTGCACATCTCACCGTTCTCGGAGGAGCTGACAAGGAAGTTGTTCTCTGGCAGGAGAGAAGCGCGCACCAAGCACAAGACTGGAGCCGAGTGACCAACCAGCAGGCACCGCGGCGACATCTTCAGGGTGGTGGGTTCCACCTGCCACAGGCAGATCTGTCCATCGTAACAGCCAGTGACCAGGGTGAACTGGTCGTCCGAGAGGAATACGCTCGAGATGCAGTGCGTAGGCGCAGTGGGTCCCCACAGCACCACCGGCACCACCAGATTGGTACTCACCATTGTGGTGCGCTTTACCCAATCTATGCGGTGGTTCCTATTTCTGCTTCTCCTCCTCCGCCGCCTTCCTCCTGCTCCTCGCTCGCTTCGCTGGTGATCGTGATTCGGCTGCTACTGCGGGTTCTGTAAGAATGGTTATAAAGTCAACATTTGCTCACGTCCACCGGGTGGATGAGGTTGGTGGGTCTCTGTGTGCGTGAGAATTTAAGATTGGGATTGAGTTTGAGTGCGTGTATGGTACAGTGAAAGCTGCTAATCAGTGACTCATCCAAGGTGTTTCGGGTCTATCGATTATGTTATTTCAATTAATTTAGATTCCAAGCAGGTAGTTCTGCTGAACGGCCAACAAAGCCTAAAACTACCTAATATTTGTTTACAGCCGAGATATTCCTATTGGAATCCAAGAAGGTTTATTGATTACATATTCACTTACAAAAAAGCTGTATTTTGCTGTAAACAAAAAATATCACATTCATTCCTTGGAAATTTAATTTATAAACAAAGGCTTACAATCCAGTTTTAGGATCAAAGTCAAACGTAGTGTAAGTTGCATTTCACAGATTTTTGAACTAGAGAACTAAATTGAGAAAAACTGACTATATTAAAGGAGCTAAATGTGTTATTGGCTTTTCAATGATATATATAAATATCAATCTTTTGAGAAGTTATCTTTATCGGGTTAGTGCTTTCTTGTCAGGTTTTTCCCTGTCCTAATTTTTATGTGAATATGTCAGTCAAAATGGCCTGTAAAGCTCTACAGATAAGACCGTCTAACAGGTGATATTCATGCCTGTTCCCCGGCGGCTTATCTTCGCGTCCACCTTGGGCAGACTCCACTGTACTCCACTTCGGAATTGGAATGTCCAAAGATAAACAAGGGTTATACAACATGTGTACAATGTGCGGTAGTGGCAAAACCGGAGGAACGATCCACGGATGTATTGAGTACCATACGGAGCTGGGAATATGAGGAGGCTTCCGTTTTCGCTTTTGCCAATTGAAAGATCAATTAATTGGGCGACAATTTGGCATCGCAATTCGATCGGATTTTGCCTTTGCCGTAGCACGCACACACATATGTACACACAGGCACACACAAATCACGCACACAGTGACAAACCATAATAATTGTAGATAACTTAGCATTTAGCTAACATTTTTCAGCAGTTTTCCGTATTGGGGTAGCAGCGGGCGCGCGTGATTCCTCCTCCGATATAGATTGCAATTCAGATTCGTCTCGATATGGAAAACTTAATGGTCCGCTGCTGATGATTACTGGTGATTACTGATCCTGGTCGATGGACATCGCAGTGTCGGAGCGGACTTCAATGTCGTTTTCGATTCGATTCGATTCTAATTTATGGACACGGGACGGGCAAAACGCACACCACCCCCCGAGCACACCAACACAAGAACACTTTTCCGCTGTACAGATTGCTTACAACACACACACGTTGCGTTGCTGTTGCTATTTTGTTATTGCTTTTGCTGGCCACTTTTTCGTACTGGGCATATTTGCACTGTACCGTTGCACATTAATCTGCACTCCACGGGAAACGAAACACTCCACTGAGCGTACTCTGTTCCGTGTATTTTCGCTTTATTTGCTTTTTTCCTATTTTTTTTGTACACGACTGTGGAAAAAAGCAACGAAAGTGTTTTATCGACCGTGGGGTAAAATTTTTCGATAGGCTTGCGTATGCGCGCAGGGCTGTCGCCGCTGTTGCAGCGCTCTGCTATCGATGCCATGCGAACGGCGACAACCCTGCTCCAAAAATTTAATATTTTCCTCCAATTGTATGTATTTTTACAAATAACTCGATGGAAAAACGAAATCATGATGGGAAAACATGCATGACTTGGTCTTAATGTTATAAGTATGGTTCTTTTGGGGCTTATGTGAGGCCAGAGGTCAACCCACATGTTTTGCTCCACAATGTTGTTACTTTTTGTCCAACGGAAAATTAACCATACGCAATCGCTTTTGAAAGATCGCGTTGCAATGGGTTACAAAATGCACTAATGCCACGATGCATTGCACCCACAGTGCAATGATTGACCCCATTTCTGTTTTCCTCCCGGAAGAGCGAAACAAAACCGAAACCATCGCTGCCCATGGACAGGATGATGATTCGTTGTATCGCAGGGGAAACAAAGAATGTGAATCACTTGGTAAGCTTATCCGGAGGATCTCCGGTCTTAAACAAATACGAAAGACAGTTACTTACCGCTGGAAGCAGTTCCTTTTATTGCGGGCAGCCGTTTCGCAGGACAATTTAAATTTAAACACTTTTTACCCGTACGAACACACACTTTTGAATGGTTAAAAAAAAAAACATAGATCCGCGCTGCCAACTCGCTGCAAACACAATCATAAAAGGCGCGCGTGCCGCGCAAAGCAACCACGAATAATCGGTAAAGATTTTACCACGAATTTGTCTTTTACAGTTTTATCCAATTTGCTTTTTGTTTTGCAAATATATTTGAGTATTTAATTTACTTATTTGTAGTCGATTTTAACGACTGCATTCTTTTGCTGATAGTAATCGTAATCTGGGAGACATTTGACCACCCTGCCGATAGTTTTTTAACAGCAGCAACAGCTGATTGCTCCCTATCTCAGGCATAGCCGTTCATTTAACGGTTTCGTGATACACGTATCCTATCCAATATTATTATAAATATTTTCTTGTTGAAATTTTTGTTGAGACTTAATTCTCTTACCATAAATAAGGGTATTTTAAAGTCAGCCTTATTAGAGCTTGCAAAAAATATTTAAAATAAAAAAGTAGGCAACAAGTAATGTAAAGTATAACAAATAGAGTATTTCGAAAACGATGCTATCGTGCCAAATTTGCATTGTTGTGATTTTGCGACAACGTTGCCGCATTTGACATCCACATACCCGCATCCACGCTGGCTATGGGGCACTGACCATGCCTATAATTGAATTAGCGGTCCTGATTGATTGATTGTCTCACAATGCAGCAGCAGATTACCCCAAACGCCGGCTATCCATGTATCCTGATCTGCGTGTTGCTTCTTCTGCTGACCACCGGTGTCAACTGTCAGAAGCAGTACTCCAAGGCGAGAAAGTTGGAGCTAAGGTAGGTCAATCGCTACCTCATCTCTTCAGCATACTATATCAGGCAATGTATTCTTTTTAGGGAGGATGTGCGCCGAATGTTCCAACACGCCTACGAGGGCTATTTGCGCCACGCTTCCAATTATGATGAGCTGCGCCCCCTGACCTGCGACGGCCATGACACCTGGGGCAGCTACTCCCTTACCTTGATCGACGCTTTGGATACGCTGGCCACCATGGGCAACTTCACGGAATTCCGGCGCGTTACCCGGTTTCTCGAGGAGAAGATGAATTTCGATCGGGACATTAATGTATCCGTCTTCGAGACGAACATCCGCATTGTCGGCGGCCTGCTGTCCGCGCATCTGCTCTCCAAGAGGGCGGGCATCGAGTTGGAAGAGGGTTGGCCCTGTAAGGGTCCACTGCTCCGCCTGGCGGAAGATGTCGCTCGGCGTTTACTTCCAGCTTTTGACACAAATACGGGAATGCCTTATGGCACAGTGAACTTACGCTACGGCGTACCCAAGGGGGAGACATCCGTTACCTGCACGGCCGGCGTGGGGACCTTTCTTATCGAATTTGGCACCCTTAGCCGGTTAACCGGGAACAGCATTTACGAGGAGGTTGCTATGCAGGCGGTACATGCACTCTGGGGTTATCGTTCGCCGATTGGACTTTTCGGGAACCACATCGACGTGCAAAGCGGACGGTGGACCGCCCTGGACTCAGGAATTGGAGCTGGAGTTGATTCTCTGTTTGAATACCTGGTTAAAGCATCTGTACTGCTTAATCGCCCTGAGCTATTGGAGCTGTTTCACGAGGCTCGCGCGGCCATAGATAAGTATATGCGCAAGGAGGACTGGTATGTGTGGGTGGGCATGAACAAGGGCCACGTCACCCTTCCCGTCTTTCAGTCTCTGGAGGCCTTTTGGCCTGGAATCCTTAGCATAATTGGGGATACAGAGCCGGCACTGCGCACCATTTCAAGATACATTGGAGTCTGGAAGAAGTACGGCTTTCTACCAGAGTTCTACAACATTGCTGCAGGAGAGGCTTCACCGAATCGGGAGGTATATCCCCTACGGCCTGAGCTGATCGAGTCAGCCATGTATCTCTACCGAGCAACGGGAAATGAGTACCTTCTGGAGCTCGGGGAACATATGCTAGAGACTCTAGAGTTCAGCGCCAAAACGAAGTGCGGATATGCAACAGTAAGTTCCCAAAAAAAAATTTTCTAATTTTTTTTTCAAATTGTAAATTTTCTGCTGCTAACTCTTCCAGATCCGAAATGTTGTTACCCATGAGAAGGAGAACCGAATGGAATCGTTCTTCCTAGCGGAGACGAGTAAGTACTTGTATCTCTTATTTGACGAAGACAACTTCCTGCACAACGATGGCTCTGGAGGCGAGCTCCTCTCCACCGAGGATGATGTATGCGTTGTTATGGCGGGTGCTTATATTTTTAACACAGAAGCCCACCCCATGGACATGTCAGCCCTGCACTGCTGCCACGCGCACAAGGAGGACATCTACGCCACACTAGATCTACAGCGTTTTAGTCCACGTGCGATATTCGGGAGAAGCAGGGAACGTCAGGTCGCGGTTCAGGATCAATGGGTACCGCAGTGTCACCCAGAAAACTACGAGTACTATTATAAGGAGCAGGATAATGTACAACGACAAGAATCTGGAAGAGAGCAAGGACGCGAGCAGTCCGGCTCAACTACTACGATGGCCGTAGACATTGAGGTGTTCGACGAGTTTCAGCAGCCTGCCGGCGATGTGCTGGTGAGCAACTTCGAGCGAATACGTGAGGAGCGGGAGCTCAACGAGAGCCTTCAAAGAAGCGAGGTGCCACGTAATCAGTTAACAGTCAGCGATCTAGATGAATTCTTTACCCAGCGGCGGGATAATTTCGGCAGTGCCTCTGAGGCTCTCAACTATGTTCTCGCCTTTATGGGAAACTACACCATGGACGTGGCCTTCATCAGAGGTCTGCAACTATACAATACTAATTTCAGTAGCGTGCTAGGCACAGGTGCCCAAAAGGAGTACGAGTCACGTATGAGATCTCTTTGGCAGTTGTACGAACTGGAACAGCAATACGCCGCCAACATCAGGCTGATCCAGGGATTAGGCTTGCTTACTTTCCAGGCGGACAGTGAGCGGATGCGTATTTACTTGGCAGAGGTGTTGGACAGCCTAGATAAACAAGATCAGTTGGAGGAGCAGCATCCCCAAGATCTTCAGCCAAGAGTCGCCAATGCCTCCTCGTCCCAATTAGCCAATATAAGAGAAATAATTCTTAAAGCACGCAATTCTTATGCCATAGCCATGGTAAATACCACGGCCATGCAGGAATTTGCCATCCGCATCTACCTCAGTGGCACAGCGGAGGCTGGCGTACGCATTCACCCATTGCTGGAACCTGCAGAACTAACTCAGGAAGAGCGTTTAAGGCCTCTAAAGTTGGCGGAGGAGCGGGCCCTCTTCAGCTACACCCGTCGAATTGTTGACTTTCGGAAACGAATGGCGGAAACAGTGGACCGGCTGCAAACGCTTATGCAGGATATGCCACAAGACAAGAGTAAAGAGACCGCTGAAGATTCTCAACTTCAAAAAGTGGATGCGTCTACAGTGTACGCTCAAACCGAAGCTAAAGAGACTGCAAAGAAGGATCAGCAGGAGCAGAAGTTGGCAACTAAGAAGCCAATCCGAATTCAAAAGGAGAAGCCAACAGAAGAGGACTCAGGATCGGGACAAGACGAGACCGGCTCCGTGTGGTCGCAGTTCGTGCAGACCATCTTGCGTAAAACCACAGTACAGCGGGTCAAGTTCGACGAGGCTGTGCTCCTGGAAAAGACGCGGAAAGCGTTGGAAAAGCACGCCCACAAGAAGCTGCCCCACCATCTGTTCGCCTGCCACCGGCCGGAATACATTGAGGGTTTCGCATATAGGGACTTCTATCCGGAAGCGCTGTAGTTTTACAACCACCTCGACAACTAAACACGACTGATCTGTAGATATGTATTTAGTTAGTAAAGGGGTATTCGCTTTGGTGGCTGGTAAACCCTAAGATAATTCTCAAAAAGCTTTCATTCCCAATCGCAATATATGGGTGTACCTCAAACTCGCAAGAGAACTATTTTCTCAAAGAGTTCCCTAGAATGTTAACAAGCATTTTAGTTTTATAGCTGGAAATAATATTTAGTATTTCTTAAGTTTTACTTTTTTTACTGAAAATACACTAAGTTCTATGTAATATTAAAAGACATGGTCAATAAGAAGTAAACCTTATATCAAGTCTCTATAGTCCTTGTATTCCAAATTTTTCTCAATTTTTACAGGCGATTTCATAAAGCTCAGATGACTTAGAAAAATTTTAGATAACCAACCATGAATTGAAGTTTAAAGACCAAATGCGAATACCCTTTTAGCGTGCCAAGCGTCAAGTGGCTCCACTTGTTCCGGCAATTAATTTATTAATATACACTTAAATCACCCATATTTTTCGTGGTTCCCTGAAGATATTACCACGGCCTATACGTATTTATATCTATAATAATCGTATTTAGGAATCGTGTGTTTGAGTGTGCGTGTAAACTATTTGCAATGACTGTTGTTGGCTGTATTGTAATTAAATTGATTTATTTCCGTATTTATGCATTCAATTAGATTCGATTAGGCTGAAATTGACGACATTGAGCTAGTTGCACAAGCCAAAAAGGATAGAAAGACTTGCGGCAGACAAGTGCCGCTTGAGGTGGCCACCTCATCCTCCACTTCCAGGGGATTGCGGCTGCGATTGTTTGGACACGCAATGGCAATCGCTCGAATGGGTTTATTTTCGGAAATTACTGTTTACTTCAAGGATTCGGTTTTTGGGCTTGTACCAAATTACGACAACGACATGAAATGGAGCCAATATTATGGCGGACGGAACCAGTGGTGCGAAAGGTATTGTAAACCTTTTGAATTGGTACTGATGAAATTTGACCGCTTTCTTGAAGCTTTAAGGAAGTAAGATTTCTTTATAATCCGAACTAAATAGGATTTTGGTAAATTTCTTTCTATTTGTCGATCCGTACGAAATTTGAAATGTGGGTATATACGAAATATGCAAGCTTTGTCTTTGGGTCTAAAATTAAAAATGTCGACATCAGAAAAGTCCAATCTTTTAAAGTACCCAAGCCACATCTCATCACTATCCTTTTGCTTTCTTCTGACCCAATCGCACACATCGTGGACACCCTGCAGCAACGGTGGGGGAAATTCACCCGACAGGCGCCTATGATGTTGGCAAAACTGTGATTGTGGGTCACACCACCACCGACACTCCCTGGAGACCTACTCCGACCCCCGCTGGGGTGGAACTTCTTGGGCGTTGTGGGGTGCGTCGTGGGGATGCGTGTGCCGTATTGGTAACATTGCCTGCCATCCGACAACAATGGGAAAACTTTAATGAGTACAAGTTGCTGCCAAAACGGAAAGACAGCCAGGCAAAAGGCGGCAGGCAAACGAATTGTCGGGCAGCTGTCCTTGCTGCATCGCAATTCGCAGCCAAGTCAAACGAATCGAGCACGCCACGGGTAGCAGACAGGTTCCTTGGTTTTCCGCATAAAGAGAAATTCTCCGGGGAGCTGGAATAGGAGAAAAAGGTGAAAGTGAAAAGTGCACAATGAAACCGGGACCAGAAACCACCGATGAGGGTGAAGAAGATGGCGAAGCACAGGATCATCACGAGGGGGATCCCCGACCACTGCCGTACGACTTCGAAAAGGAATTGATCCAGAAATCCAACCGACACATCCGACTTTATGAAACCTTTGTTCCAGTTAGCCAAGGTATAGTAGCCATTTTTGGTTAAATTGTGGGTTTCTCTAAAACAGTAAGAACAAGTTTTTAGAATACAAAATATAAGCCAACATTTTGGATATAATAATAATACTTTTAGTCAAGTGATCACATATTCAATATTTGTGCAGAAATAAAGGACATTCACAGCCCCCGATGATGATGATACCCTCCTAATTTCCAGTTAATCCACTGACCAGGAAGTTCTACGCCAAGTTTGAACAACGTCAACCGCCGGATCCATTGCGCTACCTTCGGCACACCTGGCCGGAGAAACAGCTTGAGCGCCAGAGTCAGCTGACGAAGTCGATTCCGCTGTTGGAGTCCCAGGTATACGGCTGGCTCCCACTCCAAAGTGGGGAGCAGGTCGCAAATTTGAACTTTTTACATGCTCCAAAACTTCGCTGCGGCATGACGGTCCACGGAGAGCGATTGATAGCGGAGAGGATTACGGCGCGACCATCTTTCAACGGACTTAGATTCCTGCTTCACTAATCTACCGGGAAATACATACATATACGAACTCACATAGTGATCAATTGGTTACGGGGACTCACCATTTTACATTCAAAAGTTTGATTCCTCTGTTCAAAGCTTTTACAAGTTCGCTTATGTGTATACAGTAGTATTAATTTTTGTTATGAAACAAAATAAAAATCTTTGGAGTCAAAATATGTTTCATTCAAAACATTTGAGGGTTTGGTAATAATTAATACCATTATTTATAAATCGTTTGCCGTTCAGAGGGTTAATTTGAACTACCCAAGCAATGTGTCAACTCTGCCTCGATTACTTTTGTTTCAGAGTTGAGATATCGATATTATTTTTGTTTATATATTTTGTTTTCATTTACGGTTGGATTTAATTAGGCGAAAAAATCTGGAGACCTGGCCTTTTACCTGTAATGAACACAAAAACCGAGAGATTCTTGCAGTAGCCGAAAACCATGGTGGGTGTCTTCGGCTAAAAAGAGCCCATAGAATATACGACCGGGAATTTCCAGTCAAAGGTCACGTTTGATGGCCCCAGCCTCAGCCGGCAGCTAATCACTTTCGTTTTTACGCAATATAAATTTAAATATTGATCTGATCACATTTACAGGCTCACTCAAAGAAGGCGCGTAAAGCCGCCGGTGTAGCAAATTCCCAGAAGTCTTCGAATATAAGAATGGAGAACACATCGGAGTCAGAAACTAAAGAAAATTCAGGCGATACCCCCTATACAGGATCTCCCACAGGCGACCAATTCCTGGAAAGTTTGATTCAGACCCTCTACAAGTCATGTATGCCACTTAATTGAAGTTTAACTTCCAAACCTATCTGAAACATTCCACAGCTCAATTACTTAGTGACTAATGGCTGAAATAAGTTTTTTGCTGCTCTGTACGGTTGTTAACCTTTTTTATATTTTTTTTTTGTTATTTTGCGTTTTTATTACTTGTTCACATACAAGCAACTATTTCAGTAATTGACTTGGAATGAACGTATTTTGTCATGCGATTTTTTTTTTTATTAATATTGACCTAGCAAATGTTATAATCCCTACTGATCTTGCAGGGTTTCAGGTGCGCCGATTAGCAGAGTTTGTCATGTCCGAACTGGGTGGATATGATATGCTGGAGACCATAGCAGCCTGGTGCGCCCGGAATCCGCATATTGCTATCTGCCTGCTCGCTGGCGGTCTGGTCTTCATGCTCCCATTCCTTATAATCTTTGGGTTTGGAATAGCTACCATGGTTATGACGTTCACTGGTCTGCTGGTACTTGAAGGTTGGCTTCATTATTTTCACTTAGAAGCACGCGTTAAAGTACTTCTCTTTCAGGCACACTCCTGACCATAGTATCTATGGTGTTCTTCACCTGCCTGGCGGGATTCGCTATTATGGTCCCTCTATTTGGTGTCGCCGCTGTAGCTGCCTATTTTGGTTTTACCCAAATATATGGACTTTGTGATGGTATGGAGCGGCATAAGAGCGCCTTTTTCAAGTTTATCAGAGATCAACGAAATACCTACGATCGTCCACAAACTCCTGTGACGATTTCTGAGTTACCCACTTAGAATTCATAGCCCAAAGCCGCTTGCCCAACAAATAAATATTCATACATGAATAAATCAGTGTTTGGATATATCCAAAATGAAAAATAGATTTATATCAAATCATGTCAGTTGCAGCTGAAATAAGGCTTTCTTATAAAACAAAAAGTATTTGTACACTTCGATCTGATATAGAATAATAAAAAGTATATTATTTTAAAAAGCCCTCTAAGAATAAAAAAAACAAGTTGGCAGCCACCAGAATTGAAAAAGCAATCGGTTATCGGCTTATCACTCATATACACAGTTTTCAGTCGCGGATTTGTTGTCGAATTTTAATATTTAAGTGCGTTAAAGGAACAGAAAACTGCCTTTGAGCAGATAAAATTATATTTTACGTGGTAAGTATGACAAAACAAAAGAAGTTTTAACAATTTAAGGCCGAAAACTAGATTTTACATAAACCTGAGTTGCCAAACACCCACATATGTACATATATACACATGCAGGTGCTTGTGTGGGTAAATGTTTATACAAGAAAACGGTAAAAACAACAAAGCTAAAACTTAAATAAATTGTGCCTAAATTTTAAATATTGTGTGCTTAATACAGCAAAAAATAAATAAATACTCTAAAACATTGAAGACTCTTTAAAAAAAAAAGCGAGATTTCGATATAGGTTCTTAGAACTAGAAATATTTAAAAAATTCCACTGACTTATCGACTAAGGCCTATCGAAGTATCGGGGCAGCAGCAGGCCATCTCTAGTTGGGTCTCAGTCGCCATATACACAGTTTTTTTTCATTGAGCAGACATAATTCGCTCTAAATTTGTGAAACAGTGCGTTTTAAATCAATTGATCCTGCTATAAAGCAGATTTAAATTCCTTGGACGTGGTGAGTAATTAAAGTTGAGAATAAATCCGTATGAAAAGCCAAGTTTTATGTGTAACATGGAAAGCTGGAAAGCTATGGGAACCCAGTAGACGCGGGGGTGTGGTGGGATGGCGATGGTGTGTGTGTGAGCATTGGAGCTGGATACACACAAACAGCATTTTTATGTATTCTCCCTTGTAAGCCGTACGCTTGTTTTGCTGCTCGCTGGAATGTAAACAATGCCGCAGACAGGAAATTGTGTTTGTCCGAATAAAAGGCTCATTACCATTGAGTATTTTATCTAATCTACAACTCCACAACATTATTTATATTAGAATCCTTCCTGTGCTGCTTATGTGTGTGTATGCACAATCTGATAGATGTGTGGCAACTCTGCGCAGCATTGCATTTGTGTGCTGCACTGCGGCCCTTTACTTTCTCTCCCTCGCACGCGCCGTGTTGCAAGTGCTTCGCTTTTTGCTCTCTACTTTTCAATTCTGTTCCGTTTTAACGAGCGTGCTGGTCGGTCGCATTTTCCGACGCGCTATTTTCCAGAAGCTGCAAGTGAAGAATAAATTGTTTTCTGTTTTTTAGAGTGCATACGATTTGAAGTGCCAAACATAGTAATTAAATAACTCAAGGTTCGTGGCCGAAGTCTTCGGCAGGTAGACATACACGCATATTCATTTCTACCTGTGTGCGCTTGTATTTGTGTGCTTGTTTGTATACTGTATACGCAGCATACTTCGTATTATGCTGCGGCATCTCAAAGCGGAAATAAGTTTAAGAACAGAAAAAAATAGAATTGGTGATTACTACGTCTATAAGTTGTCTGCAGAAACAGAAAGAAGTCTTGTACTTTCCGCGGACTTAATTTTTAACTTAGTTTCTTGTACTCTAACTGACACACACATACACACATGAACTTAGTGTTAACTGTTAAGCAAATTACTCATATTCTTCTGTCTCTTTCTTGCAGGTGTGGTGTAAAGCGCCTTAATCACCAAGATGAGTTACATGCCAGCCCAGAATCGTACCAGTAAGTATTTTCAAGAGCAGTGATTTTGCCTTTCCCCACTTCCACGAAAGCATGCAAAACGAGGGATCCATTTTGCAGACCCACTAAGGAAAACCACACGACCTTTTTATTCTTTATCGTTCTGTGATTTGTATGAAGTTTTAAGTAAATCATTTAAAGATGCCAAGTTTTTATTTGAGCTATTCAAATCCGGGGACCATTAGACCATTTCAAATTAATAGTCAAAATAGAAGGTCGGTCCATAAAAGAGGGATGTATCAGTCTGTGCATTGTTCCCTGACAATAATTATCTCCTGTATCGCATTTCAAGAACTACCCCTTGCTAATAATAGTTGAAAGATGTGATGCTTGTTTTTGACAAATTTGCCAAATGTGACATAAAGTATTTGTTTTGGATGCTCCTTTTGTTTGTCATTTGAACGATTTAGGGTAACTACTCTATAGCAATCCACCCCAGATGAATTATTTATGTCTGCCTGTTCTATGAGCTGCCCACATTTACATACTTGTTAATGCTTGAGCATACACATCATTTGGATGATCTTTTTTCTGTGTGACAAGCAACCACCAGCAGACCATGTGTCCTTACCCTAACCACCAAAAACAACTGTTCCATCTCCTTTACATTTTACAATTTACAACTTTTTTGACGACGCAGCTAAAAGGAGAAGGAAGGAAGATGCTGTCCTCCCTCTCTCTACCACGCTCCTTTTTGTCACTTCATTTGCAGTTTGCTTTGGAGGATAACAGTGGCGTAGAAGGGTAGGGTTTTAACAAGGAATAACAATTCCTCTGTACAGTTAAGGTTAAGTTTAAGTTAGGTTTCCCCTAATAATACAATTTTTAACAAATCGGGCATGCTTTCACATATTCGCATTTAGATTAAAGGCTAATGCCGAATATTCAATCCCAAAAACCCCCTTCAAAGCATACGCCAATGTTTGGTACTCTTTAAAATTCTATTCCGTCCCGATTCCTCTTACTCTTTCTCACACACACACGCGATACCGAGAACTTGTGTACTTGCACGTGGCCATCCCACCCACTCAGTTTCCCTCTCCGGGACCTTGTCATCCCTCTCTGTCTTTCAATCTCATTTTCGACTTGGCTGCACATTTTCTTTTTCTTTTTGCTTTTTTTGTGGTGGTGCTGTGCTGTGCAGAATTTAATTAGTAAGCGGCAACTTCCACTTAAAGGCTCCGTCCCCACATTTGCAATCCCATTTCCATTCTAGCCGCACTCCTTTCGAGTGCGTGGCCCACTCGAGGGATAAAGCGAATGAAAAAGCGCTTAATCGATTTGGGAAATGAAACGAAATGGGATTACAGTACTACGTGCTGGTAGCGAACCATATTAAGGGATTATGAAATATATTTTTAGTTTTTGGTTGTTAAACTTTAGGCCAAGTTTCTGTTGCAAATCGAGGCACATGTCTCGGAGGCAAAATGGAAACTGTAACAACTTTCGAAAAAAAATGTTTCGATATTAAACAAAAACTTTAATAGCTGTTTCTAAAACGTCTACTTAATTACTTTTTACCCATTTAAAGTTCATCTAAATCCATTTCGTTTCGGAGATCGATTTTTAAAGGTTTGACTGTAGTACTTAACGAGTGGGATGGGGAGAAGCTGGCAGCTTTCAAATTGCAAATGCAAATGCATACAAAAGGGGCGTGGCTGCACTGTGTCCGCGCATAAGTAAAACAACAAAGGCAAAAAGCTGGGCCTGAAACGGCATAATTAAGACAGAAGTGGCAAACAAAACGCCCAACGAATCCTTTTGCCAGGACCCTCTCATGTGTGAGCATCATGACCCCCATCCCATCTTCTCTAAACTTTGTGGGAATATCCTGCAGCGTTCAATTTGTCACGCTTCAAAGTTTTCCTTTTGCAATTTTTTTTATTTGCGTTGTATGCTGCACGGGACGTTGTTCACTTTGCTGTCAGTCGCTGTCGTTTCCCATTTGGCCATCCTTCAAGAAAAAAGGTTTGCAAATGGCTTGGAGTGGGTTAGAGTGGGGGCATTGAAAGCAAACCCGCAGCATCCAAGTCAAAATTCGATGGCAGCGATGTTGATGCTGTGCTGCACTCAGTCTGATGGTCATGTTTCTGTTGTTCTGCGCCATTCTTGCGCTTCAATAGGTTTGAAAAAGAAATGTACATTTGTATGTATATCCATAGACAAAAAAAAAGGAAAAGGACATAAAAAAGGAAAATAAATTTGAATATGGGTATACTCTTGCACTTCAGGTTTCAGCTTCAGAGCGTCAAAAGACAGTATAATAACCTGTTGATTTTCATTTTAAAGCCATCAAAATAATAATGTCATTAAACAAGAAGAAAGAGGCCAGCGTAGGCGGTACTTGAAAAACCTACTCCAACCGAACTCAGACATATCCTAACCGCATTGAAAATATTCTCTCGTCATTTCTTGCAGTGTCGCATAATAATCAATACAATCCGCCGGATCTGCCGCCGATGGTGTCCGCCAAGGAGCAAACCCTCATGTGGCAGCAGAACTCCTATCTGGGTGATTCTGGCATCCACTCGGGTGCCGTAACCCAGGTGCCATCATTGTCAGGCAAGGAGGACGAGGAGATGGAGGGAGATCCTCTAATGTTCGACTTGGACACTGGTTTCCCGCAGAACTTTACACAGGACCAGGTGGACGACATGAATCAGCAACTAAGCCAGACGCGCTCTCAACGTGTCCGTGCTGCGATGTTCCCCGAAACCCTGGAGGAGGGCATTGAGATTCCCTCCACCCAGTTCGATCCCCAGCAGCCGACGGCGGTACAACGACTTTCGGAACCATCGCAGATGTTAAAGCACGCGGTGGTCAATCTGATCAACTACCAGGACGATGCCGAGCTGGCCACCAGGGCCATACCAGAGTTAATTAAACTTTTGAATGATGAGGATCAAGTGGTCGTTTCCCAGGCCGCCATGATGGTCCACCAGCTGTCCAAGAAGGAGGCTTCGCGGCACGCCATCATGAACAGCCCCCAGATGGTGGCCGCTTTGGTGCGTGCCATTTCCAATAGCAATGATCTGGAAAGCACGAAGGCAGCAGTAGGAACACTGCATAACTTGTCACACCATCGCCAGGGTCTATTGGCCATATTCAAGAGCGGTGGTATCCCGGCACTTGTCAAGTTGCTCTCTTCGCCAGTGGAAAGTGTGCTTTTCTATGCAATTACCACGCTGCATAACCTGCTGCTCCACCAGGACGGTTCCAAGATGGCCGTGCGTTTAGCCGGTGGCCTCCAGAAAATGGTTACACTGCTGCAGAGGAACAACGTAAAGTTCCTGGCCATCGTCACCGATTGTTTGCAGATTCTGGCCTACGGTAACCAGGAAAGCAAGCTTATAATCCTCGCTTCCGGCGGGCCAAACGAATTGGTACGCATCATGCGCTCTTACGACTACGAGAAGCTACTGTGGACCACTTCACGTGTGCTCAAAGTGTTGTCCGTTTGCTCAAGCAACAAGCCGGCCATTGTAGACGCCGGTGGCATGCAAGCACTGGCTATGCACTTAGGTAACATGTCACCGCGTCTGGTGCAAAACTGTTTGTGGACGCTCCGTAACTTGTCAGATGCGGCAACCAAGGTAGAGGGCCTCGAAGCCTTGCTCCAATCGCTGGTCCAGGTATTGGGCTCGACCGATGTCAACGTGGTCACCTGTGCCGCCGGAATCCTTTCGAATCTGACGTGCAACAATCAGCGCAATAAGGCCACCGTTTGCCAAGTAGGCGGTGTGGATGCTCTTGTCCGTACTATTATCAATGCTGGGGATCGCGAGGAGATTACCGAGCCGGCCGTCTGTGCCCTGCGTCATTTGACTTCTCGTCATGTGGACTCAGAGCTGGCCCAGAATGCCGTGCGTCTTAACTACGGGTTGTCGGTAATAGTGAAGCTACTGCATCCACCATCTCGCTGGCCTTTAATCAAGGCCGTTATTGGGCTTATACGCAATTTGGCCCTATGTCCAGCCAACCATGCCCCGTTGCGCGAGCACGGTGCCATCCACCATCTGGTGCGGCTGCTAATGCGTGCCTTCCAGGACACAGAGAGGGTAAGTTAGTTCAGCATAGCAAATGAAAATTGTACTGATTCCTCATAATCTTGTGCCTTTGCAGCAACGCTCCTCTATTGCCACTACGGGTTCGCAGCAACCGTCTGCATACGCAGACGGCGTACGTATGGAAGAGATTGTCGAAGGCACTGTAGGAGCACTACATATCCTGGCCCGTGAATCCCACAATCGGGCGCTCATCCGCCAGCAGTCGGTTATACCGATCTTTGTGCGTTTGCTGTTCAACGAAATCGAGAATATTCAGGTGTGATTGAATATCATGTTTGAAGTGATTCAATTTATTAAATATTTATCGATTCTAGCGTGTGGCAGCTGGCGTTCTTTGTGAATTGGCTGCCGACAAGGAAGGCGCCGAGATTATTGAGCAGGAGGGCGCCACCGGGCCACTGACCGATCTTCTGCATTCACGCAATGAGGGTGTGGCCACGTATGCCGCCGCAGTGCTGTTCCGCATGAGCGAGGACAAGCCCCAGGACTACAAGAAACGGTTGTCCATCGAGCTGACCAACTCGCTGCTGCGCGAGGACAACAACATTTGGGCCAACGCCGATCTGGGCATGGGTCCTGATCTACAGGTGCGTGCCAAGTAGGCTAAGAAATTGCGTGATCTCTGATTTTCCGGCTTTTAAACGCCCCTCTTGTGTTTTAAAGATTCTTATTTGAAATCCAGCGTAAAAAGCAAATTCTGTACATAAAATTGTAAATTTGTAGAAAACTAACTCTAGTCAAGCATTATATATTGGTATTCATATTAAGTATCGACTTATATATCGCTTGCTTACGATTTCGATAACCTATTTTTGAATTTAAATATTATTTTAATTTTTACGTTCAGTTATTTGCTTTCTTGTAAACCACGAATCGATAAAGCGTAAATGTTAGTCGATAAGTAGGTAGATGTAGATAAACGTCGATTATGAAAACGGATTCCGATAAGTTATTATCGTATTATATTCCCACCCACAACCACACCCCCTACCCGAACCCTTTTCCTCTTATCCTCTGGAAACAAACCCACAAGAAACATACATGAATTTAACTTTGTATAATTCGCTAAGACATTTTAAAATTTGTTTATGTTTAATTATGATTTTGTAATTAATTCACGTTTTTATTTACTTTTTGTTCTTTTCTTTTTTTCTTTTTCCTTTATGTTTACTTTGTGTGTGTAAAACCAAAACAAAAAAATCACTTAAAACACCACTGCAACGGTAAATGAACCGCAACAACCAATGACGGATAATCACTGCACCAAAATCTCACCAACAACTACAATCGAACAACGCGACTCTGTCTCACTATTGCTGCCCGCTCCCACTACCACCCATTCTCTCCCTGTCGTTCACATTCACTTGCAAACTGGCGTTTGCGCGTGTCTTCTTCTTTCCTAACAACTTTTCACTTCTAATCCATCCCAACAACAAATAATTGAATACGAAACTGTAAAAAAAAACATCCAATACACAATCACACACGTACGACCACGCACATACTACGCACACCGACCGATAAACAAACACGAAATCGATCGATCACACAGGATATGCTTGGACCCGAAGAAGCATATGAAGGCCTGTACGGACAAGGTCCGCCCAGCGTGCACAGTTCGCACGGAGGTCGCGCATTCCATCAGCAAGGTATGTATGTCATATGCATAAGAAGAGACCCCGACCCTCGAACCCCGCCCCAAGAAGAAGAATCCCCGCATAACCCCACTAAAAATAAACTGACGGGAAAGTTTACAGGTTAAGGCAATTCGATAACTCCTTGGGCCCCGCCCCTTCACCCCGCATACATTTAATCGTTATCATGTCTGTTGTTCATTTAAAAAGCACCTATTAATAAAAGCTAAAAAGTTCAGCTCACTTAAATTACTTCAGTGTGAGCCAACCCCTTTTTTACCGTGCTCCCCTGCTCGATCTCTTAATATACCTCTGTCTCCTTGCTCGTTATCCCCCAGTTTCGTTGCCCCTTAAGTTCAATGGCTGCATGCAAAGGAAATAAATACATGACTTAAGTTTGCGTGCGTGTTGTTTGGTTAATTAACCATATCCGGTCCCTTATCCACTTGCAATTCTCAATGGCATTCATCTGTCGAGAAATCAAAATGCTACTTAGGGCAAAGCTATAAAAATAATATCTTTGTGCCTTAAGAGGACTATTTTTCATCTGTCCTAACATGGATAAATCATGTGTCCCTGACAGCCTTAAAAGGATTAACTGTACTCTCTACACGTAGCCTAAAATTCTATGCACTACACACACAAACAAATAATACTCACGAATAACACAGTGCAATTCTAAGCAAAAAGGATACAATGACAGTGGGCTCATTGACTTGGAGAGAGATATATATATATATATATCATCGTTTGGATCGGGAGTGATGGAAAACACTAACGATTCGTCTATTATTTCGCATTTTTCCTTTTGTATACATCTCTTGTGTTTGATTTTATTAGAATGCATATCCATCAACGGATGAAGAGGAGTAATAACTTTTAGTTTGGTTCGGTTCGTTTTGCATGTCACGTAGCCTGCAATAATCGTATAGAACTAGTCACCTATAATTCATATAATTAAACAGTGTATATATCTAGATTGTAAGACGTGTATGCATGCAGATTTAAGAAGGCAAATTCCAATCGGATTTATCTGATCGTTGTCGTGCCGTATTTTAATTTAAGGCTTTTGAAGCGGAATTCAATGATCGATTTATGTTGTTTGATAGTTGTTTAGGTTAATGTGAACAGGCAAGGCGGCCATGTATAAGTGGAATCTGTGTCCTTCCAAGTATGACAAGTCACAAAGTTTAGGGCCTCCTTTCACGAATAATTGTTTTCGTGCTAACGTTAATATGGCCATACAATAAAGTTAAATTAAGTCAATGTATCAAATATATGCCGCCCGATTACAGCGAAAGACGATGAATCCACTTCTGCAGGACTCCATGATGACAAATCTTCTGTTATAAACTGAAGACTGGCTACCACTTAGAATAATGTGCACTAATCACAATATTCCTTTTTTTGTTTTTCCCAATCTCTTTTGTCCACAGGATATGATACTCTACCAATAGATTCGATGCAAGGTCTGGAGATCAGCAGCCCGGTTGGCGGCGGCGGTGCTGCCGGCAATGGTGGAGCGGTTGGCGGAGCTGGCGGCGGCGCTGGTAACATTGGCGCTATTCCGCCTAGCGGTGCACCCACATCGCCCTATTCCATGGACATGGACGTCGGCGAAATTGATGCCGGTGCATTGAACTTTGATTTAGACGCCATGCCGACGCCACCCAATGACAACAACAATCTGGCTGCCTGGTACGACACCGACTGTTAGATGAGCAGAGATAAGGGTAAGGGTCGAGAATCCATTCGACCCCAAAAATTAAAAAAACACAAAACACAAATCCCCGTCCCAGCAATATAGCCCTCTTCCACCGGCTAAGCCCCATGAAGTTGGAAATGGAGCGATCACCGACATTTGACTAGATCAATGAAAACTGTTGATTTTACTTGACAAAGACGAGGAGGATGCTGCAGCAGGACAAAGACGAAGCGATGCTGAGGCCCGTGGAAGAAGGCTATTGTTCACACACCCCTCGGCAAAACATACACACACGCATACATGCATAATATTATATATTAATTATAATGCGATCGCAACGGCAAAAAATCATATTATATGATGCATTACATATTATCCACATAAACGAAATGGAAAATTAAACAAATGTTTGCAATAGAACTCGTACATTTCCCTTTAAATGGTGTTTTTGTTATTTGTTGAAAAGCTGGGAATCTTGGGGCACAAACAAAACAAGTAATGCTACAATCGACTGCCACACGACTATCTGGCTCGTGTTCAATAGCTCCTTTAACCTGTTAGATTCGATTCTAAGAAAAAAAAATGTACGTAAAAAGTACTTTTAGTCGAGTTTGAAAAGTCTCAACTGATAGTCCCATTTCAATTAAAGATTTAAAATGTAAAATGGATTTGAAACAAATTAACAAGAATTGCTATATTTTTAGGAGAACAACTTAAGTCTACAGGTGTTTGCCGAACCATTTATGATCCACAGGCGAAAGCCACCGATGGCAGCCGTTGAGGTTATTTTGGATTACATACTTCATGGTGAAGGGATTCTGGTTCAGGCGGGCGTGCTCTTCCTCGGCGGCGCTCTGCTCATCAAGCATCTCCTGGGAAACGACTGTGGCCTGGAACGGTAGCTGGTTTGCCACCTGCTGCAGAAACTGCTTTACCTCGACGAACTCGCACTTGCCGGCGATCTCAACAATGACACGACCGGCCTTAATGGGGGTAACATAGTGGTCAATGGCCCCCTTGCCACCGCCCATTCGCTGGCCCTGACCCTTCTTCGTAATCGGCTGCCAGGGAGCTGGGACACGCCACGTTGCAAACATGGTGTTAGTGTTCATCTTGCGACCGATAGTCAGTCGCATCATCTCGTAGTGCCCCCATCGTAGGCGTCCACCCCCGGTGGCTACAATTGCGTACTGTTTGTGGAGCAAGGTGTTGTGAACCATCTCCGGACCGCGCATGTAGCGTAGACGTTTCTGCATCTTAGGCGGACGGATGTTCGGCGGAAGTTGTGGCTGGCGTTCCATGATTCTCAGCTTGGGTCTCTCCGGCTGCTCCACATCTGTGGGTTCCCGTTTGCATTACATTATCATCCGTTATTTACCAAGCGCCTTTTTCAGCTACTTACTCTGATATTTGATGGGCGGGGCGAAATATTTAAGGCCGGCTGTGTTCACAATTGCTATGTTGCCCGCTGTAAGTTAAGGGAGGTGGAATGGAATATCAGGTGTGCGGTAACTGAGGTTATCAAATAATATACCTGTAAGGGTTTGCTTGAAAAGCTGCGAGACTGTCTTTAGAGTCAGCATGGCAGGGTTTCAACGATTTTTTATATTTATTTTATAATTTCCTTAAAATGTGTTGCATCAACGGACAGAGTTGCCTACTCCAGTTTTGATAGCCAGGTTATTACTAGTAATACTACTTATCGATATTTAATGATTTCGACTCAAAAGGTGAGCGAAATTTATATTATTATAAACCGTTAAAGTAATAGGTAATTAACATTTAATCGAGTTTGGAATTTTTGCTCAACACTAAAAAACTCAAGTTGTATTTTATCTACCACTCGGCCATTCGCATCCTCTTGCAGAACAAGCTGTTCTGAAGAATATAAACCCTTATAAATCAATTGTATAATCGGTACAATAAATTTAATAAAAATAATAAACAAACAAATTGTCAAAAACAATTCTTAATTTTTTCATCTATTGTTCGACGACTTAGCCATTTACCTCCACTTGCAAAACAAGCTGTACTAAAGTATATGAACGTAAACCTGTTGTATAGTCTGTTAATTAAAGTTTTATATAAATAATCAACCGAACAAATTACCAAAAAGAATTCTCAATCGCCAAAAACAAGATGTTAGAAGACGAGAGCTTTTTATTTTGCGCAGTGTATTCACTGATTCTGAGCTGTTGCGTTACAATCGTCATCGATAGGAACCTGATGGCAGTAGGCACAGCTCATAACGGTGAGAACATTGCCAGATTTTTGAAAACACCGATAGTATCGAAAAAATATCGGCTGTTGTTCCAGCTCTACTGCATACACGAAAATAAATTTTTTTTGACAAAATCGTGCATGTTTTCGCTCGCTAAAAAAAAAAGCAGGCCGCGCGAGCCCTAGCTAGCTAGACCGCCGCCCTTCCCGTCCCAAGAAACGCCCAGCAGCGCATCGCATCCCGCGTCTAGCGTTTCCACTTGTGTGTTTGTTATGAATATACCGAAGGTGACAACATCGCTTGGTGCCGCCGAAAAGGCGAAACCCGAACGTGTAGCATCCGTGGCTGTCGCCACCGCTGCTGCCTTCAATGCGGTCAGTTTGCAGAAGCGCAGTGGAGCCGACGACCCAACCACTCCGGCAGAGGATTCCACTCGCAAGAAGGCCAAAACGGAGTTGCTTCTCGGAACGCCAGCGCCCAGTTTGCCCGCCAAAGCGTCGGCCACACCGCCGCAGCAGCTCCTCTACCAGCGGGCTGGACAGCAGGTTAAGGCGCAGGTGAAAGGTGCGCCGGATCCGCAGGATTCCCAGTCGGAGGATGTCGCCTGGGACGCCCGCGACCAACAGATAATAGTTTGCAACTTCGGTTCCGGCACTGACTTGGGTGCTATCAAAACGGAAGACGCAGACAAGCAAAGTGAGTACATAGTCAGCCCTCCAAGGAGCAGTCCGCTTAATCCGCTTCCACCCCGAAAAATAGCTTTTGCCAGCTTTACCAAAAAGGAAGGTGCTTCCTCGTCGGCGTCGTCCTCCTCCTCCACAGCGTCTATCATCTCCATTGAGCCCAGCGGCTCTGGGCAGGATCTAGCAGACAATCCCGGCAAGGCGGAGGACCTCGACTACGTCCTAATGCCAGTCACAGGCGCGGATAACAGTGTGAATGTGGGAAACGCCACAGGAACGGGCACCCCAACGGGAACGCCAATTGGAGCCACCTCCACCATCATTTTAAATGCAAATAATGGGGCCACAGGTGCCAGTGGAGCCGGCACCACTACCATCCTTACTCAAAAGCCAGTTCATACCAACTACAATATCTTCAATACCACAGCAACGGGCAGCCAAACGCCCACCACCACGCTGTTGAACAGGGTGAATCTTCACACTAAGATGAAGACCACTCAGTTGGTGGTCAACGCCAAGAAGCTGTCGGAGGTCACACAGACCACAGCCAAGGTGTCCATTGGCAACCAAACGATTTCAGTGCCGTTATTGAAACCGCTATCGTGCGCAAGTGGAGCAGCCACTGCAGGAAGAGCCACGATCGTTGAGAGCAAGCAGCTGTTGCAGCCGGGTGGTCAGGTGACCACCGTGATGAGTGCCACCCAACCGGGTGGAGGCCAGCAGCTGCATCCGCATGTCCATCCACACGGCCATCCGCATGCACACCACAACTTTACAAAACTCATTAAGCGGGTGCCAAAAAATCCCGCCACTATTGTTTCGTTTTCGGGCTTACAAATCAAGCCGGCGACCACCAAGATCGTGGCAACCAAAGTGGTAAGCAAGAAGATGTCTCTGCAGCTACAGCAACACCAACAGCAACTCCAGCAGCAACAGCAGCTTCAGCAGCTGCAAGTGACTAGCGGTGGGAGCTTGGCCCCACCAACTGGCAGCATAGTGACCATCACTACCACCAATCCCAGCCAGACGTATGCAATGGTTCAGGATGCCACGACTGTGGGAGCAGCATCTCATTCAGAAGAAGATGCGCCGACGCCTCGAAAGATTACTGCCTACTCTGAAAATCTGCAGAAGATCCTTAACAAAAGCAAGTCTCAGGAAGCGAGCGGTGGCCCGGAGGAGTTTGCCAACATCAACAGCGTTGTGATCAAGCCGTTAGATAAGAACACAATTAACTGCCCGCCCAGTTTCAATATCTTTAAGCAGCAGCAGCACTCACAGGCTGCACAAACCCAAACGATCTCTGCTGTAGGCAGTGGATCAGGTACGCCCGTGACGTTTACAATGACGCCAGCTTCGGGCAGTTCCTCAGATCTTGCGACCACATCCACCGTCTCGGTGTCCGCTGGCGCCATATGCATTAATAGTCCAATGATGGGATCCCGGCCTATAATTTCCATTCAAAACAAGAACATATCCCTGGTGCTGTCCAAAACGACGATGGCCCAGCAAAAACCGAAAATGATCACCACCACGACGTTGGCCAGCCAGTCAGCGCTACAAATGCATCATGCGCTTGTTCAGGACTCAAGTACGGACAAGGCTGGATCTTCTGCAGTCCCTGCATCGGCTACATCTGGAACAGCCGTTGCTCCGTCAATGCAACTTAAGCTGACAACTGCTAACACGCCCACTAAACTCAACGTTAGTTTAGCCCCAGATGTAGCCAAGCTGGAGGAGATTGTCAGTGAAACAAAACCGAAGTTATTGGTTAAACAAGAGGTGGTTGTGAAAGATACACCTGGAGCTTCGTCTGTCGAACAGGAGCGTAGTGAGGAGGTTAGCACGCCGGAGAAACGTTTGAACGCGAACACTACAATGACGCCTATTAGCCAGGTGCAGAATCAGTCTGCAAATCAGATTCAGATTCAGACTCCTACCTCAACAGCTTCGAATCCGAGTACGCCAAATCCTCCTGCAAGTACCGCATCCACCCCGATTAACAATCAACGTTCGGGAACAGAGGATTCAAATAATGCACTGCTAAAACAATTGCTCCAGACCAGCAGCAGCAGTCACAGTCTCAACCAAATCAGCATCACCTCGACCCACGTAGGATCCGCTTCTACGACGGCTCCTCTTTCCGCCCGTAAGGTAATTAATGTACGGGCCCCCAGCATGGGCATGGTCAGCAGTTTGGAAGCACAACTGGCGCGTCCGGTGATTCCGCCGGTCCCCGCAGCTACGCAAGCGGCAGGCAGTAGTAGCAGTAACGGATCCGTAGCTACGTCTACCACGACCACAACGATAGCTAGTGGGGGAAGCAGTCAACATGTAGCAACCGCCTCAGCGACCGGAACTCCAGTTACGGCAGTCGTAATTTCCACACCTGGGGTGGGAGGAGAACCAAAGCTGGAGCCCAAAACCGAGCAGCCTGTTGTAGTTGCAACTATTCAAAATCAGAACCAAAATACGGCGACACCAACACCACCGCCTCCACAGCAGCAGCAGCAGCAACAACCTCAGCAATCACAGCAATTGCAATCGGCACCCCACCAAGTCAAGCAGACCGTGCAAATTGTCTCGAAGGAAACATCGTTTATCTCAGGACCTGTTGCAACCAATAAATTAGTGACTGAAACCATTTCGAAGCCGGGAGAACTGTTACCTCCTCCGCCCTACGAATTAGCCATATCGAATGTAACCATATCCATATCCACCAAACAAGCTGTGTCCAAGGAGCTGCAGATGAAGCCTAAGGCGGTAGCAATGTCGCTTCCCATGGAGCAGGGCGAAGAATCGATGCCTGAGCAAGCGGAACCGCCGCCTCATCCTGAGCAAGGTGCCACTGTACCAGGAGCAGTACCTCACAGTGGAGGAGCAATTAGCGCTACGCAATGGAGCAGTAGTAATCATATAGATGGAGTTGTGGGAGTCTCAAAAATACCATTCAAGCCTGGCGAGGCACAGAAACGTAAGTTGCCTATGCATCCACAGCTAGACGAAAAGCAGCTGCAGCAACAGGTGGAGACTCCTACCAGTGCCTCTCTACCAGCAACTCCAACCGGACAAACAGGTCCGGATAAAGTACAGCTTATCTCTGGCATTGCCAGTTATGTAAAGAAATCTGGAGGACCTGGCGAGGCACAATCCGTTCAAACCCAGAGCCAGGGGCAGGTACAGATGCAGGCGCAAATGCAGGCGGCCATGCAGGGCCAACTAGCTGGGCAGATTCCCGGACAAATCCCTGGACACGTCTCTGGCCAAATACCCGCACAAATGCATCTTCAAGTACAACACCAGCTCCATGTGGCAGTGCAGCCCCCGCAACAGCAACACCAACCACAGCCTACTACGATTCAGACTCCAATTCCCGGACAAAGTGCTGTATCCATACCCGGACCCATCATGGAACCCAAGGCAGCTGACCAAAGAAAGCGCCGCAAACGGGAGGTTCAGAAACCAAGACGCACGAATCTGAACGCCGGACAGACAGCTGGAACTCTCAAGGATCTAACAGGTACGTTACCAGCTGGTGCAATGGTTCAGTTGGCAGGTATGCCGCCGGGAACTCAATATATCCAGGGCGCGGCATCAGGTCCTGGCCATGCGATTACCAGTACCGGTCAAGGAGGAACTAGCCTTGGAGGAGTAGGATCTGGTACCGGAGCAGGTTCCACTCCCATGATCAAGAAGCGAGTGCGCAAGTTTTCCAAGGTAGAGGAGGATCACGATGCATTTACCGAAAAGCTGCTAACGCATATCCGCCAAATGCAGCCGCTCCAAGTTCTGGAGCCGCACCTGAATCGAAACTTTCATTTTCTCATTGGAAGCAACGAGGCGTCGGGAGGTAGTTCGCCCTCTATGAGTTCTGCGGCCTCAGCCAGTGGATCATCTTCTGTTGGAGGTGGAAAGGTCAAGGGAGGATCTCTTGGATCCCGCGGTTGGCCACTCAGCAGGCATTTGGAAGGCCTAGAGGACTGTGATGGCGCCATCCTCGGCCGCTTTGGTCGAGTGCGTTTACCAGGGATTCCCTCATTATACGACAGCGAACGCTTTGGTGGAAGTTCAGGTCTAGTAGGAGGATCTGCTGCTACCCGTCCACCCTCCCCATCCACATCTCCAGAAGCTGAGAAGATGCTACCGATGTCTAGCATCCAAAACGATTTTTATGACCAGGAGTTCTCCACACATATGGAGCGTAATCCCCGAGAACGCCTCGTACGACACATTGGCGCCGTTAAGGATTGCAACCTTGAGACTATAGACCTTGTGGAAAGCGATGGAGTGGCTGCTTGGGCGCCTATACCGCGACTTACCCGCTACCCAGGCCTAATATTGCTCAACGGGAACAGCCGGTGCCATGGACGTATGTCGCCGGTGGCCCTGCCGGAGGATCCGCTGACCATGCGGGTGCCTGTGTCGCCACTGCTTCGGTCCTGCGGCGAGGAGCTACGCAAGACACAGCAGCTGGAACTTGGTATGGGATCCCTCGGCAATAATAACAACAATAACTACCAGCAGAAGAACCAGAATGTGATACTCGCTTTGCCCGCCTCGGCCTCGGAGAATATTGCCGGCGTGTTGCGGGATCTGGCTAACCTACTGCACTTGGCTCCTTCCCTCACCTGCAAGATCATCGAGGACAAAATGGGCGACAAGTTGGAAGAGCAGTTAATGGATCACGACGATGAAAAGCACCGGGATGACTTCAAGCGACCGTTGACCGTGAGTCACGGTCATCTAAGAAAGATCCTCAATGGGCGCCGAAAATTGTGTCGCAGCTGCGGAAATGTGGTCCATGCCACAGGTCTGCGAATTCCCCGACACAGTGTTCCTGCATTGGAAGAACAACTTCCCAGGCTGGCCCAATTAATGGCTATGTTACCCAGGAAATCAGTTCCTCCACCGTTTGTATACTTCTGCGATCGCGCCTGCTTTGCGAGATTTAAGTGGACCGGAAAGGAGGGCCAGGCGGAGGCGGCCAGTTTGCTCCTACAGCCAGCTGGGGGCTCCACATCTACTTCATCCACCGGCGACTCGCCCAGTAGTGCCTGCACCACCAGTTCAGCTCTCACTGAAACGGTGGTCAAACAAGAACCAGAGGATGAATCAGACCAAACGCAGGGTGTACATGGCTCATCCACCAATCTCCCCGTACAGCGCAAGTGCATCGTGAAGTGCTTCAGTGCGGATTGCTTCGGAACGGACTCGACGGCCATCAAACTGGAGTTCGACGGATCAGCGGGAACGGGAACTGGAACGGAACCAGCCAATAATACAGTTTGGGAAACGGAGGCTAGTGGACTCCAGCTGGAGGACACCCGGCAGTGTGTGTTCTGCAATCAGCGGGGCGATGGCCAAGCGGATGGACCCTCGCGACTGCTCAATTTTGATGTGGATAAATGGGTGAGTGCGGACTTAATCAAAAATGCTTGGATCACATTTTAACTGACCTTTTGAGTGCAGGTCCACCTCAACTGTGCCTTGTGGTCCAATGGTGTCTACGAGACAGTGTCTGGGGCGTTGATGAACTTTCAGACGGCTTTACAAGCGGGATTGAATCAGGCTTGTAGCGCCTGCCATCAACTGGGCGCCACCATCAAGTGCTTTAAATCGCGCTGCAACAGCTTGTACCACCTGCCGTGCGCGATTCGCGAGGATTGCGTCTTCTACAAAAACAAGTCGGTCCATTGCAGCGCCCATGGTCACACCCATGCCGGTATTACCATGGGAGCAGGGACAGGCTCTGCAGCTGGCGGAGGACTGGCAGGATCTGCGTCAGAAAATGAACTAGGCTCGCTAGTTGTTCATCGAAGAGTTTTTGTCGATCGGGACGAGAACCGTCAAGTGGCCACAGTTATGCACTACTCAGAACTGAGTAATCTGCTCCGCGTGGGCAACATGACGTTCCTGAACGTGGGTCAGCTATTGCCCCACCAGCTCGAGGCTTTCCACACGCCCCATTACATCTACCCTATTGGCTATAAGGTGGTAAGTAGGAGTCTAAACAAGTTGACCAAGAACCGTTTAGTGACTAAGCGAATTCTCCAATCTCTTTCCTTCGGCAGAGCCGCTACTACTGGTGCGTCCGCCGGCCAAATCGTAGATGCCGATACATTTGCAGCATCGCGGAAGCCGGCTGCAAGCCCGAATTCCGCATCCTGGTGCAGGACGCCGGCGACAAGGAGCCAGAGCGCGAATATCGCGACAGTTCACCCTCAGCGGTGTGGCAGCAGATTCTGCAGCCGATCACGAGGCTACGTAAGGTGCACAAGTGGTTACAGCTGTTCCCGCAGCACATTAGCGGAGAGGATCTGTTTGGCCTAACAGAACCGGCCATCGTTCGCATTTTGGAAAGCCTTCCAGGAATAGAGACACTTACCGACTACCGTTTTAAGTACGGCCGCAACCCGCTGCTGGAGTTCCCGCTGGCCATTAATCCGTCCGGAGCGGCACGCACAGAACCCAAGCAAAGACAGCTGCTCGTCTGGCGGAAGCCACACACCCAACGCACAGCCGGCAGCTGCAGCACCCAGCGGATGGCCAACTCGGCGGCCATTGCCGGAGAGGTGGCTTGCCCTTATAGCAAGCAGTTCGTCCACTCGAAGAGTTCCCAGTACAAAAAGATGAAGCAAGAGTGGCGCAACAACGTCTACTTGGCCAGGTCAGCTATAAAGATATTTACAATACCCACTGATTTTGAAATATCTCATTATTTAGATCAAAGATCCAGGGTCTAGGCTTGTATGCTGCTCGGGACATTGAGAAGCACACCATGATCATCGAATACATAGGCGAGGTTATCCGGACCGAAGTATCCGAGATTCGTGAGAAGCAGTACGAGTCTAAGGTGGGTTTAATTACCATATATTCTGTAACTTCAACTGATCCCTAAACTTACAGAACCGCGGAATCTACATGTTCCGGCTGGATGAGGATCGTGTGGTGGATGCCACTTTGAGCGGCGGATTGGCGCGCTACATCAACCACTCGTGCAATCCCAATTGTGTGACGGAGATCGTAGAGGTCGATCGCGACGTGCGGATCATTATATTCGCCAAGCGAAAGATCTATCGCGGCGAGGAGGTGAGTTTAGGGAAAGAAATAATGCAATTAGATCTTTTAATATTATATCGTATATCTTAGCTCTCGTACGACTATAAGTTCGACATCGAAGACGAGTCGCACAAAATACCGTGTGCCTGTGGTGCGCCTAACTGCCGTAAGTGGATGAACTAGAGTCGGGAGGAACCTCTACCGGAGGACCTAAGGAAGCGCAAGAAGCGGCGGCGTGCGCGTCGCGCCCAGTGACCATGAAAAGGAATTGTTATATCTGATCAAATAGATATATTCGCTAAGCAGTATAGACCGTGTACATATATACAATTATATATATATATGCTAAATGCAGATATGCTCGTGGAGAGCATAGATCCTTGTAAGTTATGTATATGTACCCACTGTAGCTAATTCGTATCCTATATATCGCTCGTAAGTGGAAAAGTGGAGGGAGTGCAGAGTGTTTTCATAGTTTAAATTGAATTATTGCTATCGTTTCTATATAGAGAGAATATAAATGTTAATGCTAGGACATGACCACCCCCTGTAATGTATTTCTGACACCCTCCCCTCACAAAACCACAGCCGCAGGAGCATCTTATTTTTTTGTTTTAGCACCATCTCCACATCCATCACTATCACTATTATACCATTGCAATAATTGTGAGGAAACTTATCGCCCCCAATGGCCAACCCAAAAACTTGACTTTATGCGTGTGTGCCTTTCCCCCTGTTTACCATTATTATTATTAATATAATAATTAAAGTGGTTTCTATATTCGCATATTTGGGGAGCAATGCTTGTTTCCCCGCATGTAACGTGTACAACCTTCTTTGAATATATACACTGATAAGAGTATAAATACCTATTTTTATTTTATTTTATTTAAATAGTTTTGCAATTACTTTTAAGTATATTAACTCCAAGCAACGTGTAATTTTCATCCCCTTTAATAGTTAAGTAAATTTTATGCCACCATTTTATACACACGATGTTTTACTTCAACTTATAGAAACAAAAAAAAACAAGAACAAGGACTATAAATTTTGCAACTAAGTTCTCCGTTTGGACAACGCTAGAAGTTTTTGAAGCTGAACTGCAGCGGCCAGAGTGAGGATATCGAAGTTCTTCAGGTACCAGGAGATATTGTACATCATGTGAATGCGCCAATTCTTGTCGAGGAATGCCTTGTAGAAGTGGCTCATTTGATCCGCCGACACTTCACTAGTACCGCTCTCTGTATGCAGGCGGATAAAGTCCTCCTTCTCCTGTAAACCGAAAACGAAGGAGACGGCATTAGAGCATCAGAAAGAGATGGCAGATGAGGTCTTCGTTCGTACCTCATAAAAGCGTTTGTTGTGCCTCGTCCAGAAATCTGTGTTCCAAGCCTCCACCTCGATTCGTTTCAATCGCAGACTCCTTGCTAGTCTCGTTTCATTGTCGTCATAGTGGCGCACATACGGTCGTAGATTAGACTGCGCATCTGGCGGTCCTATATAATCACACTTCACCAATTTCGGATCAGGTTTCTGGGCCAAACCAACACCGGGCTTTTTTTGTGGCGGTGGCGATTCCGATTGAACTGCTGCATAGCATCGCGATATCTGGATTTATTCAAAATTCAAATGAAATTCCATCAGGGGAACGAAACTATATACTCACGCTGAGCTGGGACTGAAATATTCGGGGCTGGTATCTAAAACATTTATTCATCTTTCGATTATTGTTATGTTATGTCAGGTCACCAGTGTGACCGGTTGGAACGCTGAAATACATTCTAAATATAAACGGTAGAAATATTATGGGCATTCCTCCCTCCCATATGCCAAGCAAAACTCAAACTTCGTTGGCTTATCTGAATTTGTTTATTTTACCAGGCGACCAGAAACCGTAGGAGGTGCCAGCTGATTGAATTGAAAAAACTTTGTTTTTCAAAATGGCTGCCCTTCCATGTTTCCCCAGTCACATTCGACCAATAGAAAAGCAGATAAGTAAAAACAACCGTTCGATTTCAGCTAAGGCTAGGGAAGGGATGAACAAACATGTTGTTTCTCTGTCCGTGTCACGAAATAGGCCCGCAATTTTCCAAAACTCACGAAAGTCCCTTGTGTTTCTGCGGAGCGTGAGAATATAGGACGGCCCGATGTCACCTCTAGAATAAATGACGAAACTGAAATTGATACACCTTCTGCAGATTTATGTTCGCCTGGTATTTTTATGTACAAAATCATCCAATTTCCTCGGCACAATCCGTCATCTCGAAGCATTTTCTTTGGCAAATTGTTCTGTTTATGTACCAGGCGAACAGAAATGCAAGAAAGAGGACGACAACATTTTTAAGCTGCATATTCGCTTTCTTGAGGTTTATGTTCGCCTGGTATAATATTTATGAGATCATCCAATTTAATGCCGAAATCGGGCAAACTCGGAGCTATTTTTCAGCCAAAATGTTCGTTTCATGTACCAGGCGAACAGAAATGCAAGAAAGAGGACAGCTGGTAGTTCTGTGAAAAATGTTATAACTGTTCTTTACAGAGTTGCATTTGCACAGATCAGCTCCCATTGGTCGGTTGAATAGGAAGCCATCTTTTTCAAAAAGATCCGTTAAATAAAACCTGTCTAGGGATGGGCAAGCAGTTTGTTTCTGCGTTCGTGTCACGAAATTAGCACGCAATTTACCAAAACTCACGAAAGTCCCTTGTTAATCCTTTGAGCGTGAGAATATAACCGTCCCGATGTCACCACTAGAATAAATGACGAAACACCTTCTGCAGATTTATGTTCGCCTGGTATTTTATATACAAAATCATCCCATTTACTCGACGTAAGTCCGTCATATCGAAGCATTTCTTAGGCAAATTATTCGTTTCATGTACCAGGCGAACAGAAAGTCAAAGAAGATGACAGCTGGTAGCTGTGTGAAAAATGGTATAACTGTTCTTTACAGAATTCCATTTGCACAGATTAGCTCCCATTGGTCGGTTGAATAGGAAGCCATCTTTTTCAAAAAGATCCGTTAAATAAAAGCTGGCTAGAGATGGGCCAGCAGTTTGTTTCTGCGTTCGGACCACGAAATTTTCCAAAACTCACGAAAGTCCCTTGTATATTCCTTGAACATGATAATAATACAGGACGCGGTGTCATATCTAGGATATTATAAGAAATAAATTTTAGCGCTTCCTTTAGGTTTATGCTCGCCTGGTATTTCATATAAGAAAGGTCCCAAATTGGCGGTCACTGGGAAGAAAAAAAAACATTTTAAAGTAAATAAAAATCAGTGATGAGGTAAATGAGGTTTGTTTATTTATTTCATGTAAGCGAAAACATTGATTTTAGGAGTATCCCTTTTATTTTTCGATTCGATTGAAAATGAATCGTTTCTTGTAATCGACCATCTCTAGCATCTATCCCGTGACAATATTTCCAACTGGAAAAAAATAAATAAATAAGTCCAGACAAAATGTCACCCAAGAACAACCACGACCCCTCGTCGTCCGGTGACTCTGGCAACACCAATGTCCAGGAGGCGGACCTGCAAGGTAAGTTTGGCTTGGTCGTTATTCGGGCAATATTTACACTTATGGCATGACCCCTGCAGAGATGGAGGACGTCAATAACAGCCTGGACGCCCTTAGCTGTGCCTTGGACGCTGTGGAACAACGCACGGACGATATTATGTCTCAGTTACGGGAGCTGTTAAACTCCAACCGTGAAATCCGTCGTCTGCTCGCCGAGGAGAAGGACAACGCTCCGGAATCCGGCGACGACAAGATGGACGGCCAGGCGCCTAGCGAGAATGCATCCAAGTAGATACCACCTATCAGTTATTGTTTTGATTACCCTAATCGTATCTGGGCAAAATTTGTGTTTTGTTTTTTTTTTGCTATTATCATGTACTATTGACTTTAAACTTAAGTAAACATAATTGAAAACAAATCTAAGGTTCTCTAGTTTTGACGAGGCTTTTTGCGCTTAGGCTTCCCCGCAGGTAGGCCCTGCATGTTGGCATCGCTGCCCATGTACTTAAAAATGATATCGAACATCCGCTTGGACTCTTCCTTAAGGCGAGCATTCTCAGCTAGTAGTTTCTGCACATCCACGCCGTTCGTCTTTGAGGTACTCGACTGCTCATCTGCGTCGGATTCCGCTTCATCGGCTATCGACTCCACTCCCGCATCGGATTCTATTTTATCGTCTTCGGATTCCACTTCCTCTTCTGCAGATTCCACTTCCTCTTCTGCAGATTCAACTTCCTCTACAGCGGACTCAGCTTCCTCAACTTCGGCTTCGGATTCCGTTTCATCTTCTTCCTTATTACTTTTCGTATTCATAGATGCCAACTTGATTAGTAAATCCTCATCCGTACCCGGATAACTTTTGGTGAAGTCCAGTTCTGGAGACTTACGTCCTCCGATTTCCTGCTCGACCAAAATCTCTAAGTAATCGTCCTCGTCCCGCGGGGTGATCATCCTCTTTAGACTGTCGGCGAACAGCTGCGGTTGCTTGTGCTCCGGCAAAAAGAGGGACGGACTGAGCAGGCGGATGCGCAGGTTGGTCACCGAGCCGTTCTGGGGCAAGCTTTTTATTAGCTGTTTGCTGTTCACGTCCCAGACACACACCTGGTTATCCTCGCCGCCAGAGATCAGTATAGTGGCACTTAAATTTAAAGCCAAACAGGTTATTGCCTTGCCGGCAGTATGGCCCACAAAGGCCTGGATTTCTTCCTCTTCCACATGATATTCCTATGTAGGCAATAAAGTTAGTATGTATAAGAATAGACAAAACTATAACCTACCTTCATGCGAGGTGGATTAACCATGTTAAAGACAAACACTTTGCCGTCGCTGGAGCCCACATACACCTTAGTCTCCATCTTATTTACGATTACGCTGTGTAGGGCTACTGGGAACACTACGCTCAAAAGCATTATCCCTCCGCTCAGGTCGTACAGCTTGCAGCAGCGATCCAGCGATACCGTATACAGATAGGAGCGGATGCCACCAATGCCAGAATACAGGCCTGTGACTGCCAGACCGTGGTCATTAAAGCTGTATAGTGGTTCAGTACTGTCTTTGCCGCTTCCCGTGTCCAATGGAGCGGCCGAGAAAGTCAGATCCCAGACGAGTACGGCTCCATCTTTACCGCCACTAATGAAGTGCTCGCCGTTGTCCGTAAAACGCAAGCAGGTGATCGCCTGGTAATGCTTGGACAAAGTGTTCAACATGCGACCGGAGTTCATGTGCCACAGGTAGATGTTTTCCTGGATGCCGGCCACCAAGAAGCTCCCGTCAGGCGTTAAGGCCAGCGCGTTAACTTTGCCGGGCACCACGAATCGTATTCCAGTCATCTGCTCCTGCTTGTTAATAGGCCAAACGTGCAGAAGTGGCTTCGCGGAGTTAGCCGAGAAAAGGTAATTAAGGTGAATCATCTCTAAGCCATTGTGTTGGGCGCACCCGCCTCCTTTGTAGCGCATCAAGTCGGTCCCCGTCCGAAGATCCTGCACGCTACACGTTGTGTTGTCCTCGGTCGACGTGCTTATAAACAAGGCCTCCACGGCGTCTCCCATTTTCTGTTGAAATATTAGGTGCTATTATAAGAAACTATATCTGAATTATTTATAATGTTTTGTTTATAAATTAAACCGGAAATAAAGAGTTCATTTTCTTATTAGTATCAGAAAGCGTGATTTAGTTGGATAATCGAAAAGTTTTTAAAATAATCGTTCATCGAATTGACGTTTTTATGTTAGAACCCTTGGTCACACTTAATTTTGTTACAGGTTTTTTAACGAACCAAAATATTAAATAAAAAGTCAAAAGAGTTTTTGTGTTGATTCGCTAAAAAAAAAAGCATACAAAATGCACTTGACGCTAATCAACATGTTTAAGAAGACCGTGCCGGGTCACATATTTCGGGGCAAGCGGCGCCTAGTAAAGCCGGTGAGCCAACGCGCAATGGACACCCTGACCCGCGAGTACGAGCGCCAGGAGCAAGTGATGCTGCTCCTCCGACACCCTTATCTTACCCTGGTAAGTCTTCCTGAGATATTCTTGAATATATGCCGGACTGACAACACACTCTCCCATTTAGGAACAATCATCTGGACACGCCAAGGAGTTGCAAAAGCGCGAGAAGCTGGTGGCCAAGTGGACTGATGAGCAGACGCTCAGGAAGATGAAGCCGCACGTGACCATTGAGGAGCGACTGAATCAGTTGAAGATCAAGGAGGCCTGGGACTAGTTACTAGCCCACTCCATCTATTAAAGCTGCGTTACTTTTACAATAAATATATGTAGATTTTATGGAAATTATGCAACACTTGCTGGAGGCTCCTCCTCGCATCTTCTGACGGCTGTTGTAGAGCAAAGAAAATTGCGGATCCCAGAATCTACTGACACAAATGAGTTCAGAAGTCATTCCAATCGATATCCTTACACTTCTGGAACGCACTGTACTTGGCAGAATTTACACTTGTTTGATTGTTAGTTTCGTGGTTGGCTCTCGCATCGCTTTTATTTGTTTAATTGCGTTTCTAAGTGTATATATATCAATATCTCGTGTATATCATGTATATGAACTGTTATGTACATATGCAAGGCATGTAACTTGTTTCATGGCTTCCATTTCCGATTTTTCTAATTTATCGTCAAAATCAGAACCTTCCCAGCATCGATTTGATTCGTTAATATGCTATAGACTAAAACTTTATTATTAATGGGTGTTTTGTCTTGTTGCTGTTATCTGTATTGGAGTAGGTTTAGTTTAATGCACAATTTGATTTCAATTTCAGGGTTTTTCACTTTTAGAAAGCAATTTCAACATTTTTCAAATTGAAAAATCATATTTTCCAAACGCCCCAGAGTTAGGGAATGGTCATCGGAATACTAGGGGGTTTAACTAGTGTTTGAGGTTGAGGACTTGTATTGGGGTTTGGGTGCGGATCCGAATCCGTTGCCATCTCCTTCCTATTTTCTTTAGCAATAATACCAATGGAAACGCCTAGAGATTGGTTATAGCTACGAGGTCGCCTCTTCTCATTTGTCCTAAGTTTCGTTTTGTTTTTTCGTTACTATCATTTTACGTTTTGCTTGCTTTTGGTAAATGATGCGCATAACCTCAATAAAACATTTGTAACAATTTTAAATTAACTTTAAAAAAATAGATATATGCATATTTTTTGCTGCTCATCCTCTGGTCTCCTCCTGCTGTATACGTTTATATGCGTAATAGTTCCGCCTGCCGTTTTTGCTGATACATATGCCCTTTTGAAGATCCTCTCAAGCTTCCCACTCAATCGGTGGCCAGTGGCGTTACACTGCTCTTTTTCGCCGTGGTCTGAACTACATCTCCGGCGTCATCTTCAGGCTGGAGCACCTGCTCCGACGAATCGCCATCGGAACGAGATAGCGGTGATGCTGGCAGCAATGGCGGCGGCGAACTGGACAGCATGGCAACGGGCGAGGCACTTGTGGTGGCCGCTGCGGCTCCATCGCCCATGCCCCTTTCAGGAGCCGGTTCTGGAGCAGATGACGCTGGTGTGGAAACTGGAACTGAAACGGCAACGGGCGTGGGTGTCAGCGGCGGCGAGTCCAGTTGCTGCTGGCTGAACTCCTGGTTCGGGCTCTCCCTGGTAAATAGTCCCATCTTGGACTCGGATCCTTCAGTGCCCGGTGCTGCCGGAGCTCCACCGGTCTCCCCGCTGTCCGTGCTAGAGCTGATTAGCGAGTGCGCCACCGTGGGAGCGGCCGGACCGCTTACTAGGTGCGGCGGCGCGTGCAGGGGAACGTGTTGGTGCTGTTGATGCTGCTGTTGCTGTTGGGCTCCATGATAGCGCGGAATGTCCGCCTTGCGCCAAAGCGTAATCTCCTGCTGTTTGAAGTAGCGCCGGTCCTCGGTGTCCATTAGCACTAGATTGAGGAAATACTTCACCGAGAACTTTTTGTTAATATCCCGCATAGTGGGCGTGAGATTATAGCCGGCGAGGAATACCCGAATGGGTATGCTCTCGCCCTTAACGGGAGCACCATCCATGATTTCGTACTTGGCGATCGTCTCGTTGTCGTTGAACATCGTCGGACCTGTGCCCGCGCTCTCCCGCTTTATGATAGCGATCTCCATGTGCTTAATCTTGATGCGCACCAGCAGGAAGTATATCTTGCCGATAATCGTATCCCGCAAGTGATATTTGCTCTTGTTGTACTCGAATTCAATGTGCAAGCAGTCCTCGATGCCCACCTCCATTTTAATGGGGTTGTTCATCTCCGGGTAGCTGCACAGTGTGTGCACGGCGATATCTACCTCCTTGGTAATGTCACTGATCCGGCGGACGATAGTGGCTCGCAGGAAATATCGCAGCCGCACGTTCGTTCCGGCATACACCTCGAATTGCTTCTCCACGTTTGGGAAATCGAATGGATAGCTGTTGTTCTGGATGAGATCGCCAGGGCGGGCCAGCGCCTTTGCTAAACACTTGAACTCGTGGTGGTTACCCCGGTCGTAGTACAGCTCGATCTGACCAATGAACTCAATCTTGATGCCCTGGTGCTCCAGCTTGCTGCCCGGCTTCTTAAGGGTAACGTTCACCTGGGTAAAAAGGGGTGGATATGGGTTTATCTGTGGTAATGATTAGGGGAAACTCCCCCCACTGCTGACCAAGACGCACCTTGCCGGAAACGGTCTCTCCATCGTAGAAGAGCAGCATCTTCTCCACTTTGCCATCCTCCCCTTTGACCTCCGCTGTCTTGTGCTCAGCTCCATCGAATACTATCTCAATGTCCGCTGACTGGCCGAAACCCAGGAAATTCATAATTGATAAACTTCGAATCGGCTTCTTCCTCTTCTTCTTGCCCCCGCCTCTTCTTGCTGCTCCGCTGGAATGTCGTCGCTGTGGCTTCCTCGTCGGCGATTCTGGTCACCCGTATCCTTCAGATATACTTTTTCGTAACCCTCGGCTTTATTGGGCGTTTTCTTGCGGCCTTTTTTTGGTTCTTCGTTGCGCTGCTGGCGTGTGTTTCTCGTCTGTATGTGTGAAATGAAAAAAATTGCAATTTTTCACGCAATGGCGTTGCCACATCGCCGTCGTTTCGATTGTTTTTAAGGAGTGTCTGCTCTGCTAATTTTATTCAGTATTTATTTGGTCCACTACTTTAGAGATACATATCGATGGATATTAATAAGAGTACTTTTTGCCTAACGACAACAATGAGATAATACCACTAGAAATCATCAATATATTCATGTATTGATGTGTACAATAAGTACATACATATATTATTTAAAAGTGCACTTTAACCGCCATATTCAAGACCGCAACACCGTTGCATGGTATACTTGTCTTTATACAAATACCTAAAACTCAGTATTTAAATACTGCAATTCTTTTTCAGCGATAAAATAAATCAAAATAAAGAAAATAAGATAAAACCGTAACACATTCTGTTGAAGATGCGAAAGTTGACTAGCTTTGTGTGCGGCACTGGAGCTGGATTGGCAGCTTACTACTTGCAGAGTTTACGCAACCCACATACGGCGGTGCAGAACTCGTGGACGCACAGTGAAAAGCCGGTGGATCCATGGGCCCTTTGGGATACCAACTGGGACTGCCGAGAGCCGCGAGCCCTGGTACGTCCTTTGCGGAACAGCCAACCTGAAGAGGAGAATCGTTACAACGCAGAGTTGGAGAAGGCCAAGGCTAAGAAACCGCGCCACATCATTCTGGTGCGGCACGGTGAGTATCTGGACGTAGGCGACTCCGATGAAACGCATCATCTCACGGAGCGCGGCCGTAAACAGGCGGAGTTCACTGGGAAACGGCTATGCGAACTTGGCATTAAGTGGGACAAAGTGATAGCTTCCACAATGGTGCGGGCTCAGGAGACGTCGGATATCATTCTCAAGCAGATTGATTTTGATAAGGATAAGGTGGTTAACTGTGCCTTCCTGCGTGAGGGAGCACCCATTCCACCCCAGCCGCCAGTGGGTCACTGGAAGCCGGAGGCATCTGTAAGTCAAAGGGTCAATCCAGTGCGAATACCATTTCATTTCCGGCTTTCATTTCCCTGCAGCAGTTCCTTCGCGACGGATCGCGCATAGAGGCCGCGTTCCGGCGTTACTTCCATCGCGCATATCCCGACCAAGATAAGGAGAGCTATACCCTGATCGTAGGCCATGGCAATGTAATCCGGTACTTCGTTTGTCGCGCCCTGCAATTCCCAGCTGAGGGCTGGTTGCGCATTAACATCAACCACGCCTCCATCACCTGGCTGACCATCAGCCCGTCGGGCAACGTCTCTATCAAGTACCTAGGCGACTCCGGCTTCATGCCCGCCCCACTGCTAACTAATCGTATTCCGCGCGACGTCAAAAACGTGGTTTAGTTACCTGCCCACCGAACTGCCTGGATGAGAAGCAATCTTAGTGTATTTATTGCCAAGCCTTAAAAGTAAATCTGTAAGCTGAGATCGAGTAACTGTATAAATCTACATGTAAATTATTGTCGCACTTTAAAGCTCCAAAGGAAGAGGATCTTTAAGACTTCCACAGAAATAATAAATCTTTTATAGAAAGCTGAATGTTTCGAGAAGTATTATCTATAAACTCTATTAGGAAGAAAAACTCATCTAATGATTCGATAGCGATAGATTCGCCAATGTGGAAAATAATGTCTATGAAAACAATATTAATATATTTGTTAATGACTACAATTAAAATCTACAATCTATAGAAGGATTACGGGTCTCATCTAAAACTACTCTTAAAAGGAAAAACCAAACCTAGCTTAACACCTTCTGAAGTCGCTGCAAGCATTTGCGTATTCCCACATCCTCGCCAGCGCCGCGCTTTTGCTCCACCTGTTTTGCCTTGCTCGTTACAAAAGGCAAGAGTGGAGCTACTAGATTCGGTGCCAGTTCTGCCAGCTTTATCAGCATTTGAAAGTAAAAGTAGGTGCAATGAGCCAAGTGCTTCTCGGCCAGAGTTTGTAAGTCATTGGAGCAGATATCCTTGACGGCCTGTGAGCGCTTGAATGCCTCGTGGGATACTAGCACACCATAGAGTCCAAACACCTGACTGCGACTAAGGTCCAGTTCGTCCACGAACATCACGTGCTCAAGTAGAGGGATGTGCACCCCGCGCACAATGGTCAGCAGCTGATGTTCCTGCTCCTTACCCGTGCCTTCGATCAGTTGATGCATGATAGTGATAACCAAACCCGCATGCTGGCCCGCTTTTCGTCGGTGAACTACAAGAAACTGGCTAACCAGAAGGTGAAGAACGAACTGTGCCAAGACTCCATCTACATCAGCTTGAAGGAGTGTGGCATACGGACGAGCCACCAGTTTGGCGTTGGGTGAAAAGCTAAAGTGCGGCGTCCAGTGCTGTACTAGTTGCTCCAGTGTTTTGGCTATGTAAGTGTCCGAGCGGTAGGGCAGACGACCAATCCCTTGCAGCAACACAGGGAAAATCTTATGTACCATCTGGGGTAGGCGACCCTCAGGCGGCACTCCTGCCTGTAGTTGCGTGGTGAGTAGAAAACGAACCATGGCTAGGTGGAAAAAACAGCTGGGCTTGGAGCGTACGTACGCCAGAGTTGGGCAGTTGTAGATGACGATTGCCAGGAAGCTGTAGAATCGGGATCCGAGTTCCGATCGCAGTCGATCCGGCGGCAACCAAAGCTCAAAGTGGTTAACATATGCATGCAGTTTGTGGCTTAACTGCATCCGGACGTGTGCCGCAGCTTCCTCCTGCTGCGCTCGTCTTCCCAAAGCTCCGAAAAACGCACAGAGTGGCTCACGGCCATCTTCCAAAGAAGCTGGATCAATGCCTAGCTGTCGGAACTCATCTAAATGTGTGACGTGGTGCGTTAAAGCCAGTACAGACTCATGCTGCGCGTTAAGAAGAACTAGAGACTTTACCCAAACCTGGAGGATCGTGGAGCTTGTAAGCCGTCCGTTGTCTTTCAATACATGAAGCATTAACTGAGCCGAGGCGGCCATATTAATAGGTTCTGGTCCCTGTAGGAGACCGAGGAGCAGTTTGTCCCCGTCTTTCTCCAGAGCAACAAAGTTGGCTGCCAGCTTCGGGAGCCATGAGCTATGGCCACTTACATATTGTGTTCTCAGAAGTGGCAGAATATGTTGCTGGAGTGCCTCCTTCATGCCACCAGCATTGCCTGTCACAGCTCTTGGTTCGTCAAGACGCTGGATTAGGTGGTACAGGGCCTGCCAAACACGATCCTGCGCTGCCTGACCACTCTTTTCCACGTAGTGCGTTAGCCAGGGCCCCAGAAGCTGCTGCTCTCCGCGGTTAAAGTCATCCGCTAGATCAAAAATTGCCTGCATACTGTTCACATAGATGGCTCCCACCTCAGTGTCATTCCGAATGGTAGCCAATTGGTTCACCAGCTTTGCCACATAGTCGTCCATGGACAGACGATGCTGGGCATGCAGGAGGAGCACAGCCATATGACCTTTGGCCACAAGAACTCTCCTCACCGGAGGCAGCTTATCCAGGGCCAAGCAGAGCAGCATTTCGCGAAGCTTGGTAGCCAAGTCGTTTAAATCCTCGTGACAGAGTAGTAGGCACAAAAACAGTTCGATTACATGGTGAATTCCCGGCTCATTCAGAGCTAACAGTTTCGCGGCACTGAATTTGCTGAAGATTCGACCAAGCAGCTTTTGTCGTTGGTTACTTCGACCCTGCAATGGCAACAGCTTTAGGGTCCTACCCAGCATCCAGACGTACACGGTAAAGCTGCTGAGATTCAGATCTTCTAGTTGGGATTTGGCCAGCAGTTTGCTGTAACGCTCTACGTAAGCAGCTCCATTGGGACAGGTGAGGGGCAGCTGATCCAGTTCACTTCCCGCACTAAAGTTGCAATTCAGGGATCGATGAAAGTACTCCCACAACTGACATAACACATCTGTATCTGGCTGGCCGAGTTGAAGTTGTAGAGGAGAGAGTAACGTAAGATACACACGTCGCTGCTGCTCATCAGGCTGACAGGTCAGGAATTGCTTAAGCAAATTGGCGGTTTGAAAGCTACCAGGTGGAGTGGTGAGTTTATCATCCGGCTGGTACAGACCCTCGCAGTTGAATTCTCCTAAACGAGCCAGGCCAAGTCGTAACCAGGAATAGAACTCATGGTATGCCAAGGAAACTCCATTGTTCTCGCCTTGAGAAAAAGATAAGGTATGATTTAAAAAATAAAGTTACAAGATCTGTTATCTATCTACCCTGAAAGTAGTTTGTCTTGTGCCTCTGCATTGCCTTGTGAAAAAGTATCCAAAAGTCCAGATCCCTATCACCGAGCCATTTTGGAATTAGATTCTTCAGAAGAAACCACATTTCTTTTGTGCAGCGACACATAAACGGCGATACATGGATCAGCTCCGGACGATGTCTGCCACGGTAGTGTTGACTGGCACACACGATCAGATCATCCAGCGTGCGCTCCAGCTGCCCGAGAAAGCCTTGATCATCCCCAGAGGTATACAGTATGTGTAGATCTAAGAAACGCCACTCTAGGATTCCATGGTACAAGTGGTAGGCCGGTGCTTGACACTCGTTTCCTTTGCTATGTTCCGCAAAATACAAAACCTTCCAAGCATCCGCATCCAGCAGATTGTTAAGCAATTGGCGAAGGTCCTGAAGAAACTTTAATGCTTCGGGTTGCAGCTCGCTGCAGCTCTCCCGCAAGGTCAGCAACAGGTGGTAGATATGGCTAACCTCCTGACGCACGCGAAACCAACCGGAATTCATGGAGGCAGATGGGGTCTGCAATTGCTGTTGACCCTCCACGGCCCCAAATAGTTTCTGCACATTTTTGCTGGGAATGTGAGAAGAGTTAGGGCTTGGAGTTAGGAAAGAATGTTGGTACTGACCAGGCCTCCCAATACAGGTAATTCCGGACCGCGGCAACTGACAATTGTCCATGGGAAAAGTCGAAGCATAGATTCTCCAACTGACAGTGAGGTGGATCCAGTTGGGCGAAGCCATTCTTTAAAAAACCCTCACTCGAAAATTGGGTCTTCAGTGAGTCCCGACCGCTGCAGCAGAACTCCGGCAGGAAGTCCAGTCCCTCGTCCGTGTCTTCCTCTTCGACATCGCCTTCGTCCATTTGCCCATTGTGGGCTTCCCGCTGCATCTTCTGGGTAGCCTGGGTGAAAGCGGTCAGGATCTCCTCATCATCATCTGAATGGAACAGATCGTAGTCCATGACGCAGACGGGAATTTATGGGGATTGGATTTATATTTGAACTTGGCAAGCGTTTTGCTATAGTTTTTATCTCATAGATACACTTCCATACATGTTTTTTGCATGTGACTATTTCAGCAAATAAAAGGCATAAACCACAATTTAAATTTGTAAGGTGGATTATATTTAAATCACTTCTGGAATGCCCTTAGACTGATAACCGATAACAATAAATATCGGTAAAAACATCGATTGGCAATCGATGCACTGGTAATCTTTGTGGACATTTGGACCTTTGTTGTGGACTTGAATTGGGCTACTCTTATCGCCGGTTACGCCAGTTACGTAGCATCCTCCAGATCGAGCACCATGTCGTTCCGCCCACTGGTCGAGGGTGACTGTGGCGGCGTGAATCCGCTGATGCAACTTGGCGGCCAATTTACCCGCGATGTGGCCCACAAGGATGAGGGTTTCGCGCAACGGCAGTTTGAGCGGGGTACACGTCCCGAGGACCAGTTGATTAACGAGTTTCTAGGTCAGGTGGCCGCTCCGCCGCAGTCCTTTCAAATGGATACTCTGCTTCAGGAGATGCGGGACATAAACATTCATGCGGGTAAACCACAACAGCAGATGCACATTCAGCAAGCGGATCAGTGGGGTCAGGACTTTGCTCGAGGTCTGGCACCTGCCCTACCCAACAAGATGATCCACATGCAGGCGCAGCAACAGGACCTGCAGCACGCCCAGGAGTTCTTCGACGAGCCCCTTATCAGCAGCCAAAATTTCCGGCCGTTACCGCGGCAACCCTTAATGGCCATTACGTCCGGAAATCAGCAGGACCCTTTCTTCGACTCGGCCATGGAGGCCATCTCCACAGATAACCTCCCACAGGCGCCGCAGGGTGAGTCGCTGGACGATTGGATCAGCGACTACCAACGAAGTGCCGAGCAGAAAGAGCAGACAGCCTCTAACTTCAACGAAAAGTTTTGGCAGCGCCTGCAGGACGAGTGGCAGAAGCTCGCCGATGAGAATGAGCATCCGTGGCTGTCGGAGTACAACGACAATATGGATGCCTACAAGGAGTACGAGTTTGCCGAAGAGAACCCCATGTCCGAGCTGGAAAACGCATTCGAGAAGGGTAAGGAGTATCTGGCGAAGGGCGATATACCCAGTGCAGTCCTCTGTTTCGAGGTGGCTGCTAAGAAACAGCCGGAGCGCGCAGAAGTCTGGCAATTGCTGGGCACTTCGCAGGCCGAAAACGAAATGGATCCCCAGGGCATAGCGGCTCTTAAACGGGCTTATGAGCTGCAGCCGGACAACCAGCAGGTCCTGATGGCACTTGCAGTCTGTTACACCAATGAGGGCTTACAGAACAACGCCGTACGTATGTTGTCCAGCTGGCTGGCAGTGCATCCCAGATACAAGCACCTGGCCGACTCTTATCCGGAACTCCAGATCGAGGGCACTTCGCTGGCCTCATCTCTGATTGGTCCTAGTAAACTGCGTGATCTGCAACAGATCTACTTAGAGGCGGTGCGGGAGAACCCAGCGGAGGTGGATGCCGACGTTCAGGAGGCCCTTGGCGTACTCTACAATCTCTCCGGCGAGTTTGACAAGGCGGTAGACTGCTATCAGTCGGCCCTGCAGGTTAATCCGCAGAATGCTAAGACATGGAACCGTTTGGGCGCCAGCTTAGCAAATGGTTCGCGCTCTGTGGAGGCTGTGGAAGCCTACCAGCAGGCGCTTCAGCTCCAACCGGGATTTATCCGGGTACGCTATAACGTAGGCGTCTGTTGTATGAACCTGAAGGCCTACAAGGAAGCTGTGGAGCATCTGCTGACTGCACTAACAATGCAGGCTCACACTACAGCTGTCCGGGACTTGCCGAATGCGGCTATGGCGGCCACAAGTAGTGGCCAGAATCAGATGTCCGAGTCTATTTGGAGTACCGTCAAAATGGTCATTTCGCTGATGGGTCGCAGCGATCTCCAGGGCCATGTCAGCGATCGCAATTTGGCGGCCCTTAACGAAGCCTTCAAGGATTAACTAAACTGTATATGTTTACTTTTGTATTATAAGCAATTAAATACTTCTGTGGTATCTAAGGTTGAATTTGAGATATGTTTCTGTTTTGGTATTGTAACTATTCCTTCTCCATTCCTTTTTGTGTATGTTTTTTTTTATTATTTTCTTATTCTTAAGCCATTAAATTACTGTTGACGAAATATCTGTCCATCTTTATTACAAACTAAGGCATGCCGCCTAACCGCTTGTAGTCGATCTTCTCGAGCTGCACTAGCGGCTTTAGTTGTTCTGCGAATACCCGCATCTCCTCGCCAACGTTTTCTTGCCCCGTTGGCGCCACCACGGATAGTTCCACTATGTAACTTTGCGAGATTGGCTCGTTTGCCATGTCCTGCTGTTTGCCGGGCACAATTTTTATGAGCTTGGAAACGGTAATTTTCATTCGTCCTTTACGGAACATATAGCCTAAAATAATTTCTTTTGTTGGAATGTGTTCTCTAAATAAATAAATAAATCCTTGTTACCTTTTGCTATGTACTCGAACTCCAAGCGGAAACCCATCTCAGTGAGGAACTCCAAGATTCCGTTGGTGCACGCGCAGTCCATGCAACTACGCACCAGTGTGGGACGTCGCTGGTCCACCTCGGGATTGCCCAAGTAGCGCATTTGAAATGGAGCATCGCGACCAAGGGCACGACGAACACGAAGCAGCACCGGCTGGTTGGCGTTAGGCTGTCGAAGGCTCATGCACACTTCCAGGTCATGAAAGGGCTCCGGCGAAGTGTCCACATTGTCGCATAGTCCCTTGAGTCTGTGTGATGGCATATGAATTGGTTTAAACTGATCAACGTGAGGGTTTAGCCGCCGACCTGTGCATCAAGTGCTCCACGGCGGAATCGAGAATGGACCCCTGCAGCAAGTACTCCAGGTTGGGAAGAAAGCGGTTGTTCATCGCGTGGGAGAGCGACTCGCGGGCCGATGATACACCTGCCATTGATTATCTTGGGTTGGGTATCGTGTTTGGTAATAATCTATATACGTATAAGATGTTAAACTTTAAAGGGGCTCTGCTTTGTTTATGTTTTTAGGAAGTGATGCATTGATAGACATTTTATCACCAAATATAGCTTTTTCACAGCTAAGGTGGGAAGTGCTGCATTTCAGCAACCGATTAACTTAAAAAACCCTTTTCCGTAGTGAGGAAAACGTTAAAAGATTAATGCAAAAATGTACAATAAATGGATTGGTTTATAATCCATATTAATTACCTTATTTACTTGAAGTTTAACTAGCTGTAGCTATTTCCTTTTTATCGAAACGGACGGATACGATAACGATAACGATATATAACGATCATAGTAAACAGACGCGCACTAAATACAAACGAATACGAATTTGTTTAAAGCATATTCAAAAAGATAAGTTTTACCGTAATTTTACTAACGACGCCACTAAAATGGCGGATCACAAGTATAGGCTCTTCAATGCGGTCGATCCGAGCAAAGTAAAAGTTCCCTTTAATCAAAAATTTGCCAATTTGACGCTATCCTCTCATAAAAAACGACAACAGGTATCCTTTGTGCCCAAGGAACAGCAAGAGATAAGAAATCTTCGGGGAAAAGGTCAACAGGAAGCCATGCGCGGAAATATGGGTCCGTCTGCTGGAGAAAATTCGGAGGTTACGCATTCAGATCTCAATGGGTCCGATTATATGGACGCCCTGCAGCTGAGCGCCGATGGCTGCAGCCAGGATGTGGGCGATGTTGAACATCTGTCCGCAGCCATTAGCAATTTGACAATGCAGACTACGGAGCAACAGCAGCCATCTAATCCGGAGGTCTCCATTTGTATTTCTTCTACCACGGAAGAGAACGATATCGGCGACGATGACGATGACGACGCCTCCTGCATTACTATATCAGATTCCAGCGAGGACGAAAATGAACCCGTTCCTCCCGATAGCATGGCAGTTAGCGATAGGATAACCGTGACCGATGCTGATCAAGAGGTCATACCACCGCCTATGCTCACAACCGATAAAGTGCAGCGCATACAGGCCTTTCTGCGCGATGTATCCATTGAGCGACATGAGATTGAGCGGAATGGCCCCCCAACATTATCCCCTTCCTCATTTACCAAACGACAGTCTCGGCTAGCCGAGGCCGAAACTGAATCAATGTCCTTCACCGACGACGACTGGAAGCCACCGGTTACCAGACCGATTGACAGCAGTAAACGACTGGCTGACGACGAGACGCAAGTAGATACCATCTGCTCGACAAATGTCACTCGCTTGGACAGTAGCAAGCGTCTAGCGGATGACGAAACGCAAGCTAATACCTTGGGATCAGATGATTGGGAGCCCAGTAACAGTAGCAAGCGACTGGCAGACAATGACACAGAAATCAACACTCTATGTTCCGATAACTCTTGTAGCCATAATTCTACGATCCATGAAGAACAGCCTGTTCCAACGGATTCCATTGAAATACCGGAAACTTGCAGCGAGGGCGAGCCCACGCCGCAAAAACGCAGTTCAGGTTCCTCTATATCGGGCGAGGATGAGCTTGGACCCATTCAAGTAAGCAGTATTAATATCTCAGCTAAGATCAACATCAAGATCAGTATTCCAACAATGGAGTCAAGTGAGGACGACGAAGAACAGTACCCTTCTCCCAGGGCCACGAAGTCCCTGCCTAGTTCAGAGGAGGTGCAGCACCAAGAACATCAGCAGCAGGATCCTCAGAAATCCCTTCACCAAAGATCTATGCTGTCCACGGGCGATGCTTCCGAGGATGAGCAGTTTCTCACTCACGCCGAGAAGTTGCTGAATCAATTGTATGGCAAGTCTTGGCAAACGCCGGACGTGATCCGCACTCTTAAGCGCTCCAGTGGCAGTGGCGGTAAGACAGCTCCCCTAAGGCCCAGGAATATTCCCACGGCGGCAACTACCGCTAAAAAGAACAAACCGCGTCCTCCACCCGTTAGGCCAGACGAAAGTGTCCTTGGGGATTTCAGCCTATGTAAGAAATTAAATCCAAATATCTTGAAATCTTCAATAACACGCACTTCAATCTGCAGTTACTCGAGCTCTGCGTACAACTCAGACTCCTTTAAATTCCACTCGATTGCCACCTATGCGAGCTGTCCAGACGGAGAGGCGTCCACGGAGCCAAAATCCAGTGACACGCCCACGCACCAATCATGTGGACGAGGATCGCTGGCGGAAGCTTATAGACTCCGACAGCGGTACAGATGCCTCTGACGACGAGGATGCGGATGCAACATACAGCGATAATGACAGTGACAGCACCAGCAATTCGGACAATCATAAGGGCGGCGAGATTACATACCTAGACTTGACAAAGGACGAAGTGGAGGTGATCAGCAATCCCGATGAAGATTCGCAGTGTAAGATCTATGAGGCATTGATTTTATTGACATAATCATGACATTTGTTTGCTTTTATTAGCACCCAAACTCCACCGACGTTTGGACGACATACTACGATCTTGCCGTGCCAACATTAAAAAGAAACTCCCTTCAACACCTGCACCCCAAGCCACCACTCGTCGCCAACTCTTTACACCGAACGCTGGTTTCGAAGACGAAAACGAGGCTATAGCAATAGTAGACAAGGCATTGGACCTGGACATGCTGGATGAATTGGAGAGCGACTACATGCCAGGAACCCCAGTCCATAAGCGTCTTCAAGAAGTAAAAAAGAAGTTGGGCATTGTGCAAGAAGTTCAGGTTACACCAATGCAAAGCCCAATTCTCAAATTGCTCACTCCTCAAACGGCGCCAAGCAAAGCCCCTGCCCGACCCAAAACCACCGCCACACCGAGATCTATTATCCGCAAGCCCAAAAAGCAGATCGAGCTCGCACCAATTATTAATGGCGGTAGATGCGGCTTCCTAAAATCTCTTGAGGCGCAAGTGAGCCGGGATTGTGCGGACAAAGAAGCTATTTTCTATCGTGAGAACTTTGCCAAGAAGAAGGAGCAGCTGGCCCACCATCTATTTCAGTTGTATAACACCAAGGTGTTTAACTCTGAATTAGATGTGCCCATAACCTGGTCAAAATTGCTGCGCAATACAGCCGGGCGATGCAGCAATAAGCGCCAGTAAGTGAAGTTACAACCCGATAGCCAAAGTTATCATCTTTGAAAACACTTAAACCAATTTACTGTTTCATTTGCAGAGGTACCAAGTACATGAGCGCGATAGAACTGAGCCTCAAAGTGCTGACCACAGCGGATCGCCTACGTTGCACTTTGATACATGAAATGTGTCATGCTGCGGCATGGATTTTCAATAAAGCTAGTGGACACGGACGGGAATGGAAGATGTGGGCTCAACGAGCAAATGATATGTTCCCCGATCTGCCAAAGATAGGAGTATGCCATAACTATAACATCGATTTCAAGTATACATATAAGTGTCTTAGTTGCAACATTGCGTAAGTTTTCAAAGGAATCTTACCCTTAATAAGGATATTTATATGAGAATCATTTTTTTGCACTTCAGTTCGCATGCTCACTCACGGTCACGCAAGGTGGAGAAAATACGGTGTAGTATCTGTCGTGGGCCCATCACCCTGTTCCTTAATAAAAAGGACAAGCAAGGAAACACCGTGTGCACACCGGTCGGCGAGGCAAAGGGATTCGCTAAGTTTGTCAAGGATAACTTCCAGAAGTACAAGCAAGACAACATGAAAGCCGACCAGGTCATGCGTATTTTAAGCGTAGAGTACGCCAAGCAGAAAAATAAAGGAACGGGAGAGAACGCGGCGTCGATCGCCACTCAGGTGGAAACGATGGTCCTTAATGATTAGCATACAAATTTGTCTAAAATTATTTTAAATATTTTTGTATATAACAACCTTTAAGATTGTGTGAAGACTTGAATATATTTATAGACGTGTTTATTTTGTTTAAAATATTCTATCTTCTAGTTTATGTTGTTACATACCAAGAAACAAGGTTTCCATTTAAATTTAACGGGCACTCAAAAGACAGTATTGTATAATTCCATTTTATACAGCCGGCTTCCGGTGGCGGTGTTGGAAAATGAGAGAGCATTGCACCCTGTAATCATAAAAGTGACGGATATTTTGTTTATTCGTTTTTATGAAATTAAATGTTAAAAAGAACAATAAAATGAAAAAAGAAAAACTCTACTCTACTGGGTATAAAACACATTAATATACATTCATATAAGAAATAAACATAGGAAACTAAAATGTTTCTTTCATACCACCATACGTTAACATGAGCTAACTAGACATAAAGAAATAGATAACAATAAAAACAACAATTGGTCTATAAATGACTTAATATTTAAACTGCTCCACAATAAACTTAAATCATATTAATGTTTAACGAAAACGTGTAAATTAATAAGTTGTAGGGTATATCTAAACCGTTTCTCTGGCTCAACGGTGGCGAATATACGGTCAATTTCCGCAGAGGCTCTGGTCACATCAGTTCACACTCACACAGAGCCACCGTAAACATTTTGTCGCAGAACCGAACACGTCAGCTACGCGCATTGATTGAAAAACAACTTTTCTAGCGACCAGCAAATCCGATCCGTAGCAGCAGTCCATCCTGCGCCGTCCGCATCCGATCCGTGAAGTATTTGCCCGGGACAAAAACGTGAAACGCAGCTGCAAAATGGTAAGAGCCCCGACCTACACATACACATACACGTCGGCGAATTTGGGGCTTATCGGGGTATTGTATTCCGGAATTATCGTTTAATCTATCCGACTTGCAGGTCCTCATTGCTGCGGCAGTCTGCACGAAGAATGGCAAAGGTGAGTGACTTGCATATCCTTTTACATAGAAAGATGTAATTAATGCATAACGTATACGCATAGTGATTCTGTCACGTCAGTTCGTGGAGATGACGAAGGCACGCATCGAGGGATTGCTAGCCGCCTTCCCTAAGCTCATGACCGCTGGCAAGCAGCACACCTACGTGGAGACAGACTCCGTGCGCTACGTCTACCAGCCTATGGAGAAGCTTTACATGTTGCTCATTACCACAAAGGCCAGCAACATTCTGGAGGATCTGGAGACGCTGCGCCTCTTTTCGAAAGTGGTAAGCTCTGGACTCGTGGCGAAGAAATCGCATAGCTAATTTGTACCAAATCCTTACAGATCCCAGAGTACAGTCATTCGCTAGACGAGAAAGAGATCGTGGAGAACGCCTTTAACCTGATCTTCGCCTTCGACGAGATCGTGGCTCTGGGCTACAGGGAAAGCGTCAATTTGGCCCAAATCAAGACCTTTGTGGAAATGGACTCACATGAGGAGAAGGTCTACCAGGCCGTGCGACAGACACAGGAACGAGAGGCGCGGCAGAAGATGCGGGAAAAGGCCAAGGAGTTGCAGCGCCAGCGTATGGAAGCCAGCAAACGGGGCGGTCCCTCTCTAGGCAGTATTGGTGGTCGCAGTGGCGGCTTCAGCTCTGACAGTTTCGGTAGTAGTGGTGTGAGCAGCAGCTCTGGCGGCTCCAGTGCCACCATCGGGATTACTTCAATCGACGTGGACACCAAATCCAAGACGGCTGTGTAAGTTCTCTATTCATATTGAGTTTCATTTGGTCTCCCAGTTAATTGTGGAAATTTCATCAGCAGTAAACCAACTTCGCGTAATGCCCTCAAATTAGGTGGCAAGTCTAAGGATGTTGACAGTTTTGTGGATCAGTTGAAGAGTGAGGGTGAGAAGATTGCCAATCTAGCTCCGGCGGCCCCAACTGGAGGCTCAAGTGCTGCTGCCAGCGCTAGTGCAGCAGCCAAGGCTGCCATCTCAGCGGATATTCACAAAGAGAGGTTTGTATCTGTATGGTATTTGTCAAGAGTTTATGTAATGCGGAATCTCTCAATCCAGTGTGCACCTCAAGATTGAGGATAAGCTGGTGGTGCGTCTTGGACGCGATGGTGGCGTCCAGCAGTTCGAGAACTCGGGTCTATTAACGCTGCGCATTACGGACGAGGCCTACGGTCGGATCTTGCTAAAGCTGTCCCCCAATCACACACAGGGCCTGCAGCTGCAGACACATCCCAACGTAGACAAAGAGCTTTTCAAGTCGCGCACCACCATTGGGCTAAAGAACCTGGGCAAGCCGTTCCCTCTCAACACCGACGTCGGTGTGCTTAAGTGGCGTTTCGTCTCGCAGGACGAGTCGGCCATTCCACTGACCAGTAAGTTTCCCTTGAAACACTCATTGCCTCTCTCTCACTTACGTGCTGGTGCTTCTTACTCTTTTTCCAGTCAACTGCTGGCCGTCAGATAATGGAGAGGGTGGCTGCGATGTGAACATCGAGTACGAACTGGAGGCACAGCAGCTGGAGCTGCAGGACGTTGCCATTGTCATTCCCTTGCCGTAAGTATATTATTTGTAAAAATCCTTAAGACATTTCTCATTTCTTTCGCTACTTTTCAGAATGAATGTGCAGCCCTCAGTAGCCGAATACGACGGCACCTACAACTACGATTCACGCAAGCATGTGCTGCAGTGGCACATTCCCATCATCGATGCTGCCAACAAGTCGGGCTCCATGGAGTTCAGCTGCAGCGCCTCCATTCCAGGCGACTTCTTCCCCTTGCAGGTGTCCTTCGTCTCGAAAACGCCGTACGCGGGCGTTGTTGCCCAGGATGTTGTGCAGGTGGATAGCGAGACGGCGGTTAAGTATTCCAGCGAATCTATTCTGTTCGTAGAGAAGTACGAGATCGTGTAGGCCAAGCCTCTGGCCTCGCCCACCTAAGTAGTACATAAAATATACCTAGAAATCCATTATTTTTTCCGGGGCGATTTGATGCAACACACGATTGATTCAATAGCAGCAGCATGTTAAAGATTATTTTTTATATGTTTCGAACTTTGGATACTTATAGCGCGAACAGCTTCTCAGAGCAAGTAATTCGAAAAAATATATATATATTACAAAATCCAATTAATAAAATTAAATTTATGCACTCCAAACGCTGCTTAAATCGGTATAAATAAATGAAAGGCGCATAATTGAAGTTGGCGATTGTGAAGTATTTTGTTTCCTGTGGTTCGTCTTAACCCCCTTTATTTGAAATATACTTTATGTAAAATGCTATGAATAAACGTTACACATTATGTGCATACAATTACTGATAACAGAAGAGGGCGTTTTCTTACTGAAATCTGGCATACAGTACATATTTACAGATTATCAGAATATGATTGTGAGAGTAAAGCTTTCGCTTCAATAATATTTCAGTTCCTTCCGTTAAAATTGAATATTTTGAATTTGAGTGATTCTCTTCAAATTTTGCCCACTGTATCTGGTATTTTTGTGGTGGTAATATGCCGGGCGGTTTGGCTTCATGATGTTTTACGCGACCGGTCACACTAGTCATTGTTTTGATTCTTTTCTTGCTTTGTTTTTTTCACTACCCTTGGAGTTCTTAATTAAAAGCCTTGTCCATGGAGCAGCAACTGGAGAAGGTCTTGGGAGAAATGTAAGGATGCCTTCGAGCACTGTACAGATTTTTGAAAATAACTAATAAACCCTCTTTGCAGCGCCGCGCGACAAGACACCGTGGGAGCTTTGCTGGCGAATCGTCAGGGATTGTGTCTTGGCAGTAAGTATCTGGGATTTAGTCTGATAAATCGATTGCCATAATGTTGTTTGGGACTCTTTCAGCCAAGGGCGACATTGATCCAAACGTGTCCGGCATCGGAATGGCCATTTCCGAACAGGTGGCCAAACTGGAGCCGAACACCACGGTTCCGGCAACAATTTGCCTGTACAGCGGCAACAAGTAAGTTGTGGAATTCCAAGTATTTAGAAGATAAAGATATGGAAATGGTTTTGGAGAGCCATTGGTACAAGTTGCCAGGAGTTATGACCTAAAATAAGCATGTGTTCTGTTTTTCATTTCAAACATACTGGTCATAGAGTAAGAACAAGTGGCAAATTTGTTTTATCATCTCTCTGGCAGTGTATTAATCAATTCTCTGTATATCTTCTGCAGGCGCTGTGTGATTCAGAAGGATGGCGAGATCACAGGCGTGATCTTCAAGCAGGAGACGCCTGCATCGGCGACCGCCGCCAGCAACTAACAGAAGCTGGGGCCTCAAGCGCAACTCTCAGGCCAAATACGCAAGTCAAGATACGGATACAAAGTCAAAATACAGATATATCTTCCAAGATGCGACAGCTTCGCTCGATTGCCCGAGGGCAGCGCATGTTACATTTGCCTCTCGTTCTAACCGATAACCCTAACCATTGTTTTCTACGACTCGCATAGCTATAAGCATTACGGATTACGCATTACGGAATATGCATTACGGATTACGCATTACGGAATACGCATTACGGATTACGCATTAAGCACTGCTGTTAGTCGCCATGTCTAAATCAGCCTAGCGCTATCATAATGTATGTACATATAGACAGACTTTGTACGTTTAAGCCCAAAAGTGATTGAAGCATATACACCAATTAAAATTATAGCGATGAAGCAAGCCAGCGAAAAAGCTTTTGAACTTGGCAGTTTTCTCGATTTTCAGCCGTAATTACTCAATCATAACGGCGTGGTGTGGTTCGTGCTGCAGTTTCTTTAACATTTTCCGGGTTTGCAATCGGGGTTGGGTGCACCGCATCGAGGAAATGCCGCCGCCCACGTCATGTAAGAAGTGATACATATACATACACACACATTCATGCATACGTAGACGTGGACATGGCATGCTGCATGCAACGAGGCAACAACATCGCAGCGGTATCAGTAGTGCCAGCAGACAAATTGCTGCTCATTCCGCAGCCCACGAGCCTTGGTTTTTGTAATACAGTCAAACCTCTATAGCAGAAACATAAAAGATTTCAAATATTCAATAATAACGGAAGTTTCGGTGGTTAAAAACTTCAAAGATCTATCTTAGCTCTTCAATGGTATATCCTATATGCATAGGAAAAAAACTGGCTAAAAACCAGACGTAGTTAGGATGGGCTGTATTTCGAAAGTAGTATGACAACCCACAAAATGTTTCCACACGTAAGGTGTGGCGCCTAAAATCGATGGGAAAACTTCACTTGGCGGCACCTGATATTAATCCCTGGCTCCTGGTACCTGGCCAGGAGGAGAGGAGCTCGCTTGGCTGGTTTTGTGCCTAAGATGGTAAGGCGGCGGTGTGATGCAATCGCATCCTATCGCTGGCAGCGCAAGCTTCGAAATTCCATTAATTAAACACATAAAACCTATGATATTCATGCACATCTGCCAGGTAGGTAAACCCATTCTGTTTATGCCTCGTGTTTACCTGTTGCAAAGCTCCGAAACCGAAACCGAAACAGCCTTGAACTTTCACCACGGGGCATTGGCGACCCACGTGTGGCGTCTAGGCCTCCGTCTCAGTCTTCATTTCGTATTTTTCTGTGTGCGTTTTTTCCCTTATTTCTGTGGGTGTCGAAAAGCTGCGGCTGTGCAAGGTAAATACCACAGAGACAACAAAGTTGATAAAACATGACAAAAACAAAAACAATTAACGCCGAAATTGGCAGCCAAGGTGCGTTTGTTTAGCCGCAGCGAAGCCTTCAACTTGAATTAAACGTTCAGTTGGCCGATGGGATACATCATGTGGCCACTGATGGCCTAGGGATTGGGTTTCTTTTAAGTATCTTCTTTCAGTATCTTTAAATTTTAGAACTTTTAAGTTCCCATTGTAATATCACTGAAAGCCTTTATTACTTATACGCGGTGTTATACCGTAAAAAGTAATCTTCAATATTAAAAGTTGATTATGAATAGAATAGTCATCATCATTACTATCATGCTGATATAAGAAACTAATCTGTGTTCGTCGAGCATTAACCCACACATGATTCGTGGTCATTAAGGCGGGCTTCACTCTCGCTTTCAAAAGAACTACTACGACGATGAGAAAAACTGGTTACCTTTTCTCTAAAAGTGAAAGTGCCAGTGGCAGGATGATTCACGATGCAGTCCAGAAGAAATTCCAACTTCAACTGCATTTTTAACACAACCAAAGCCAAAGCCAAAGCCGACCAGACCTGATCGAAAACCACGAAGTGGGCAGCTGGCGGGCGTTGAGAATTACGATATGTGTCTGGGACATGAAAATTCCCCACTTTTCAGAGCACCTGAGTTATGAGGGGCTATTCAACATAAATTAGTTGAGGCAAATATGCGATAAATAAACAAAAAGCTCCTTAAAATAAACAATACGATGTTGATATTGAGCTATGCTGCATGGATATGATTGTATTCATAACTTATTGTTAGCATAATGATTTGTATTTAAATGATCTTTCAATTAATTAATTAATCATTCTTTTCAAAAGCTGCTACATATGTTCAATCCATGGAACATGGAACTTATGAAAGTCAGTCAAGCTTGATAAACTAAATAGTAGTTCACATTACAGGCAATCGATATGTATAATTGGAAATAGATCAATTCCATGCTCGATTGCAATTCGATTAGGCCAATAATTGGACTGCACTTGGGGGGGTAAAGAAAATCTACACAGGGAAACATTTGGAGTTTCAGAATATTTCTTAGAAAATATTGCAAGTTTAAAGCCATGATTTTCGTTGACTTTTCTTTTAATCACTTTGCTAGTATTCATTTCTGCTTAAATATATATTTAAGCCATAACAACAACCCACTTGAGCCATCTAATTTTCTTGCTGTGCACCTACAAGCGGCAACCCGTTAGCAGTTTCCATACGAAACATGTCCATATGGAGGGGCCTATCATCTCACCACTCATATTGCTCCGTTTTGGGTAATTATGTCATGGGGAGTGCGGCTAATCGCCGCCGCGAAATTCCCTCAGTCGATGCCAACTATCACGTCATCGCGTCATAGGTCTATATGTATCATATATATATATATATGTACCTACATAGATATAAGCTTTATGCCACAAAATTACGACATTTGGACTTGGAATATGTTGATTTTGTTTACATTTCTGTCACCACGCAGATAAAAACGTAGATTGAACATTGGAATACCCAAATGGCCAGCTCAATGAGCTTTGACTAGCTAGATTAGATCTTAATAATCAGGGCTTAGCTGGGCCTAAAGGAAGACTACTAGATACTAGTATATAAAAGAAGTTAAAATGGGTTTGATTTTAGATTCAAATTAGCAAATGGAAGCTCGAATAAAGTAACCCTTTCATCTGTCATAGACCATGGCCAGAAACGAGAGTGAAAACAGTTTGATGGGCATAGAAATGAATGGCTATTTATAATCGGATCGTATAATAAACACAGTAGGCGGGTCAGCAGGTGACGCCAAAGCTCAGAAGAATGAATAAATATATCTTGAAGACGCCAGCGGTGACTTCTTTTGAGAAATGCTAAGGCCAATGAATCATCATGTTTTTGGGGGGAACTCGATTTGGGGCTATCGCCATATTTGGTTAATTTTAAAAATGATTTTGAATATTACACAAGCTCCGACATGAATCATGGGTGTTTCATTCGGCCATACGCTATTTTTAAACTCTTTGCATCTTGACAAGCTGCGCTCTGAACATCTGGCCAGATAAACCCCTTTAAGTACATGCACTAAATGTGGTTTTTAAGATATTAAGCGAATTATTCATTTGGATTTAAGTGAGATTATCATTAGCTATTGTTGGAAACGCGTGAGTTTTGCTATTGAAATAGCATACGACTGCAGTTTTTTGTTATCTAAAATTGTGTCATCTGCCGTAACGACTGTAAAACGAGCATTTAATTGTTTTAGTTTGAGGTGAAATTTGCATGCGGCTCATGGGAGTCGACGACTGTTTGTCTGGCCAAAAGCCTTAAATGGGGGGAAATTACTTGTACAAAAAGGAAAAACAAACACAAAAGCACACAATAGCGCGATGTTATCTTTGGTTTTTTTTTTTTGTTTTCTATATTGACTCTCCCGATTGAGATTCTCGAGCGCGGCGATTGCATAATCGAGTCTGGCGAGTGTTTTGGGCTTTGGGTTCGTGCACGGGGCATTACCTATAGATCGCATCTACATAGTATCTCTCTGGTATATATATATATATATATAGTATAGATGATCGCCAACACATCCCAACTTCCCCTATATACCAGACAATTAAAACAATTGATGCGATTTCTCGCACAAATGTGCCAAACACGAACGTTCAATTTATATTTAGTCGATCGCCTTCATCCGTCAAATGATCATCAATAGTCCCCCGTTTAGCCCCCTTTTGGCCCCCTTTGGCCCCCCTTTGGCCCCCCTCGTTCATCTCAGTCACGAAGCAAAGGCAAGAAATAAATCGATTTAAAGTCGATCAGTAGTTTTTCTGACTTTTGCTCTGAATATTTTGTTTCATTTTCTGACAATGTAAGTGCTGTGGGTGAAAATCTTAATTTCGAAAAAAACTAACTAATTTTCCCTACCCAAAAGTAGAGTTACTTTTATAAGCTAATTACTGATCAACTTTTTCTTTCAGTGCTTGAATATTTCGTCATCAGCATCATCATTAACCTGCCGCTCTTGAATCACTTTCTACTTTCACTGCTGCACACGCACACCGTCGCAGCGAAACCCATATATACCCATGCAGGCTTTTCATTTCGCACTTCAATGCTAACATGGCCAAAATTGACGTCAGCAATGGCTGGTAACTAACCCTTTTTTTGGCTTAGGGCTGACAATCAAATTACTATAGCTTCTTTCGATCTAATAGCTTATAGCTAATAGAACCATCGATCAGCGATTAGCGATCAGCAACGCAGATGTCTAAAAATACCTGATCTCAGGGTAGTACTCGCTGATTGCTAATTACTTAGTTGGGCAAATAGTTTTTGAACTTTTGAAAGAACCCTCAGCTGATCACACAGATCGCAGCGGCACTTCCGCAAGTTGGCATTACAGCTGTTGACCGCAGGTGCAGATACAAATAGTACAGTGGAGAGTGCCTAAGAGTCACTCAGATTTTGATTCTCAAACATAAGAATAGTAACCATTGAGATTCAGATATAGATACTTATCATCTTCATAATAAAATCCCTTGAGGCATTGGATTATCTTAAGTCTTCCGATACTTAAGCATTTTCCGATCGCTCTCTCTCTCTCTCTCTTATCCACTGACCTTGCATCGCAGGGCCAGAGCATCGCCAGCCGGGTGAAAAACACACGCTGTTTGATCTTGATCGCCGCACTAAGGTAACGCGGTCTGTAAGTAGCTAATATAGTGAGGCAGTAACAAGCCATATGTTTGCCCAAGGTAAATAAATTCATCTAAATTAGCTTCAGATATGCGTAGGTATTCTTGTTAACATTGTTTAACAGCGTTAACTGTTAACTGTTTTGTATTTTCCCAAAAAGAAATTACCACTTGCCCAGATCCAAGAGATTTCCCCAGCTGACGTCTGTATTTTATCTGCGCGATCAAAGTGCTTTCGTCATGCCAAACTTTTCTCCTTCTTTCCCTTGATATCAAAGAATACTAATACTACTAAGAACATAATGCTGCAAAGAAACAGTCAGCACATTTTATGTTTATAAACTCCCATATTCCGGCCCTTCCTATCCTCAAGCAGTATTTTGCTTTGCTAATGTTCAGGATATGGAATGTAATACCTCGTTGAGTTCGTTTTCTTATTCATATCAAAACTGCACTCACAGTTTGAAATGCCAAAGTTGGGCCATTTTTCGAAAAATGTGGGTATAGGGGCTTAAAGTGTTGGTTGTTAACTGCATAAAACGGTCAATGGTTTAGCTGTGCACCTTGTTTTCACAAAGTTAGAGCTAAGAAACGGCAACAAAACCGGGATCTCTACTGCCAAAAAGGCGTATACTTGATTTTGGGCCCCAGAATTTCACTTTTTTAGCCATAGCACAGTCAAAAATGGTCCAAATGGGGAATATAATACCTCGTAGAGCTCGTAATTTAATTGCCATGATTCCCAATTGATTCGCATTCAAATCTGTGAAACTTCATTTTTGGCCCATTTTTGAAAATTTTGATGATGGTACCCCTTATCAAAAATGCGAAATTTGGGCCAAAATTGATTTTCCCAAAATCGAAAAACGAGTGATAGGGGTGGTTAGTATTGGTCGTTAGCAGCACAAAACAGTATTTAATTTGGCTGTGCGTCCTGTTTTGACCGAGCTAGAGCTAAAAACCCGAAAATAATATTGCAAATTTCTGCCAAAAATTGATTTCCAGATTTTTCAGGCATTAAATCAGAGCTCGCACCACAAAATAAGAACAATATAGATATAAGCAAGTATAGAGATTTAAAGTTTTGATTGTTAGCTGCATGAAACTGTCGTTGTTTTGCCTATGTGGCTTGTTTAGACAAAGTTAGAGCTAAGAAACGGCAATGAAACCGGGACTTATGCTGCCAACAGGCGTATACTTGATTTTGAGCACAAAATAATCAGTTTTTTTGCCACAGCACAGTCAAAAATGGCCCAAATGGGGAATGTAATACCTCGTAGGGCTCGTAATTTGATTGCAATGGTTCAAAATTGGTTTGCATTCAAATCTGGAAAACTTCATTTTTGGGCATTTTTTGAAAATTTGTATGAAAAAAAAAAAATTTTTATCAAAAATCCGAAATTTGGGCCAAAATTGATTTACCCAAAATCGAAAAACGAGTGATAGGGGTGGTTAGTATTGGTCGTTAGCAGCACAAAACAGTCATTATTTTGGCTGTGCGTCCTGTTTTGACCGAGCTAGAGCTAAAACCCCGCAATAAAAGTTGCAAATTTCTGTTAAAATTCTGTTTCCTGATTTTTCAGACCTTAAAACAGAGCTCCCACCAAAAAATCAGAGCAAAGCAAGTATAGGGGTTTAAAGTTTCGGTAGTTAGCTGCATAAAACAGTCGTTGTTTAGCTAGTTAGTTAGAGCTAAGAAACTGCAGCAAGCCCGGGCTCTCGGCTGCGAAATACGTATACATGATTTTGGTGCTCAAAAAATCAGTTCTTTGGCCATAGGCCATTATGCCAAAAGAGATAACAGCTTTTGATATACAGAACAACAAAAATATGTAAAAATATTCCCATCAAAGTTAAAAGTTTAAGAAATGAAGATTTAATGTAGAATTAACCAAAACCCAAAGTAAGAAGCCGACCTTAAAGGCGATATTTAGTTTTAAACAAATCATTGTTTCTTTTATTCTTTTACAATTTGTCGTTGTGCTTTTGCATTACTTTTCTTTTCCGTTCTGTTCAATACAGAAACAGCCGCTCAATCGCAGTGTACTTGTGCTGAAACTTATGCTGCTAATGCTGCTAGGAACATCGATTATCGAATAAAGAATTCCTTGGCTCGTTTTCACAAAATCGAATCAAGGAGTAATGGTATTACGCGTCGATGGTTTCCCCAAAGGGAAAGCCAAGAAAAAAAAAGTTGGTTGGTATAACTTAGGCTAGAATGAAGGAGAGTTCAATGTGAAAAATTATAAGCTTAAAGAAAAATTTTCAAATGAACTTGTCGCGGCGTGAATTCGTTAAATAAATAATCAAAAAGTTTTTTCTTTTTTTTGTGTTTTTTGTGTTTTTTTTTTTTGGGAAAAAATGAAGCATACTCGCAGAAGATTAAACTAACTTACGTTTATGTAACGTTTAGTGTATAAAGTAGTTAAAATTAAACTTTACTCTCTTCTCTACGCTTCGCTTTGCTTCTTCCGTTTGTATATATGAGATGCTTTATTCGTAAAAAATAATAAAAGAAATGATTGGTTGTTTTGGGACTAAAAAACGAAACGAAACGAAACGAAATTAAATATAAGCTAATGGTGGTAGGTAAAAATTGGATGATAAATGGAGTGATTTTAGTTGAAAGTTTTGGTCGAAACTAAAAAGTATTTGGATTGCCTTTCTTCTGTGTATATTTTTTTGTATTTTTTCTATTTATCTTTTTGTTTAATGTTTTTGTTTGATTTTTTAATGTTTGCTTTTAGTTATCATTTTTCATTTTTCATTTTTCATTTTTCATTTTTCATTTTCCATTTGTCGTGTAAATATATATGTGAGAAAGTGAAAAAAACATCACAGCTAAAACTTCAGTACATTTTCTCGTGGTTCGAAATTAATCAAGAATATTAATAAAAAAAAAAAAAAAACAATACGTTTATATATATGTACATATGTAGATTAAAGTTCTATTTTCTTTTTTTTCTCTCTATAAATGTACGCTTACAAAATGTACCCTATATATCGGTGTGCATCGCATATAAATCTTGGTTTATCCTTCTTTTCCTCTTTTTTTTTTCGTTTGTTTCTTGCCATTTTGTCATTTTGGATATTTTGGATATTTAGCGATTTACTTGATATCTTCTATATATATATATATATGCATATATATATATATATATGTATATTATACGCTGGCCCAGCACCTGGCAATGGGGCTCTAAATAACACGGACTTATCAGATATATCGGTGTTATAGCTAGATACCGATTGCCAGGTGGGCGACCCAGCTGAGATTTTAGGATTGTGGTTTCTTGAAATACGGTACAAACTAGTCGGATCCTAACTGGCTTATCAACTAAAAGTACTTGTGCTGGCACCCCCCTTGCGTTTGATATAACCCTCCCCCCAGGCCCCCTCCCCCCAGCCCACCTCATTAATCATCCCAGCTCCATGAGGGATCCTGTTCCCGGTTGATCCGCCACAGCATTAACTCCATACAGGCACGTGAGTCCTCGAAGCTGCTGTGTCCTGTGGTCCCATCACCACTCTGGATCTCCCGCTTCAGATGGACCTTGGTCAGGTGACGTAGGGCCCGGCGATATGGAAATCCACTGCAATGGGGAAAGCTAATGGAGGTATCGATCAGGGTGTTGTGCACCAGACGCAGTGCCCGCAAATCGTTATCCAGCCCGTGCCCAATAAGGATCGTGTCCGCTGCGATCAGTTCGAGGAGATCTCTTTGGACCTCGGCCAATGTCTTGGCCCCGGAACGCAGATCCCTTTCTGTAATACCCGAATACCGGGTATTGTAGTCTATAATGTCGCACTCGGGCCGTACGAAGTGCTCGTACACCAGCTGTCCATTGAGGGCCACTAGGGAGACCTTGGTCACGTCCAGTCCACGACCTGTATAGCTCATCTCGCAGTCCAGGGCATATACAGCAGGCTCCTCGTCGTTGGATTCACGATGTTGGGTCCTCACGAAATCGTAGTAGGGCCCATTGACCCCTCCCACTGAACCCGTCCATACATGCCGATCGCTTAGGCAGCAGCCCGGCGAGGATTCCTCGCCCTCGTTGCAGCAGGTCCAACGTCCGTGGCAGACGCCGTCATAGTACCGTTGATACTTGCCCGAATGGTACTGGCACTCCTCGCGGTTCAAGTACTGGCCCGTCAGCTCGTCCACCAAAAAGTGGCGCTTGCAGCGTGCACACGGCTTGGCCAGACTACGCTCCACCTGAACGTACTGGCAGTACTTCAGCTCCAGACTTAGTTCGGCGTCGCCAGCGGATGAGGATGAGGAGTTCGAGGACTCACATTCGCTGCCGCTCCATTCACCGCCAGATTCCGAATCCATAGATCGCGGTGAACTGTTGCCGGAGTCGCTCGAGATGGCCACCTCTACTTCCTCCTCAGCTCCTCGGTTGGTCAGGCCGTCATGGCAGTTGATCACCGTGACTGCCGGCGCTGTTTCCGCCAGTGCAGCTGCAAAACTCATATGGGGCAGGCACTTGAAGATCTCAATGGCGCCTTCGTGGACTACAGACTCCACCGGATAGCCATAGACCCTAAGCAGGTGGTGATCGATGACATGGCGTCGAAGTTGTTGCACCAGACTTCTGTCATCCAGATCAAGCTGCTCGTATTGTCGAAGTGGAGGAACCAGGAAGTTGGCATTCTGGCGACCACGTTCCCGCTCTCGGCGCCATTCCAGTGCTGCCCCCGGCATCAAAGATCGCTCGATACGCTTCCTATTGCCATTGGCATGTGGGGAGCTGGTGGGCGAACTAGTGGGCGAACTTAAGGCCGAGGAAGAGCTGCTGTCGCAGGTCTTCCTTTGGTTGTTGCCGCCGTGCTTGTTGATGTTGCTGCTGCTGCTGCTGCCGCCGCTGCTGCTGCTGCTGGCACATTTTCCTGACTTCTTGTTGCTGCTGCGCTTCTGCTGCTGATTGGGATTGGCCTGCTGCTGCTGCTGTTGCTGCTGCTGCTGGCGCCACTTGCTATTTGGCTGTTTGGTTTTCTGGCCCACCACCACGACCGTAGCGGCAGCTGGCTTCTGGCCATTTTGATCGGAATTACGAATCTGCTGCTGCTGGCCGGTTGACTTTTGCTGTCGCTTGGAGCGGCTTTTGTTGCCACTTGCAGTAAGATTGTTGCAACGACTGCCACCGTTTGTATGTCCCTTGGCCTTGTTCAGATGCTCTCGACTGGAGTCGATGTCCTCGCTGGTAGCCTCGCTGCTAGTGCTATTGCGATGTCCTGGATTGTGCTTGTGCTGGCCAAGGAATTTGTCTGTGAAAAGGGATAAGTTTATAAATTAAATTAAATATAAATAAATAATAACTTATGTTAATTTCTTAAATTTATTCAAATTTCCTCCTCTCCTAAACTTAATGCTAATTTATTGAAGTTAAATAATTAACCACGTGAATTTCTGTCAATAAAATAAAATATTCGTTTGGAAATTCAAATTTCTGATAACGTACACACGCTCGCACACAATCGAAGACACTAAATACCCAGGCACACACACACACACACACACAGACACCAGCATGCTTATCAACAAACGCCACGTGCTTTTGAGTAGTTCTCTCTTTCGCTATTCTTACACTGAGAAACATTCCAGGGCTGTTTTATGTTTTAAAAATTGTCTATTTTATGTTTTACTCTTTCTTAATCCGATCTTTTAAGCCTTAAGATCTTCTTAATCATAATTTAATTTACCTCTAAAAACCCTCTACCCATTTCTTGCCGTGTACGTATACATGTGTATTTAATTTTTGATAGTGTGATTTGATTTAGGGAAGGTTACGCATGACTGGAAATTAAGGCATGTGTGCGGCGGGGTTCCTACCTCGAGTTTTTTGTTGATTTTTTATTTTTTTTTTGCTAATTCAGCTTATTTGGTTGCCACCCAAACGGGCGTGCTTAAAAAGAGGGGAACGGGCTGTGGTTAGTGAGGAGTGGCGACTCTCGTGTTGACGCATTACAATTATAAACATTTTTATTATGACTATTATATGCCGCCTGTTATTATTATTTCTACCTATTAAGCGCTTTATGCTGCCGCGGCTTCCGCATTTAGCTCATCATGCATGCTCCCCCCAAATTCCCTTCCATTCCCATTTTAATTCTCGTTTTAAGTTGCCCACCCCCCCCTAAAAAAAAGGGGGGGTTTTCAGCTGGTAGCTAAGCTGGCCTGACCTGTTGTGGTAGATTTACTTTTTGGAACTTTTTGGGGTTTACATTTTGCTGAGAATCCATCAAGTCTTGACTTCTTGATTGAATGAAACTTTTTAACCAGAATTTATGAATATTTATATAGGTCTCTACCTCTGGCTATATATCAATGTAGATATAGCAATCGCCCCCCCTCCTCCTTCTATCTAACTAGGATATACATTCAAATTGACGCACTCAACCATGTCAGGTCTTCCTATTCCGTCAATTGTCGCCTCCGTCACTCGGTGGGGTCGTCGCTATGACGACATTTTCTTATCGGCATGCTGCTTCCTGCCTGCCTGCCTGCTGATTGGTGAAATGCCAAACACTTCCTTGTAGTGAAAAGCATTCAAGCACTTCCTTGATACACACTCATCTATATCTCAGCTCGCCATACAATATATATAAATATATATATATATATGAAGAGCCGCCCTGTTTTGGGGCCCCAGAAAGTGTCAGCCTGACTCTGGCTAAAATTGAATTTCAAAGCGCGCATAGATAAATCATATGGCTAGGTGGGTTTGTTGACTTCAACGTCGAGTCGAAGGACACCCGGGGCCAGCACTAACTAAGCACCCAGACGTGAGCTGGAAACCCAAAGACCCCCAATGGGATCATCAACGGATCGGGCCAGAAGAAATTATATCAGCTGGGGCGCGATTGAGTTATTGTTTTTTACATGTATGTATGTATGATGTATGTATGTATGTATGTATGTATGATGTATGTATGTACATCACGTATGACTTTGTACATCTTTTGGGGCGTTGAGTGCGTGGTCAACGATTAGATAAGGCGTGGCCAGTTTTGGGCGTGTTTCGGATCTGGCCACAACTCTCGGAAGCTCAGCAAACGTTTTTTTCTACTTTTTAAACGTTTTTACGACAGGCTCTCTATATGTGGCTTTATCGCCGACCGACGCACGCGCCAAACTCTCTAAACGGCCTTGAAAATCGTTTAAGAATATATATATTATATATATATAGTTAGTTAGGCATATAATATACATCATACATCCGATTAAAACGTAAACATAGCTGAATTTATGTGGTTGATGATTGAAATTTTAAGTAGTAATCATAGTTTTGAGGGTATTTACCTTCTACTTATGACTTCCCTAACATAACGACAGGAAACTTATCTTTGTAAATCATTTACCAAGATTAAAATTACGATTACTTGCCATAAATTAATGTCTTACCCTATGAAGACCATTTCCAGGCAGCTCTCCAAGGGCATTTAATCTCTTTGTTTTTTTTATGAACAGACCTTAACCTTAGAAGGGTACTAAGACTTAGAAGGGAATAAACATAAAGACACTCGAGAGACCGCGATTAGATAGTTTAGTTAAATAAGTGAGACTAACGTGTCAGGGGCTGGCAAATGATAATCCATGGGGCATACTACTTACTATATAAGGCGTACGCGTACACAGAGTACAAAAACTTTCGTGTTATGAAATTTGACTGCGACTGGCGGTAGAAATTGATTTAAATATAAAATTTAAATGCCATATTACGAGCATGGAAGCACGCAAGTCCCTAACAAAAGGCAAATTGCATATCAAAATAATAATTGGAAACACTTAGAAGATTGCCCATCTATCTGAGTATTGTTTTAAAAACCAATTACTAGACGTCTGTTAAGCTGAAACTTTCCGACAGATTTAAACTTGCAGTCTAGACTCCTCTAGACTCCTCCGAATGGTAACCACATTTAGTTACCGGGCAGTGATAAGATGTGCGTGTCCAGTGCTAACCATAATATAGTATATATATTCCCGACTGCCCAATTTCCAGTTACCTACGGCAACAGCGTCCAAAAGTTCCCTCGAGTGCCGCGATTGTCTCTGCACCTGTGATTGTGCCGCCGCCCTGTGCTTGTGATTTCCATTCTGATTCTGATTGTGTTTGTGATTGTGATTTGAGATCGTGAGCATGGCAGTCAAGTGCCGAAAGTCGCCTTCCTAATCACTCCAGAAAATAATATTTCTAAATTTTAATGCCAGCTGATTGGGGAAATGAGTTACAGCCTTTGCAGGCTTGGTTTCAGTCAAACAACTTTTTGTTGACAAAATGTTTAAATTTTTTACAGATTTTTTGGTATAACTTTGTCAAAATAAGACCTACAGCTAAAAGAATGACTGTTTTGTAAGGCTAACTACCGAAACTTAATACCCCTATACTTGCTTTTATCAATATTGCTCTGATTTTTTGATGCGAGCTCTGTTTTAAGGTCTGAAAAATCAGGAAACCGAATTTTAACAGAAATTTGCAACATTTCTTGCGGGGTTTTAGCTCTAGCTCGGCCAAAACAAGACGCACAGCCTAATAAATGACTTTTTTGTGCTGCTAACGACCAATACTAAGTACCCCTATCACCCGATTTTCGATTTTGGAAAATCAATTTTGGCCCAAATTTCGCATTTTTGATAAGGGGTACCATCATCAAAATTTTCAAAAATGGGCCAAAAATTAAGTTTCCCAGATTTGAATGCCAATCAATTGGGAATCATGGCAATCAAGTTACGAGCCCTACGAGGTATTACATTCCTCATTTGGACCATTTTTGGCTGTGCTATGGCCAGAAAACTGAAATTTGTGCGCCCAAAATCACGTATACGCCAGGTGACAGCAGAGAGGCCAGCTTTTTTCCCGTTTCTTAGCTCCAACTTTGCCAAAACAAGGCGCACAGCTAAAACAATGACAGTTTTATGCAGCTAACAACCAACACTAAGTTTCCTTATCATTGGTTTAATGATTTTTGGAATTTAAATTTTTCACAAATTTTCGATTTTTCGATACAAAATCATTAAAATTCTGAAAATTAGCCAAAAAAAAAGGGAATTTTCTTAATTTTCAAGGTGGGTATGCAGTTTTGTTGGAAATTAAAATACGAACTCAACGAGGTATGAGATACCCTATACGAATCATCTTTGGCAAAGTTAAAGAACAAATACTCAGGGTTTTTGACCAAAAATCAGGATTATGACTTTTGACTGTAGGATGGAAAGTAAAGCAAAGCAAACAGCTGTTAAGGAGAGGCAGCCTTTCCTCCTTTGATGGATAGGAAAACGAGAAGGTAATAAATTACTTCATCACCCCCATATACAAACTTTATATATATATATATATTTAGTCAGCTTTGCGAAGGTGGAACTTTGATATTTAATTAGTTATCGCTGCGCAGTCGAAAACGTCTAGATAAGTCCATAAATATGGTTTAGTTTTATCAGTCGCTCTGGCGTAGTGACGCAATCGATGATATAATAATTCGCAGCGAAATCACGTCATTGGGTGACCCATTTTGTGATCTTTTTTTCGAGTCTTAGATCTACATAGAATCCCGCAGGTAGCATAGTTAGTCGAAAAAAGGCTGAGAGTATAATTTTCCAGCGACTTAAAAATGACCTTCGGCTGGCTCAGTACTGGCCAGTACTTCGTCACTCCGGCACTAGCTACTTCCTGTCCCAAGACAACGAACAAAATTACTCGTCTCGCAATTGGTTTGTGCATTTTTAATGAGCTCGAAAACTTGGCTTTGAGCGAAAAACGAAAAAACGAAAACGACAACGAACAAAAATGATAACCATAATAATATACTCGTAATACTCGTCGTAAACATCAACGCGATGATAGTTAATTGTGACCAAACACGTCTCCCTACCAGTCGGTCCAAAGTTTTTGGCATACTCTAGTCACCTTTTAGTGTGTTTTATTAATCAAATAGATATAGATATATATATATATATACAGCTGGGGGGGAATGCAAAATGTGGCCATTGAGGTCAAGCTAAGGCAAAGATTTAAAATAATTTCCAGGCCAAAAACCCAAACTGCGAGTCGTAAAAAAGGCAATCAAAATATGGCTTAACTAGATGTTGTAATCAAATTATTAGATAATACATAGTAACTGATCTCACTTTTTAGGGCCTAAGCAGGCGATCGTAAATTGTCATTATCAGGCGTTTCTTTATTCTGGAACCCATTTCGAAATAGCCCCGATTAATAATCTTTATATCTTTATGCGACCATTATATGGTTGGTGTGTTTTCTAAAAAACAATGTACAAAAATATTTACCCTGCGATAAATGTTCTAAGAATAACATTATGGTCTCTGGCTCAAGTTGGAAATCCTAGTTACTAGTTACTAGTATTATCTATTACGATAAGTACATAGGAATTATGATTATTCTGGGAAAACCTACCTATGCCTAACTAATCCTTGTACTATCCTTGTATTTAACTTTGGCTTAAGGTAGTACAAATATTATGAAGATAACTACCCCATGATTAGGTTAAAAATATAACCAAAAGAGGTGTAATTTTGTTAGGTGATGATGACAAGTCAAAAGTTTCTTAATATTTCCCTGAAAATCCCTTTTCTTTGTTAACTTTCTCCTTAGGCTTAACCCACGATGGCTTCTTCATCATCTCACATGCCAAGACCTCGCTGAACTTTGGTCTCCAAGTTTGGCTTGTATTGTAGACTCGGATTGGGGACTCTCCTCAGACGTTGGGTAAACGCCCGGTGCTTAAACGGCGAACACGTTAACCTTGACTATTGCCGGCGGCAGCGGCGGCATAGCAGACACCGGGGGGTGGGGGGGTTAGTTAAGTGGAGATGTGTTTGCCAGCAATTCCAAAGATCGGCAAAGTAATGCGAATGACGACGAGGCTGGCTGGCTGATGATCGAGAGCTGAGCAATAATAAACGGAATGGAATTGCGAGCACTTTTTACGATTGTTATACAAGTCGTCTTTGTGGCTAGAGATTTCAGGCGGCAGTCGTCTTTAATGGGTTAATAATGCGAACGAACAGCCAGCAGAGCTGTCTGCGAAGTACAGTGTGGACTATAAAACATAAAACTGAAAAGCTAAGCTCTTGTCTTAGTTTTCTAAACGACAAAAAAAACAACTTTTAAAAATCTGTAAAAATAATGTTTCAAGTTTTCCTTTGTTTCTATGCTTTACTGTAACATCTGACGACTCAGTTTTACTGTGGCATGCTGCTGCCCCGTTAGTTGGCACCACTTAAAATGGCAAGCCAAAATGAGTTCAAGTCGGCTTGCAACTGGCCTACAGAGAGTCAGTCGTTCGAGAAAGAAAGACCAAGAGGCGAGGGGAAGAGATATATAAACTCCTTATATAGCCTCAAATCCGATTCAGTGGGGCGTGAAAAACGCATTCGCCAAATGCCGGGCTAGAGCCGCTGTGGTGTAACCATTCCTTTTGGCCAAGGCAATTATCTAATCTGGGCTTAAGTTTAAGATGGCTTAATTGGCCAACTTTAGGCTTTAAACTCTAAGCCAGCTTTCAAGTTCATAAAGAGATCTTTATAGTACTTCTTCTAATAGAAGATATTTTTCCCATAACTTTGTCCTTGCTCATAATCGTTACTCTTCTTTATTTATCGAAAAAGTTTTTCTCGTATTATTTTTGGCACTTAACGTGGCTGTGCAAATTTCGTTTGTGCAATCTCGGAAATCGGTTCTCGAAGGCAGCCCCCCCCTCCTTTTCCAGCCAAGTGCTAATGAATGACAAAACAAGCAAAGTTATGTAATGATTGCCCAGAGCAAGAGCACCTTTAGTATGTACATACACATACGTGTACGTATGCCGCCTCTTACGTTCGGGTCCATGTTGATTATCAGTTCATCGTTTGACCAAAATCGATCGACAACTGATACTACACGACCAATAGTACACCTGATATGGCACTAAATAACAGCAAATAACAAATAACGAATGGTTAAGAGACGGCGCCAGTTGACTGCGAACTGGGAACTTGGAACTGAGAACTGAGAACTCAGAACTTAGAACTGAAAAAATCTAAACCCTAATCAGCTGCTCCTCTGCTATTGCGTCTTAGCTTTTCCTCTAATATAGCAAATACTATAAACGTGTTCCATGTTCGATTCTGGAAAGTTTTTTTTTGTTGATTTCGTTGAACCCAAAAATAAATTATGGAAAATTTAAAGCGAAAAATCTGCCCTATCAGTGTCGTCTGGGAAAGTGAATGGGGAATCAGCCTTCGGCATTAGTAAACCTTTCTCAATCTCAAACGTCTGATTGGCCAAAACCAAAACTTGCGCATAAATTATAAAATTTGGCCAAAAGCATTTGAATTTGGTATTTAATTTGTTGATATTTTTATGACCTAAAACGCCCTGCCTTTCACACGCAGCGTAGGAGATGCCTTTGTTTGTTTATTTAATTTTTTCTTTTTGTTTTCGTTGATTCGCCCAGTTTTTTAATTGATTTCTAAAGCAAAAAGTTAGTCGTGAAAGTCGACTATATATCTCTCCCTATCTCTCCCTCTCTCTCTCTCTATAACTATATATAACCCACTATATATCCATCCCACTTAAATAGTTCCGATACAAGGTTCCCATTAAGCTTAAGCGAAGATTTCCTGCAATTTTCTTATTTGCTTGAACAAAGCTAGGAGCTGTTAGGGGCTTCTAGGGGGGGACAACAGTGATAGTCATAAAAATAGTTTTACCCTTGAAGTTGCTCGCATATTGGCCAGCTAATTGAAAAGTTAGTTACCTAGGTTTTACCCCCATCGAATGGCTATACTTAGAGATAGACCCACTTTGATAAGAACTTTCCACTGACACCATATAAATAGATATCGCTTCAGGTCTAGTGGGCTTTTCACTTCAGTCAAGTGCTAACTGGTTGGCTTTTATATAAGTTTCCCGGGCAACGCAATAAGTTAAAAGGTAGGGTGGTTCAGCTGCACTCAGATTTGATATCTATCTCTGATAAGCTGGCGTTGCTTATGAATACTGAATCATTCTTTGGAAAAACCTTTACTTAGCTGCTCTTACTGCTATGACGGTGGCTGTTTTTAGCCAAGAAGGCCACTCCAATTCCTAGATATTTCCGTAATTAATGTCAGATCTATGCACCCACCGCCCATTCATCCATCTATCCACCCACTGACCCACAAATATAGTTCGAATCTGTCTGTACTTTTCCCGTTTGCCAGCAATGACGCTCTCAAAATACCCGTTCCCGTTCCCATTCACGTTCCGATTCCATTCCCCATTCCCCATTCCCCATTCCCATTCCCGTTTTCATTGCCGTTAGCGTCGATGACGTTAAATTCGTGGACGGAGAGGTGATTCACTTTAGATGCCGACCGATTTGCTTGGAATTTTATTAAAAACAAAGCGAAAAATCATGAATCAGCGTCTGGGGCGGCGGGGTCCGTCTTTATTTCGATACCCATATATAGCAGCTGCACATGGCATATAGCATATAGCATATATATATATATATATATACCAGTGTTATGGTGTAAGACTGACGAAAAGCTTGTAAGATTATCGAAAATCATGGCAGAAACACGTTGCCAAAGTTAAGTGACTCAGCCAGACTCAGTCATTGGGAAGTTTTCCCAATGTTTGTTACTATTTTCCTTTCCTTCTATAAGTTTTTATCCTTAACTTTAATCATCTTTCTATAACTCACCTTCGATGCATGAAGAATTGGCCAAACGGTGTCCGTAGCCTCGTTCCAGCCAAGTCGATGTGGGTGGCGAGGGGGAGGACTCACTTCCGGTTAACCCAGCGATTCCATTCCGCTTTTGTATATTCCCAAAATGTTGCTGCTGTTGCTGCTGCTGCTGTTTGTTGCTGTTGTAGCGACTCTTGCGAGTGGACTGCTTGCTGCCATTGTGCTGCAATGTTGATGTTGCATGTTGTTGGTAGGCCATCATGTTGCCATTACTTGCTGCTACGTTGTTGCTGTTGTTGTTGGTATATTTCTGAGGGCAGCGTTTGTGGTTGTTGCTGCTGCTACTGTTAATGTTGTTGGTCGCATTGACGTTGCTGTTGTTGTTGTTGGTGCCGCTGCTGCCATTCTGGTTGCAACGCTGCATTTTGTCATCTGTTGAGAGAGAGAAAAAGACAGTAGATTAGTTTATGTTTTTTTTAGTTAGTTTAGAAAGTATCTCCTGTACTAAGCACAAACTTTTCCCAACCGACGACGACGACGGCACTTACAAATCTTAAGTAGATGCACTTGCAGAAAATCTTCGAGAAAGAAATGCATTTTACCGCTGCAGACATAAACGCGACTTGAAATATTTTCTTCTAGTTTTGAAAAAACAAAACAAAAACTTTTGTTTATCGTTTACGGTGGGAAACCTTTTTGCAAACCGCCTGCACTTGCAGTTGAAAGCCAACTAAATGGCGCGATTAGCAAACGCTCGCGCGATAAACAACAAGCTGGGAGCCAAGAAAAAGTACAGCGAAATAAAAAAAAAAAAACCACAGAGACAGCGCAAGCGAGACCGACTTTTGCGATGACGACACAGTGAATCATCCGCTGATAAAGCGGGAATACAGCGAATTCAACGCCTGCCTTTATCCCCCATCTCTGTCTTTAACTCTATTGCCGACTCTTTCGTTTCGTTTTGGAAAACGGAAAAATAAAACCTAGGCCACTAGTATGCTTCGACCAGGTTATGACCACGTGCCCCCGCGCGCTGTCCAACAACAAGCTTCCTACATAGATAAGGTGTAAATGGCCAGCCAACGGGTCGTATGAGCTATACAAAAGTTAGTTTATAATAAGAAAAAATTAATCAACTATTAGAAACCATTAGAAACCTTTTTCCTTGCTTTTCCCAAGGGCTAGGAAAATTTCGATTCTGAGTCTGTTCACTAAAGGCAAAACGAAGCGAAACAAACGGCAAAAATTTTGATACTTTTGTGCAAATGTTTTGTTTGTTTTGAAAGTGTCTTGAACTGTTCCGATAACATGTTGATAATAATATTCCCCAGTAACTACGTAACTGCTCGAAATGCCCAAAAAAAAAAAAAAAATATACAAAAATCTACCGGGCCATGTGATCCCTTGGTTTTAGCCCTTTCGAAAACCCTCTTTTTTCCAGATAACTCTGAAAGGGCATCATAGACGATCTTGATATTTCACCGCTTAAATCTAGTTTAAAATTGTCTTAAAGTTAAGCTTATTTAAGGCATATGAAAACTTTTTTTTTAATGGAAAAATCAAATTTATTGCTTCTCAAAATCTCAAAAGTTTTCCAAGTATTTCGTTATTTTTCCTTCGCCTTTGGCCAAAATGTAATTATTTTTGTTATTTTCGTTAAGGCTTTCATGTTTGCGTGTGAATTTTAACACTCAATAAGAACTTTTTCTGGTATTTTTAGCCAAAGGCGGAGGCAGGCAGGCGGGCAGGCAGACTACATAAACGAAAAGTCCATCATCTGGTTCGCTTTCACTGGGCCATCATTAATGAATCTTGGAATTCCGACAATTTCTCGCTTATGCCATGAAATGAGCCACAACAACAACAACTACTATTACTCACAAACAACCAAAAACAACAACAAACATTTTATACAAATTATAAAAAAGAATAAAACAAAAAAGTCTGTCAAAATCAAAAAAAAAAAGCAAAAGAAAAAAGCTCAAGACGAGCAAAAGGCAGTCAAAATGACGACTTCGCAAAACAGGTACCAGTTCGTGCCTAGCGCCGCTCCATGTGCGTACCGCCTGACCCGCCCCCTTTCAAGCCACTGCCACTAACAACACCACCCACCACACAGAGAAAAAAAGCGGAGGGAGAGAGTTAACTTGAAGTTCGAACATTAACTTAAGAGCTTAACCCAAGAAGCTAGGAAGAGCTCAGTAATGCAGATCTAAGTTGGTCTTAAAACCTCTAACATTCAGTTATATATATTTGAATCTACAAAGATATATATATATAAAGATATATAATATTTTTCCTAGTGCTTCGCCGAAGACTTCTTTAACAAAAAATCTCCCATAATTTGTTGCTATTTCTCGGTAATATTAATTTCGTGAATGCAAAAAAAGTCATGAATTCGCCGGCAGTCACGCCCCCTCACTCACCATCGCCAACGTCGATTAGGGCGTGTGATTTATGGAGACGCCGCACTGAATCGCGATGAATCGTTGGTTTACGAATTTGAATCGAAATCAGAATCAAAAATTGGAATGATAATATTTGCGTGGAACCAGTTTTTCTTTCGAAGAGGAAGGGGGAGGGGGCTTATAAATGGCAACGATAAGTTCGTTGAGATCGTTGTGGGCACGTGTACGTGTGTGCAATCACCCCCAGGTTCCACTGTACTAACGTCTCCTCCCCATCATTCTCCCAATTATTTTACCCCCTTCTTCTTCTTCTTATTCTTATTTTTCTTCTATTTTTCTTGCCACTTTGCCAAAACGGAAATGCATTCTATTTTTGTGGCCACCGAACTCATCAACTGCATCATCATCATCTTGGTCATCATCATCCTCATCATTATGATCACTATTCAATAATCATTATCATTATCATCATTATCATCATCATCATCATCATCATTATCATCATCATCATTATGTGGCAAAATCGTATTCATTCATATTCATTCAAGTTAGCGGCAGCAACACACACAAAATGTGCCGCGCCAAAGTTGAATGAATTCCAACGAAGAAGATGTGTGTATATTCCGTAGCTAAAGATCCCAGCGAAAGGAAAAGGCCAAGGAAACGAGACATTAAGAGCGATATATATATATATATATTATATAGTATATAGGGGAGCCAACTGAAGCGGATCATTAAGGGAAGACCGAACAATGGGGGAGAAACTTGAAAAGAAACTTCAGGCAGAGCATGGCAAACTTGGGATACCCTTTTAGGTAAGCTTACAAGAAGGTCTGAAAGACTTCCCTCACTCTAAAAGCTAACTTTGCTTGTGTCTGAGTAAGAATCTTATACATAGCTAATGTATCTTTATAGTTATAGAGTCACACATAGTCCCTCATAGCCGCCGCCTGTCCTGCTACCTAGATAGGGTATGCCACAAAAAGGGGCACTCTTCGAAGAATGGCCATATCTTTGTGCGCATGGCAACAGCAGCTGGCAAGCTAAACTTAAACCGACAATGACGACGCATTCAGCGCAAGCGTGTGTGCTGCCACAGATACAGATACAAAAACAGATACAAATACACTTCGAGATACATTTTCATTGAAGACACACACATCATCAATCGGTCTTAGTTTCGCATGAAAGTTTTCCAAAAATCAATTTGGAAAACAGAAACCACAACAAACGTAGTGGAAATTTTCCCAAGACCCCGAAAAATAAATCCACGAAACGAGTTTACCTAATGGGTTTAATGGCTTTGCCTGATGGTGGGCTTACAAGCGGGGTGGCGGGTGCTAATGAACTTTTCTTCCACCCCACCCCCCAAACGGGCTGTAAGTTGACTCTCGGAAAGACAAAACACGCACACGTGCGAGTGTGTGCTTCTTGTAATAACCAAAATGTTTCAGCGGGGCGGACCGGAAATGTTAATGCGGCCTTTAATGTATTGTATAATTGCGGTCAGGCCATAAAAATGAATAGAAATCCATAGAAAATTAAGTGATTCGCATTCAATTACGTGCCCCGAGAGCGCGAATATTTAGAACCTTTTGCCATTTCGTATTGTGGCCACATAAACGTGAATTAGATTGATGTAAGGCAAGGCAGTGCCATGGCAAAAAAAACAGGAAGACTTATCAGCCTGAGACGTGCTGTTCAGTTTGGGTTTTCTTTTCAGGGTTTGGCCTGGCCTAATCTAAAAAGTTGCCTTAGATTTAAGGAAGAGGAAAGAAGATCGCAGCATGCTGTTTAATGGGTTTCCTACGCCTGACTGCCTGACTGCCTGACTGCCTATCCAAGCCCCTTTTTTGGCTATATACTAGAGATGGTTTTGTCAAGTAAGATAGACTTTTCGCCCTTTTCCTAGCATAATCATATAAAAAAACTCTGATTTGCTCTATAAAATGTGGAGTGGCTCTCTTAAAAATCGATAAAAAAAAATTACTTCCAATGTGGATATTGAACACATGGCGTATGCGCAATTTGCTTTATCAACTTGACAAGTTTGGGATTTTTTGCTTTTATTTTTTATATAGGCTTACTGATATCAGAAAAGCACTTCCTATATATTCTGCGGAATAAAAGAAAGTTTCAGTTTCCGGTTTTCGGTTTTTGGTTTTCGGCTTAGGGCAGAGCTTATCAAATAGCCAAAGAATGTCTTTAAAAATTTCCAATAACAAGATTTTAGCATTAAAGGCTGACTCATTTTGTTTACAAAAAAAATATAAAACCAAATTACTTGTTAACCAGAAAAATTCCAAACAAAATGTGATCAGTTTTCTGGCTAAATTAGAATCTCAAGTGGAACTGATAGGCTTATCAAGAAGAGTCACCTTATAGCAAAAGTCCAAGTAGTTGAGTTCCTAGTACAAAATACTACTAAAAAATATTAATAGAAAACAGCAAGAATCTCTCTTTAAATAAAGAAAAATAAAACCACTCAACCCAGAATTGTTATTAATTGAGAACATTATGGAATCTGCTGTTTACTCAAATACCCAAAAGGCAACCCCAACAAATCAACTAATTTTTCGGTTTTTTCTTGATTTATTTTCCTTAGGCTTTTGGTGGCTTTCGAAATTCAAATTGGAGGGATGAGTTCATTTAAGATGAGAGTCCGCGTGCTTGCTGTCACAATTTTCCGATTCTGACACTTTTCTGACAACTCGAAATGAACAACAATAACAACAACAACAATAACAACAACGAGAAGAAGAAAAACCACAACTACAATACCCAAGTACTATATTATCTCGTAATAATATTGTGAACGAGAAAATCCTGACACTTGTCAAAACAAATCATCTTCATTAAGCGCTGTCTCTGTTTGAAATTTTTAATTTTATTTCAAGAACATGAAAACGTTTCTCCATCCACACTCGCGTATCGAGTGTGATGAAAATCTGCAATTTAATCAAAGAATTTTCCATATTTTTTTTTTGCCAGTTTAGTTTTTGCATCTGAAAAGCCCAAAACTTT